CAACCAAAATCCATAACCTATGCGTCGAGTGCGGCCTCGTCCATGCTCTCCGAATATAAAACAGAGGAAAACTGGCCCAAGTGACCTTTCTTTCCTCCACATCTATGTTCATTGCTCTCGTCTGTTTTCATTCGGACATCTCTCCATCGAGAGACCAAAATGAGCAATTCCGACCAGAGAACCGAGTAAATCCACTTTTGTCTATATCTGTACGGCGATACCATGACCCTCTATCATGAAAGCGAAAAATATGCCCCTTGGAAAGGGAAAACAACGCCCTCTCTAGGCGAAAGAAACATACAGAAATCGTGATGCTCATGACCGGACCTGCTTTTCTCTTCTTCAGATCCATTATATATCACCACGTTTCCGCCAGTGCCTTCAGTTCCCCCATCTCTCGGTCTAAGGGGTATCAAGCGAGGAGGGTGTCGAAATCAAAACAAATGCAATCTATCAGATGCTTCGTGAATGCCCCGTGACCGTATACTGCCAAAAAGCCGGTGAACCTAGTAGGCACTCATCCGTCTTCGCAGGTCATGATGCCGCCGTGCCGTCCAAAAAAAACCATTGAAAAAGTAACATATAAAGTGAGAAAACAACAAGTAGAAATAAATAATGTATGCATCAGCAACAAAAAATGCAGTGTTCAAATCACAGTGCGTGTAAAATGCACAGATTCATGTGCAACCACTGTATCGTGGTCGAAAAGATGGTGGTAGCAGATCAAGTCTCTACCACCAGGACTGAGCGCCAGGGCCGCCAGGGTTTCCGTAGCTGCCGCCGCCGCCGCTGTAACCGCCGCCGCCGCCGCCTCCATAGCCGCCCTGAGGACCACCGAAGCCGCCGCCGTAGCCAGAGGTCTGCTGGGGACCACCGAAACCACCACCGCTGTTGCCGCCGAAGCCGCCGCCGCCGCCGCCACCACCTCCGCCAAACTTGCGGAAATCGCGATTAGCCGAGCCACGGCCACCACCACCACCACCACGAGATCGGCCGCCTCGGCCGCCGCCGCCAAAGGATGACTCACGGGCAATGGCCTCCAAGAAGGCGGGAACCTCCTGGTTGGCTTCCTTGAGAAGGTCCATAAGCTCACGGACGATACCACGGTTACCGCGGTTGAAGAAAGCAGTGGCAATACCAGTGTTTCCAGCACGGCCAGTACGACCGATTCTGTGGACATAGTCATCGACATCGGTGGGCAGATCGTAGTTGATAACATGAGTGACATTGGGAATATCAAGACCACGAGCAGCAACGGCAGTGGCTACCAGGATCGGGCATCGACCATTGCGGAAGAACTCGAGGGCACGCTCGCGCTCGCGCTGGGTACGGTCACCGTGAATAGAGGTTGCCGGGAAGCTCTGGTTGATGAGGAAGTCGGAGAGCGAGTCGGCCATGCGCTTGGTCTCGACGAAGATAAGGGTCAGACCACCGGCGTGGGTGTGGAGGATGTCGAGGAGGACAGATCGCTTGTCAATGTCCTCAACAAACTCGACTTTCTGAGTGATATTCTCGGATGTGGAACCAACACGACCGACGGACAAGAAAACGTAGTCCTTGAGGAAATCTCTGGCAAGCATCTGAATGTCGCGAGGAAAGGTGGCCGAGAACATCAGAGTTTGACGATCAGCCACAGGGGGCATGTCCTCACCCTCAACGATGCGACGGATCTGGGGCTCGAAACCCATGTCAAGCATGCGATCAGCCTCATCCAGAACAAGATACTTAATGTTGCAGAGGGAGATGCGGCCTCGCTCAATCAGGTCGACCAGACGACCAGGAGTGGCAACCAGGAGGTCACAACCTCGCTCGATCTGGCGGAGCTGGGAGCCGATATCGGCACCGCCGTAGACAACGCAGGGGCGGACCCAGGATCGGTAGGCAAATTTGCGGGCTTCGTCATAGATTTGAGAAACCAGCTCACGGGTGGGAGCAAGGATCAATGAGGTAGGGTAGGCCTTGCGCTGACGGCCAAACTGGCCAGCAGCATTGGCTGGCACGGCCGAAGGGCCATTAATGAACGCCTGGGAAAGTATGGGGAAGAGGAAACCACCAGTCTTGCCAGAACCAGTCTGAGCACAAGCCATGAGATCGCGTCCGCCCATGACGATAGGGATAGAGTACTTCTGCACAGGGGTGGGAACCTTGTAGTGAGCCAGCTCAATGTTGCGGCAGAGGTGTTCGTCCAGAGGGGGGGTGGTGAACTGGAGCACGGCCTCAGGGACATCGTGGCCAGACGCCTCAACGGGGATATCGTCGTACTTCTCGAAGTTGATGCCGGTATGCTGCTTGGAAGGATCGTCTATTGTGCCAAAGAGATCACGCTCCAGACGGGGGTTAGCCGGTCCGGGAATGTGCTTTCCATCGCGCCACTGGCCATCGCCAGAGCCTCGGGCTGTGTAGCCACCACCGCCAGAGTGACCATCGTGGCCACCTGAGTAACCACCTCCACGGCCACCCCAACCGCCGCGACGGTTACTCTGGAAAGTAGGGGGGGCACCGCCGTCGGGTGCAAAGTTGTTCTGCTGGCGACCAGCATAGTTAGTGTTGTTGCTGTCGATTTCACGTTAGCCATTGTGCGATTGTAGGTATACAAAAGGAGAGCAAAGGACAAGACTTACCCAGCCCAAGAGCTATTGCTGAGGCCATTGGGAGCACCGTTGGGGGCACCGCCGTTCATGGGAGCAGCAGCGGGGGGTGGGGGTGCAGCAGAAGGACGGTTTCGCATATGGGGCGGGATGTACGAGCGTTGAGGCTGTTGGCCATCGCCAAGGCTCAAGCCGCCCATGTTGAGTTGTTCCGCCATGTTGAAAGTGAAGAGTGAGTTGTTGTATGGGTTCTTCGGTTCGTCGTAGCGTGGACTTCGCAAAATATGCTCTTCGTATCTGACAAAAGATGCGAAAAACGAGACAAGAAATCGATCGTAGTAGGGAGAATCACCCTCGCAAAAAGACGAAAGAGTGAAATCAGAACCGCGTGTCTGCCGAGTCGTACTATAAACGATGTGACAGAAGAGAAAGAAAAGAAGGGCCTGTGCTCCTGGGTTTCTTCCCCGGATATATTATAAAGAAAAACAGCGGGTGCTTGCACGATCCCTCGAAGAAGCAAACAGAATCTTCAAAGGAAAGACAGACGGTCTCGACGATGACCTTAGATGATGAGAGAGGATGAGAGGAGGGGAGATGAAAGGTTTTGTGGTAAAGAGGTCTGAGTTTGTGGGAGGAAAGGAAAAGGGACGAGCGAGACGTTGGAGGCGAAAAAGGGAAGGGGAAAAAATCGGTTCGCGGGTGGCCACCACAAAGAGGCTAGTGCCCAATCGAGGAGGGTCAAATTTTTTTTTACTCTGCCTCTTTTGCTGGCACACCGACTGGACCACTTACAAGACGCACCTGCGCACCTCGGGGCTCCAGATCAGCTGGTGGCAGCCACTAGCAGAGCATTGCGGCAGCCCCCAGGCCCAGGCGCTAGCCAACGAGACACTAGAAATTTGACGCTGCGATCGTCGCGTACTGAAGTACCCAGGTACTAAGTACCTAGAGGCTTCCATTGATGTCTGTCGAGTACTCCGTAGTGATCGCAAGATCTACTCCGTACTCGGTACGGAGACCACCGCCCTTGGCTTTAGCAGCCGTTTTGTGTAAAAGTCAAAGCCAAGCTTCAGAAACTGGCGAGTTTCCCGTCGCTCTTCTTGCAAGCCTCGTTGATAGATCACTGGAGAGAGCGCCGTCCAAAGCCTACGACCAGATAGTTACAACCCTCGTCTCCACGTTAGGCGCCGTCATGGTAATCCGGCGGAAGCAAACCATCATTGACAGGATCTATCCAAGGCAACCCCGACCAACCGGCGCCTTAGCTACCTGGGTACCCCGCAAGTATAGGACGGCCAGTCCGCCTACAAATAGGGTTGGCCACGACTCAGACTTTTACCTCGGAGGTACTTGCTTCCACGGGACCATACCATTGTGGCACAAACGCCGGTGGTATTAACGTCATGACAAACCCTCGACCATCTGATGGGATGGGAGATGGAATGCTCAAGCCCAGCTCACGTGCGTGAAGAAGCAGTCTGCCACCAGGATCGTAGCACCTTTTTTTATTGCTGATTCCACGTCCGCGATTCGAGTTCTTCTAATCTAATACTTCTTCCTGCCGACGTTTTAACTGTCGCTCACACAGGCGTTTCGCCCAGTTACATTACAGTGCCTCCTATGTAAGAAAAGGTTTGCGCGTAGGGAGCTGACGTTCAGAATGCCTCAGCTTTGCAACGAAGAGAACACCCAAGATGATCTGAAACAAGCAGGTTTAGGGCAATATCTGTCATCAGTTTAGGGCATTGCGCGTAGCGCCATATTCGGTTGACCTTGACATTTCCTTTCAGCCGAGAAGTTTCCGACCATTGACTCCCAGACTTTGGCAATTTCTGGGCCCAATATTGGCAACTTTGCCCTCGCCACGCCGCCAGTATCACCAGAATTCTTTTGGGTGGCGTAACGCCGTAGTCCGTCCACCTTGACACCTCAATGACGTTGGCACGTGCTACGGGCTAGGCACCAAATTAACTTCAATGTTGACAGGACTACTACACCGGTTGACTTTTTGTCGTCCATGTTCTTGCAGTTCAGCCTGTTGCCTAATTGCCACCTTGTTTATACTACTCCAAACCACTGCGTCACAGAACTGACAACGATCCCACTGTGCGCAGCAAAAGATAAATACTCCACCAGTGGACTTGCCGGGTATACAGCCGTACATGCCTGAAGGCAATAGTTAATCATCTTTGTAAGCCTCAATACTTGTGGCAACACAATGTAACCCACTAGATCCAAGGCAAATAGTACACACATCATCCTCAGTTCATCTGTTCTGCAGAGCATATTGGTAGTGGCCTACATTAACATCTGAGGGCCACGTACGTGGTGTCTAGAAGACATCGTCTTATTTGTCAGCCTCTAAAGCCGGTTGTCGTGATATTAGTACAGGTTCCGCCTTTCGTCCCACCTCTAAGCGCTCTTCACAACTTTGTCATCATCCAGTACTATGTCTACAATTCCGTCTGCCTTGATTGCCTTGACCACCATGCCCTTGAAATCAATCGGTAACCGTCGCTTCAGCTCATCCGTGCACATCGTCAGAAGCTTGATGCCCTGGCCGAGAGTAATGTCAGGGTGGTGATGCTTGTCCAGGATAGACAGGCAGTAGTATCTTCGCAGAGATCGACGTTAGCAAATAATGGATGATGCTCAACGAGAATGTTGAGAATAGGTTTCCTGTTAATGATGTACATACTGCGCATAACCATGAGCGGCATAAGGAACCTCGGCTAGGGACGCCAAATAATCCAGCCAGTACAAGTGAGGTTTTCCCGTAATGGGATTAACTCCTCCCATCAGTAGGTTGACGTTGTAAGGGTGGCGCGATCGCAAGCTCGTAGCCAGCTCTCCACGAACAAAGTGTGCCAGTCCTGAGGGCGACAAGTCGGTCTCGTTTCGCATCGAATAGAGCTGAGCATTTCTTTGGATGTACTCCGCGAATTGCACTGCAAAGCTTGTCAGCATTTGGCTTTGTTTGTCCGTCATATGCCAGCTTCTGGAGACTCCGCGGAAAGAGTTTCAAGTCATCGTACCTGTATCTCCAGCCTCCCCTGAAAATGCCATCAGGGTGTGCTTGTTCAGCGCTCTTGTCTTGTCGTCGTCCGCTTTGAGGATCGTTGCGCCACGCATCGCTGCCTTAGAAGCGGCAATGATGGTGAAGTCCTTGCCCGTAATGCCCAACAGAACCTCCCTATACCGTGATGTTAGACACTCAATCCTAAAGATCAGCTGTGGACGGATGATACGTACATGTTGCCACTATTTCTGGTGTTTCTGGTGTAGGTTGCTGCGGAGGAGAGGAGGTGTAGTGATGAGTGAATGGAGGTTTGATGTAGCTTGCTTGGAAGCAACGAGCTCACGCCGCGAGATGTCCCATTGACCCGCTAGGCTGTAGCGCTGCGCGTCAATGAGGATGGCCTGTCTTGGAGACCGCCTATTGATTGTGCCATGCTCCACCGCCCGGCTCCCGGAGGCACTATTCACCGCAAATGTCTCATGATTGGCTGCGGTACCCATAAATAGTGGGGTCTTCGGTTTTCTGTCTACCCACCTCGAACTTTTTTTCTCTGGCCGTAGAGACCCTGCACAGAAAATCACAGACGAAGGCGGGACGGCAAGTCAGATCGCTCGAATTCACCAGGCGAGCGACAATGTCGTCTTTTTTTACAATCCCTGGCTCGCAGAAAAAGCGAAAGCGAGCTGCTGCTCCAGAAGCGCCAAAGAAAAGAATTGCTGGTGCAAAACCATCCTCTGCTAAGTCCTCCACCAGAACTGGTGCCGCGAATTCTAAGCGGAGAGTCGACCGAGATGAATCGATCTCTGGTAGCGACTCCGACGATGATGAAAGCTACGACAGCGCCTCAAACCCCGGCGACGATGAGGGTGTAGAGGACCGTCAGAGCTCGGACGATGAAGGCGAAACCGCGGCCGAGAAAAGACTTCGTCTTGCTGAGCGCTATCTCGAAAATATCAAGGAGCACGTTGATGAAGCTGGGTTCGATGCTGCGGATATTGACCGAGATCTGATTGCTGAACGGCTTCAAGAAGATGTAGCCGAGACCAAAGGCAGGGTCTACCGCCAATTGGCTACGCAATTGGCATTCAGTAAAGCATCGCAAACCTTTTTCCGCACTAATACCAACTCAGTCACATCCATCGCTGTATGCGCACCTTTCGTGTACACTGCGACAAAAGATCTTGTTTTACACAAATGGAGAACTCAAGATCTTCCTCAATATCAATTTCCTCAGACAACAAAAAGAAAACCCAAGAAACCGCCTGCGCCACCAAGAAAACGACCCCAATTGGAGGCATGGATTAAGGGCAACAAGAGCAAAAGCAAGGACAAAAATTACAAGAGACACACGGGTCAAATTCTGGCAGTGGCAGCCTCCCCGGATGGAAAATATGTCGTGACGGGTGGCGAGGACAAGAAATTGATTGTGTATGAAGCCGATACGCTGAAACCGATCAAAGTCCTTACACATCATAGAGACGCCATCACAGGACTGGCATTTCGTCGCGGCACTAATCAGTTGTATTCGTCATCGAGAGACCGAACTGTCAAAGTATGGAGTCTAGACGAATTAGCCTACATAGAAACGCTCTTCGGGCATCAAGACCATGTCGTCGATATTGACGCCCTTGCCCAGGAGCGCTGTGTCTCCGTCGGCGCAAGAGACAGAACGGCCCGTTTATGGAAAGTCATGGAGGAGACGCAACTCGTTTTCCGTGGCGGAGCGGTCGACAAGAAAAATGCTCCCCAGGATATTGACCCGCGATCGCTGCTCCACGAAGGAAGCATGGATCGTGTCGCCATGATCGACGAAGACCTCTTTGTCACTGGAAGCGACAACGGTGCCATTGCACTCTGGAGCGTAACCAAGAAGAAGCCTGTTTACATCGAGCCCCTTGCACACGGCTTAGACCCGGCTATAAATCCCCTCGACGCCTCAGCAGAAGTCAATCCTGACCCGAAAAAGGTCATTCCCGCACCTACGCCACGTTGGATCACAGCCCTCAAGACAATTCCATACTCAGACATTATTCTCAGCGGTAGCTGGGACGGGCACATTCGTGTATGGAAGCTTACTGAGGACAAGAAGAAAATTGAGCAGATTGGCGTGCTTGGTGACTTCGCTGACGACTATGACAACGAGTCTGTTAAAGATGCTCCTAGCAGCAATGGCACCGCGGAGTCGCGCCGTCCTATACCCGGACTGATCAACGATATTGCTGTTTTTGAACGTGGTGAACGTGGCAAAGATGGGCTATGTGTGGTTGCTGCAGTGGCGCAGGAGCACCGTTTCGGAAGATGGAAGGTATTCAAGGGTGGTGTACGCAATGGCGGTGTCGTGTTTGAAATATCGCGGATACCTACAGCCCAAGTGAATGGGGATCATGAGAGTTCAGGTTCTGATGACGACGAGAGTGATTCATAGCGTGGAGCATTGTATATAGACCTCATAGTCTGGCGTCCGGGCATTCTTGTTATTAAAAAAAGCAGCTGTGGGCATAGATCTGCTTGTTACAATTTGATAATTGCCGTCATCATTTTCCGCGCTCTAAACCACCAGATACATGAATGCAAGACTGGTAGGGAAACACATTACCCCCAAATTGCAAGGCTCATCTGCGAAACGGGCATTTTGCTCTGGTCGCGTAAAGGTCTCTGAACGCAGTGTCTAGCGAAATATGTATATTCAGCATCGAGTATATGTTAACAATACACTCGCATACCATCACTATCCACTTCAGCAGGCCCGAGCCGATTCTGTCTCCTCCGGCACGTCAACTCCTCATTGATACCTAAAACAGCTCTTTCCCACCAGACCCAATGCTTTTGTCGCTTCTTGCACTTCACTTCATGCCTAGGGATTTGCTCCAGATCGGCTGCGACAGCCATCCATAGCACCGACAATGTTTCTATACCACCTCTCGTCGAGCAGCGCCTTCATCAGATGCCTAGACCTATCACACTGTTCATTGAAGGTAGTTAGGACAAAAGAAAGTAGCCCCGAGCATTCCTATCCTTCCATGTCCTACTACCGTCCATAACCCGTTCCCTCAAGTTCTGCAAGGCCCATAGCAGTCGTTTGCCGACAGTCCTCCAACGCGAAATGTGTGGTGGTTGTTAATACGGTTGCTGTTAGTCCGAGTGGTGTCAAGGGTTTTATTCACCAGGCAATTAGGACGTCAGTAATCGCACTTGCTTCGTGAATCATAGCATATCATAGACGATACAAGTGTACTGCAGCGTGCTGGCAGATATCTCATAGTGTAGTGCTGTATATTGCATAGTACTGAGATTTGTTCCCTGGAAAAGCGCACGAGAAGGCTCACATGATACTGTGCGATGCCCTCAAGGCATATCCTAATAAATGCAACACTTGAAACAAATATAACTTTCCATCATTCATTGCCATGTATTGTATCACTCGTCATGGAACTGAGTAAGCACCTCGTATGTTGGTTATCAAGGGCGCTACCACACTGAGGCCATTCTATATAACTTGCTCATATTTTCAAACGAAACATTGCCAAGAACACTCCATTTGTCATCTCTCAGTTGTTGCCGCAATTTGTAATGCGTTATGATGACGTGCCAGCATCATCGGCCAGGCAGTCGCACTCGTATAAAGAGTCATGGCATCATCTTCGTGGGCATTGCAGAGTACACTGATCAGGTTGTCGATATTACTGGGGAAGGCGGTAAGGTTGCAGATGGCCCCATTCGTGTGCCCGGCGAGGAACTGGAGTTTTGACCGTGTACGTGCATGTACATATATGCTCCAGGCTGTGACGATGATTTTGACATGCCCGAGTCCTTTAGCTACATAGAGTCAACCATCCTTGCGATGGAAAAGAGTGGGCAAAAAAGACATCTACTTGGCTGTTAATCGCAGCAAATTATTTGTGCCATTTTATTCGAGCTATTCACCTCTTTCTGCCCATGCATTAGTTACATGTCATTGTAGTCGCCGAGAACAGATGCAGGAGTGCAACCGCATCTCCACATGCCAATGCGAAGCAGGGGCCTGCCGCCAACGTCATCCCCAAGTTCAACTCCAGCGACCACATCACCAGCAAGTAACCAGGCAGCATTTTACCACCAGACCACATCCAAGCAAGCTCAACCGCACCCGCACGTCAATCGCACAACCCACAAACCGCCAAGCAACGAAGTGAATGAATCGGCCGTCCGGCCATCCCCCGAAATGATGTCTTCTACCAACGAGGAGGATCCTTTCCTCCACGTCCAGCAGTAAGCCTACCGCCACATCCACCGGCCCAAAATAGCCCCCGAAACGAAGCTCACAACACCAGGGACGTCCTCAGCCAGCTCCAGTCAACCCGCCCGCTGTTCGCATCCTACCTCCGCATCCGGTCCCTAACCACGACGCCCTCCTCCCCCGAACTGGCCTCCGCCCGAACCGACCTCGAGGCCGCCCTCTCCACGCTCGCCGAAGACCTCTCGGACCTGGTCGCCTCTGTCCAGGCCATCGAGTCCAACCCCTCCCAGTATGGCATCTCGTCCGCCGAAGTCTCACGGCGCAAGCGCCTCGTCTCAGAGGTGGGCGGCGAAATCGAAGACATGCGCGAGGAGCTGCACAAGAAGATCGACCACCAGCCCGCCGCCAGAGAACACCTCCCCGACCCGGACTCCTTTGCCGTCGGCGACGGCGACGGCGACGGCGACACGTACGCCGAGTTTGAGCAGCAGCAGCAGATGGAGATGATGCGCGAGCAGGACCAGCACCTGGACGAGGTGTTTCAGACAGTAGGCAACTTGAGACGCCAGGCGGACGATATGGGGAGGGAGCTGGAGGAGCAGAGGGAGTTGCTGGATGTGGTTGACGACACGGTCGACAGGGTGAGCGGGACGCTGCAGATGGGCATGCGCAAACTGCAGCATGTCGTGAGGAAGGGTGAGGATCGGTGGAGTAGCTGCTGCATTGCCGTCTTGATATTTGTCTTGATCCTGCTGTTGGTTCTCTTGTTGATTTTGTAGAATACCCCGGGGGGAGGGGTTGACAGAGCGTGGCCCTACAAGAATGAGCGAATTTTTTTCCTATTATATATATACAGGCTTGACCATGGAGTTTCACGGCGGGAGATATCATGCTGCAATGGGTTTTTGCGTGTCGGAATTCGGTATCATTATGAGAGTATGTAGCACTAGAACTCATCTTTATATTGCTATCAGCTCTAGATGTCGCTCCCGTAACCATCTAAATCTTAAAACGCCACCATATGCAATCGGTTCGTCACCTTCTATCTGCTCAATTCCCTGGCACTTGATGTGCGTTTAGTATACTCATTTCCAGCCTATGCCAACGCCAATCCACTATCTGAGCGGAGGATGTCCGCCAACGCACGCAAGGAACCCGCCGCAGGCGAATTTGCAGGCGCTCGCTTGGGAAACTCTACCAACGCTAACTGCAATGCAGCTATGGCGGCGTTTCCATAAAAGTTTATGAATCGGGATTCATGGCCGTCAATCATGGACCGCAGAACGACGAGTTGCGTATTGGAGATTTGGGCGGTCGGGCAGTTGACAATACTGGCAAACGCCTTCCAGTAGTGGGTCGGGGGGTAGGGGTTCGTCTTGGAAGCCTTGCTAAAGTCGCGAAGAGAAATAGATGCAAAGCCGGCACCGAGACCGGCCATCCTATTGTTATGGGCTTGCTCTGGGATCCATGAAGGGCCATCTTTCTTCCATCCCAGTGCCTGTCTACCCTTTTCTGTTTTCTCGTTGCCTCTTGATCCAAATAGAACGGGGCACACGACTCTGAATTTAGCCACGAGGATATCAATCAAGGACTGGCCTCGCCATGAAAAGTCCTTGTGAGAGAAAACTTGGGCGGTGAATACGCCGATGGGATCAGCGGCTTTGGGATTTGCTCCGCCTTCGTTGATAAACTGGCTAATAATGCCCTTGGCGCAGATATTCATAAGGTAAATGAATAGTGAGGGAAGTTCTGCGCCGTTGTTTGGGATGTCCTGCGTTGAGGGCTCCCGCGGAATAGCTACAAATTGACCAACAACGACTGGGGGGCTGGGTAGTTGACCGTCTAATGATTGTCTCAAGAGAGACATGATTTTAGTTGTCTGTGAATAGTTAGCCAGAAAGATTCTCCACACTGCGAGTAGCCAGCTCTGGTTACTTACCGATGATACGTTGGCCCCCTTTCCGCCAGTCAGCTGTCCAATAGACACGCGAATCTCTCGGCGGATAGTGCCAACTTTTCCTTTGAGTGGTGATCCTGCCACCTTTGACGCTGCCACAATGTCCTTCCGCAGTTGTTTCAGGGCCTGGTGAATTCGAATATATTGATCCGAGAGGGGATCAACAGACGACTTTGGCAACTGCGGTGTCTGACTCGGTGCAACGGGCTGTTGTGATTGAGACGTTTTCGCTTCCGGCGGCGATGTTCTGTTCTGGTCCAAAACAGATGGCTGTTGAGATTTGGTTTGCTGGCCAGCAGCCGCGAAAGGACTGCTTGGTACGGGTTTGCCCAAGTTGGAGAACAAGCCATTTTGCTGCGGCGCTGGTGCTGAAGGCTGGGTTTTCGCTTGCGTTTGTGCCAGCGGCTCGGATCCCTTCACCTCTCGGGGTTCGGATACAACGGATACTGGCTTCTTCTCACCAGCCGGCTTCTCGACCGGCTTGGCTGGCTCAGGCGGCGGGGGCGGCGGCTTGGGGATTGATTTCGCTTTGAGTTCTTGCAGTCTCTTCTCTTCTGCGGCGATCGCAGCCTCGGCCTTTAGTCTCTCTTGCTCCCTGCGTCCTTGTTCCAGTATACGGTTGTGCTCTTCTTTAAGTTCGTGCAATTCGTATACTCTGATAGCGGCTTCCCTGACCCGATCGTGCTCGGCTTGAGCCGCTGCGAGCGCATCGCGATGGCTCAATTCGTTGTTTCTGCTATCTAGGAGAAAGTTGGACAGATACGGTCGGTCTGGACTCGATAGCAATTGACTCCTCCTCAGCGGAGAGGAGTTTGCCATTGTGTTTGTGGGATATCGGACAGGGTGGAGAGAGCCGTGCTATCGTTGCTGCATTGGAGAAATGAACGTGATTCGGGAACAAATGTGTTTGTTTATATTTGGAAAAGAAGACTCCGGCTCCAAGTCGTCATGTGCGCAGAGATTGCAATGCTCCTAGGTTGTCGAGATAGAAACGTCTGCGCGCCTGTTGATATTACCTACTAGATACTTAGGATACTTAGGTAGGTTCAATTGGAATCTTTATTTCTTCTTGATACTAGTGGCATGTCGATAAGGTGGTACATACTCCGTACCATGTGTTGATACCGGATCCGCAAAAATAAAAGCCCGGCACGATGTAATGGCGCTCAGTGGATCTACCAAGTACATTCATCAGATGTTTGCCCGGAATAGTAGCGTCCGGCTTTAGGGTAGGGGAACTAACAGGGCAAGAGAAGAAGGCAAGTCATTCAATTGTCAACAGGCGGCCTTAGCAACAAGGATTCGTAATTCAACCGCATTGCACTGCTGAGCGCGAGTGCTTCAGTCCGTTTCAAACGACGCCAGTGTATGAGTCCAGCCATCAGCATGTTCCCACCGTGGCCAGAGTCATGTCTTCGAGGACGGGATGCTGTGACAACAGAAGTTGGTGTGAGTTGCGCTGTTTCGCATTGGTGTTTTGTAGAGAGCTGATGTGGCCTTATCAAGAAACGGTCAACGGTGAATGGTCAAGCGACGGTTGATGATATCCACAGGCTGTGTGTGAAAAGAATGGAGTAATCTCCCGGCACAACTGCGTGGTCAATTTCTTGCCTGGCAATGGATGATGTCAAGATTGAGTCGCCCCACTGTTTCAGTCGATCAACGGTTCTAGGGAGTATCGCTTGGTTCTAGAAACGGTTGACAGAAGCGAGCAGCTCATTCTGAAGCACGGAGTACTATCCAGAGATACGAGTGATCTCCCTCGTAGCCTTTGGACTACTTACTTTATCTACTTGTAGGTACTTACTTACTTGAGTAAGTATGATAAGATATCCTGGCAAGTGCGGAGGATGCGGTCGTATTGTGCAGGTAGAGTCGACATCTGGACGCACCCAAGCTCCCAGCAGTGAGGGTGCCTCGTTGCACGGAGGAGGATCAGCGTAGAGACAGGGGCTTATTCCGCTTGGGATATAAAGCCGGACGACGAATATTGGATGCCCACATGTGCAACCTGATACCGGGCTGTTTGGCGCCACAGTGAACAAAAGCATACCCGAAGAGACAAAAGTAGTAAACAAATTACTCTTTGTAGAGCGGACTGGAGCCTGCGTCCTCAAATGCCCTAGCATCCAATACGACAACAAGGTGTCACCGTGGCAAGCGCCTTGTTCCGCGGGCAAGGATCCAGCCCGAGCAGGGGTTTGGGCCTAGGGCTGCATCACGGCGAGTAGCGTCATTGAGGCCAGGGACAGCAATCTGGCCAGAGAACAGCTCGACCCTATCCAAAGATGTCTCGCCGCTGCCGCAGAGAGAATGTGGACATGCACGCACCAGCATTAGACGCTTGCCACGGCGGAAGGGGTCTGGTGTTGGGAATTTGAGCATTTGAGGTCTGGTGGGTTTGGTGGCGCCAACAGGCCATGTACTTAATAAGTGGTTGACAATTCGGTCAATGCTTCACTGAGCTACTCGGTGCCCCGTACTGAGGACCTAACTTGCGGCTGTTTGAAGGGGATCCGCCGGCACTTCAACTGTTCCATGTTGGACTCGACAGCATTGAGACTTTCGAATCACGACGTAGGGCCGCAGGGTGCCACCAGAAAACTTGCCGGCGCCACGTCGATGTTGCTCAATGTTGGCAATGGCGCTTGAAGGCTGCCGCCGACCGGAAGCTTAAACCGATGGCCAAATGCACGGAATACTCCGTGCAAACCGCGAATGCAGTAATCAGGTAGTTACCTGAGGCTCGTAAGTATTTTACATGTCTGATACACGTTCAATTGGCAGATGATGAGCGAGTAGAAGCCGGGTCCAGGTGGCCAATTGCGCAATCTTGGAGGCCAGTCAGCAGCACCAGACTCTATGTACATGGTGTGTCTGTGTCGAGTTTCCAGTGCCAGGACAGTTGACTCAATTGATCAATCAATGAAATGTTGAGACGTCAACCGCACCCAGCGGACACGCACTCGAAGCCCACTGTAATAGCGACCGAATCTCCAGTCGGCAAGCCCAACATTATGTAAACACTGAACATTGAAGGGCCAGGCACTGTACCTAGGCGCCTATACTGTCGAGTTGGCCTAGCTACAGGACAGACCTGGCAGGCACTTGAGATGACCAGTCGACAGCCATCAATCGACATGGACCGTCTATGTTGCCCCTCCATGTCCCCGACACCCCCAGGTGCGCCCAAGCTTCAGCTTCAGTCCCCAGTCCCCAGTCCCCCGTCCCCAGCCAAGCCAGTTGGCGAGCACCAGTTGACTCGGGTCCCAGAAAACTGCCATCACGTCCAACTCGGCTCGGCTCTCCGTCTCCTCCCATCACTCCATCCATCACTCACCACCATCCTCACTCATAGTCTCGCGGAGCTGGGCTTCCCCCCTCTCTTCATTCCATCCATCCCATCTCTGCCTTCCTTTCCGCAGCTTCACCATCATCACCGCATTGCACGCTCCTTGGCTCTGAACGAGCTCGCTTTTTGCAATCCAGCCGCAATCCCACCCTCCTTTTGGCAACCACGTACATCCTCTTCGTACCAGCCTAAGCTTCGGGGCCTTGCTCGCTACTGTCTCTAAGCCAGCTTCCAATCGACCACCCAACGGTTCAGTACCTATTCTACCGATCATCATCATCGCTTCAAGACTTTCCGTCTCGTCCCGACAAGATCTCAATACCCACAGCGAATACAACAAATACAACAGTCACCAACTTTCTTGCCACGCCATTGCACTGCACTGCATTGCATTGCACCGCGTTGGCCGCACTCGACGTGCCTCCAGAGACCCCCAATCCAACTGTGTGCTGTTCGTCTCTGATTGTCCATCATGGAGCCGCAGCAACAGCAACAACAGCCGCAGCAGCAACAGTCGGCCCAACAGCAGCCGACTGGTGGTGTCCCTGGTCCAGCTGGGAGAAGACTGCACATTGCCCATCGGCGAAGCCCCTCGGAGCTGACTCCATTGATGAGCATGTTTGCCAACCCTGGAAGTAAGTCGCCGCGAGTCACCTCGAATTGAACACATGTTTCTTTTTTTTTTTTTTGGAAAGGTTTCAGTAATCTGCCATCAACGCCAAGGCATCACTGTGACCAAGGCCAGATGTTGTGTTTCACATGTCCATGCCTGGTCTGGTGGTAGCGGATATAGACTGGCGCCTCTTCGCAATTCATTATTACTCTGAACGTCACTAACATCTCCCCCAACGCAGTGGAACAGTTGGCGATTCAACAGCAGATTGAACTGTTGCAGCAGCAGCAACAGCAGATCCAGGCGACCCATCAACAGTATGTCAACATGGGCATGATACCTCCTGGCCAATCCCTTGGTCATAATGGCGCATTCAATCCTTTGCAGCCCATGGGCAATGCTTTCCAGTTTCCCAACCAAATGGGACAGCAAAACATGGCCCCTCCGAGCCAACCACACTCACATCGCCGTAATCAGTCGGCAATGCCTAATATGGGCATGGGTCCTCCGCCCGCACCGTCTTCTGGTGCTTCCGGCTCCAACTTTGGTAACTTCGAAGCTCCTCCAGCACACAACCGAGAAAATACCGGCGGTCGAGGGGGCAGGGGAGGCTCTGGCGGGGGTCATCAGCGACGACACTCGCTTGCCTTGGCTGATGCAAAGAAAGCTGCTGAGATCGCACAGCAGAAACGCACCACAAGCGGTTTCCAGTTCCCCGCTGCCCCCGCCCCGGCTTCTGACAAACCCGACGACGAGAACAAACCCGTTGCACCATCCAACCTGGACATATCGGTTGCCCAAGGCTCTAACAGAGGTCGTGGTGGCCATGGACGAAGCCAGAGCATGGCTGTCAACGGCCGCGGAGGCTCCGGTCTCCGTAGCAGTGCTTTTAGTCTCGGCGGTGATGGCGATGGGCGACGCGGTGGTGGTCATGCCCGCTCCGGATCACGAAACTTTGAAGGCAATTGGCGTACTCAGGGGCAGAATCTAGACCAGGCTGGCAATACTGGTCAAACTTCTTCCTTCCAGCCGGGCCATAGGCCTCGTGGCTCTATCAACCAGTCTGTATCGTCAATTGGGGCCTTCCAGTACAACCCCAACCAACCCCAACTTATGCAGCTGCCCGGCCAAATGATGATTCCCCAGATGTACGGGCAGCAGCTCAACCCTATCCAGTTGAGCCAGCTGCAGGCCCTGCAGGCTGCTCAGATGAGTGGCCAACAGTTTCAGGGCCTTCAGACTTCGCAGCACGCTGGCCAGCTCGGTGGTCAGCAGCAACAGCAGCAGCAACGAAAGACGCTCTTTACTCCTTACCTTCCTCAAGCCTCCCTTCCTGCCCTTCTCGGGGATGGACAGCTCGTCGCTGGTATTCTTCGTGTTAACAAGAAAAACCGTAGCGATGCCTACGTGACTACGCAAGATGGCTTGCTAGATGCTGATATCTTTATCTGTGGTAGCAAGGATCGGAATCGCGCCTTGGAAGGCGACCTCGTCGCTATCGAGCTTCTGGATGTTGATGAGGTTTGGTCTCAGAAGAAGGAAAAGGAAGAGAAGAAGAAGCGCAAGGATATCACGGATACTCGCTCTGGCTCCACCAACCAGGGTAACCGAGACTCTGGTAATAATGAAGATAACAATGCCGCCGAAGGCGGTATTCGACGACGCGGTAGTTTGCGCCAACGACCCACGCAGAAGAAGAACGATGATGTGGAGGTTGAAGGCCAGAGTTTGCTACTTGTTGAGGAGGAAGAGATTAGCGACGAGCAGAAGCCACTCTACGCTGGCCATGTTGTGGCTGTCATTGAACGTGTTGCTGGACAGATGTTCTCGGGCACCCTCGGCCTGCTACGTCCCAGCAGCCAGGCTACCAAGGAGAAGCAAGAGGCCGAACGCGCTGCCAGAGATGGTGGCAACAATCGCCATAATGATTCACGACAGCAGGAGAAACCCAAGATTGTTTGGTTCAAGCCTACGGACAAGCGGGTACCACTTATTGCTATCCCTACGGAGCAGGCTCCTCGAGACTTCGTCGAGAAGCATCAAGACTACGCCGATCGCATCTTTGTCGCTTGCATCAAGCGTTGGCCCATTACCTCACTACATCCATTCGGCACCCTTGTTGAGCAGCTTGGCCGCATGGGTGAACTTAAGGTGGAGACCGATGCCTTGCTTCGTGACAATAATTTCTCCTCTGACGAGTTCTCCGATGCTGTCCTGCGTAGCGTCGGCCTCCAGGATTGGTCTGTGGCCAAGGAGGAAGAATCCGAACTCGCAGCTCGTCGTGACTACAGAAATGAAAAGGTATTTACTGTTGACTTCAACGGTAGTGCCGAGCTTGGAAATGCCATCCATGTCAAGTCCCGCCCCGATGGCAAGATTGAAGTTGGTATACATGTACCTGATGTTACTCACTTTGTCAAGCCCAACTCACTTGTCGACCGTGAGGCCAAGAAGCGTGGAACCTCTGTCCAGCTCATCAACCGTTTCTGCGCTCTTCTACCCCCGAAGCTATCCAGCGAGGTTTGTTCCCTAGGACCTGACCAGGAACGCTATACCACCTCTGTTGTTTTTAATGTCAACCCTAATAATGGATCAGTTGCGGAGGGAGACAGTTGGGTTGGGAAGAGTATCATCAAAAGTTCGGGCAAGCTTAGCTTGAAAGATATAGATCAGGCTCTGGAGAACGCTTCCGAATTCAAGAATGAGGTCGTCCCTGTCAATACTGTCCAGATCCTCCAGGCTGTCGCCCAAAAGTTCCGCGAGGCACGCCTTGGAGCGGGCGGCGAACCGATTGCTCCTTTGCGACTGTTCCAGCAGCTTGACGACGAGAACAATCCCGTTCAAGACAACATTTTCGACTCAACGCAAGCCTTGGAGCTTGTCGAGGAGCTCATGCACAAAGTCAACAGCTACGTGGCTCAACGCCTTGCTGAGGGTTTGCCTGAAAAGGCTCTTCTCCGCCGCCAGGCGTCCCCCAACCCCCGCCGCCTGCAAACCTTTGTCGATCGCATGAATGCGTTGGGCTATGACATTGACGCCTCTGGGAGTGGTGCTCTTCAGAACAGTCTCTTCAAGGTTGACGACACTGATCTTCGCAAGGGCATGGAAACTGTGGTACTTAAAGCTATGCACCGTGCCAAGTACTTCATTGCGAGCAAGACTCCTAAGCAAATATGGCCACACTACTCTCTTAACCTCCCACTTTACACTCATTTCACAAGCCCAACTCGCCGTTATGCTGATATCATTGTTCACCGTCAGCTCGAGGCTGTTTTATCAGAAGGCAAGATTGAATTTGCTGATGATGTGGAAAGCCTGGCTAAGACTGTTGAGTCATGCAACACTAAGAAGGAGTCTGCCCAGAACGCACAAGACCAGAGCATCCACATCGAGTCATGCCGCACTATGGACAAGAAGCGACAGGAGGCTAACGGAGACCTTATTTCAGAGGGCATTGTTTTGTGCGTGTATGAGTCGGCCTTTGACGTGCTTATTCCCGAATGGGGCTTTGAGAAGCGTGTACACTGCGATCAGCTGCCATTGAAGAAGGCCGAGTTCAGAAAGGAGAAGCGAGTTCTCGAGCTGTACTGGGAGAAGGGCGTGCCTAGTTCTGCCTACGTTCCCGAGGATGAGCGTCCCAAGGCCGCCGCTTCTCAAAGAATGACCAATGCCATGGCCGCCGCCCGTCAGGCAGAGGAAGCCGAGAGAGTCAAGAAGGAGCGCGAGGAAGCGGCGCGCAAGCAGACGATCACCGGCACCATCTCGACTGACGATGTTGATGCTCTGTTTGACGACGACGACGAGGACAACACTTCTGATCTTACAGAAGCCATGGCTGGAGCGTCCCTTGCCGAGCGTCCGACACAGAGCGTGCCAGGATCTCCCGCTCGCTCTGCCTCGAACGCCGGTAAGCTTCACCGGACCCGTTCGGACTCGAAGGTTCCTGTCACCGATGCCGTGGAGACCCGGTTGACAAATAAAGAGAAGTACCTGAAGTTGTTCAAGTTGAGAGAGGAGGGCGGCGACTATATTCAGGACGTAACGGAGATGACTCGGGTGCCCATCATCTTGAAGACAGATCTCAGCAAGAGCCCGCCGTAAGTGACACTGATGAAATGAGAATCATGTGTTTGAACAATCAATGACTAACATTGTGTGCAATAGGTGTCTGACGATCCGCTCACTGAACCCATATGCTTTGTAAATGGAGAGGAGGAAGCTGGACAGGCCATAAGCCAGCTAAGTAAACAGATTGAACCAATAATACGCACAATCAAGTATGATGGGAGATGGAGAAGAGACGGGAGAGATAGCAGCCCAAAGGAAGTGTTGTGTAATTTTCTTGCGCATTACGGAGGGTCCGTCGACGGCTACTGATGTGTGTGGTACATAACATGATACAAATAGTAGATGGGTGTCATTGAGCAGACAGGTAGCGTCACAAGGAGGAGAACAAGTATGGTAGCGTGGGGACAAAAGTGAAGTAGCAAAAGAAAGACATTTGGACATTTGCCTTGGGCGTATGGCTCAGCAAGCATCGAGGCCAAGCGTGACAAATTTATTATCCTTCACGTGAATGATTACCGGGAGACTGGAGAGGAAAGATAAACATGGCAAAGAGTAAGTCATCCGAGCGGGATCTGATTGTTGCGAACAGATGACACATACATTGGGGGAGGAATCGTGTGAAATGTAGATCACCTTTTGGCGAGTGCCAAGGTACGACCAGACGAGTTGAGATGAATGAATAAGGCGCCAGGCGTGTACTGGCCGACGCCTCGTGTTGGGTGTACAGCATGATCGGCCGGAGAATCATGCGCTCTGGGGATGACAAATGAGATGCACAGGACAGTGAGGTAGGTGATTGGTCCATGACAATCAATATGTAGGTTGCCATTGACTGGGCCTCATCCCAAGGCTCACTCGGAGGCTTCGGGCAATGTGCACATGCGCCTGGCGGGGTGACATGGAGAGCTGTGTGCTGTCTGGTGCGCTGTATGTACCTACTTAGGTATGCAGTAAGCTGTCGGTGTGCTGTACATAATGCTGCTGGTAGTACATAGCACTGAGTAGTTTGTAGCCCACACCAGTTGACATGCAGCCATTGCAGGACATTGGAGGAGGCTAACGCTGGAGGGCTCGGGGCCGGAGGTGTGTCACGACGGTTTCGGTTTCGGAGGGTGGACGGGCCGGCGACATTGACCTGGCTCACGCACACTGCGCCGTGCACCAAGTTGCGCCTTTTTGCATCCTTCATCCACCCGGCCAGACCACATACCGAGCAGGGATGCGGCTTCCGTCGAAACGAAGCGTCTCTGTGCCTGTCCCGCAATGGACCCTACCTAGCTCTAGCAGCGGCACGGAAATCTCCTGGCCCGTTCGCTCCCAAGGCCAAACCGAGTTGCGTGGCAGACGTGTCCGTCCGGACTCTGGAGCCATGGACGACACAAGGCCGTGTTGAAACAAATGTCGAAGTGCCCATCTTCGGCATCTCCAGGAGCCGCGGACAGACTATGCAATGCTCAAAGGGGCAAGTGACGGGTCGCGGCCCAAGAATTATAATAACATTTGGGTTCCCCGTGCCCATCACGTCTTATTTTTCAGCTTCTTGTTTCCATCTATCGAGGCAGAGTAGTATACATTCACTTCCTTCGACCATCAAAACTTGTCCTGGCCGCCTGTGGTCTCTTGCTTGTCCACGTTCTTTTTCTGCTTCTCTTTGACGACAGCTGGCCTGACAATTTCGTATATACACTTAATATCTTATTCATTCCCTGGCGGCTGGCCCCTACCGACGACATATTTTATAATATCATAGTACAATCCCTACACAAACTTCGAGACGATGCCTTCATTGAAAGTTGCCGCTTTGGCTTTATTAGCCGCCACGGGCTCGGCGTTGCCTGCCGCCCGCCGGGGTAATCTGGTTGTAAGACAGGCTCAAAATGGGACTGCCCCGACCACGGAAGTGTCTGAAACTGAATTGAACGATTTCGATATTTTGCAAATGTAAGCCCGCACCGTATTATTCCACCCTTGGACAGTCAAGTCGTCGTTGGGGCTAGAGGCTAATTCCGAATCTCTTGGTAGCGCCTTGACGTTGGAGCATCTCGAGGAAGCATACTACCGCGAGGGCTTCGCCAAATTCCCAGACTCAGACTTTGCCGCGCTTGGCCTCAAGCCAGAGCAGATCGAGGACCTCAAGAGAATCGGCCAGACGGAGGAAGAACACGTCTCGTTCCTCCAGTCCACACTGGCCCAAGCCGGCGTGCAGCCCGTGCAGCCATGCCAGTACGAATTCAACGTGACCGACGCCAAGGGCATGGCCACCCTGGGCGCGCTGTTCGAAAACGTCGGCGTGTCGGGCTACCTGGGGCTTGCGAAGCGCATCAAGGACCCTGCCATCCTGTCGGCCGCCGCGACAATCGTCACCATTGAGTCGCGACACCAGAGCTCTCTGAGGGTGCTGCTCGGCCAGACCGCCGTCCCGCAAGCCTTTGACGCGCCGCTCAGCCTCAAGTCCGTCTTCTCCATCGCCGCCCCGTTCATCAAGTCCTGCCCCCAGGGATCCAACCTCGCCGTCACCCCTTTCCCCGCGTTGACCATGGAGGCGGCACAATCAGGAGAGGCGAGCGCCATGACGGTCGGATCTACCGTCCGCGTCGCCGCCGCGAGCGGTGCTGCTGCAGCTACGCACTGCGCCTTCACGTCCGGCGGCGTGGTTCCCGGCGGCACTGCCTTCACCCCGTTCTCCGAATCCGCTGGGTGCGAGATCCCCCAGGGCGTCGCGGGCGTGACGTACCTGTCGCTGGCGAGCAGCGCACCGCTGGATGGCGCCTTGACGGACGACATTACCGTTGCTGGACCTATGATTCTGGCCTTGTGAGAGCGGGATGAATGCGAGCACTTTTTTTATTGGCTTCAAAAACATGAGAGAGAAATTCGGGCTGGCAGGCATCGTTCGAGTCAAGAGAGCAATCTTCATGTTGCGAAAAAAAAAGTGCATTTTTCGCCGGCACTGCTTTGCGCAGGCCGTTAGCTCAAGCTGTCTATATATAGCTTGAGGGTATTCCCAAAATCTTTTTTCTTGCATTTAATTCTCTTTTTTAGTAATACCATCCAGCGCGATTCAAAGTCGTGTCTTGGGCGTTTTTTTTTCCCTAGCCAAAGTTGAAAAAAACGAAAGAAATTCACTTTTCCACCGCGTATTCCCTCTGTGCTCGTGTCGTGCAAGTGATTTGATTGTCGTTTTGAAGCAAGCTTAGCTTAAGCCCCCTTGCCCCTGCGAGGGTTCTGGGCGCCACGATTTGTGTCAGGGAGAAGGGTTCTGAAACGGGGGTTCGGGGGCTTGCGGTTTTGCCTTTTTGTGGAACGAGGGGAACTTTCTTTCTCAGCTAGGTTGGCAATGGATAGAATAGTAGTTCGTCTTGGTGTTTGTTTATTTGCGTTTAACACTTCGGGGTGGGTTGTGGCCTGCCATGCCATGCCATGCCATGGGGGCGTCGAAAAGAGGCGGGAATAACAATGCATGAATAAAATAGGCAAAAGAGAGACAAGAGAGGTGGAACAAGAACAAGACGATTGAATTTGGTCGTTCCAGTGGCAAATGACATGTTGGCCGACCAAACTACGCCAAGTCGTATGGCGGATGGCACTTGTCAACGCTCTGTGGCATCTTCACGACGGCACTGGTAAGAGAATGCGCCTTTGTCGTTGCTGAATTGCTACATCTCTTTGAAAAAGAAGTTTGAGCAGCATCGCACGATGAATGGCAAGATACCTCACCGGCTTGCGAATTCTTCCGGCAAACAGTTCCGTAGTATATCAACCACCATCCGTAGTATATACAACCACCAAGGTGCCATAGCAAAGTAAGGAGTCGCAATCAACAACAGGCCCTACGGGTAGACGAATCTACGCATCAGTATTGGCAGAATAACAGTCACGTCTTCTTCACAGTTGGACAAGACACCTGCCTTGCCGTTACACCCGTCCATGTCCACTTGCTGCTGTTAGCTAGGCACCCTCAACCGTTGCCAACGCCACCGTGGACACGGGGCTTTATATTGCAACATTGGAGCATGGGCACACCAAATGGCCGTGTATCAGCGGCAACTGCCGGATCCGGCCGAGCACGCTTGATGCAAATGTCGACTGAGCCCAGCGCGGTTGACGCCACCGCCGCAGGGCAACACGAGAAACCACCATGACCACTCCGTCATGGACGTGCATGGCTCCCGTGGTCGACATGTCGAATTGTTGCACTTTGAATCCGGACGTGAGCTATCTTATCCAGCTTCTCGGCATGTCGCCTGCCATTGGTCCGTAATCGATCTAGACACGGACAACGCAAGTCAACCGTGAATCCTGCCGCCACCACGAGCAATACGTACGTTACCACCATGAAATAAACTACACCTCCCCGCAAGGCGTTTGAATCATGTCTAAAATGGCAGAATCGGCCGCGGAACGACTCGACGCGCCGACCTCATGGCTTTGTCCCGAAGCCGGAGGCGCATATAAGTCGTCAACGGCATCATGGAAAACCAGCAATTTGCCATCCAGCCCAAAGGAACCGTACAAAGTTTAAAAGCCAGACACAAACACGAAGACTGAATCTTCCGTCTCTTGAAAAGACAAGAATGAAAATACTCTTCGCCCAAGTCCTCATCCCCCCCCTACTCTCCGCCACGGCCCTCGCCGCTCCCGGCAACACCCCCGACGAACGCGACAACGATGCAGACGGCAGCATCGTCTTCCCCGGCGGCAACGGCTACTCCGGCTGGGCCATCTGCGGGGACCAAGTCAGCAAGCAGCGCTTCCCGAGGCTGCAGGTGCCGGCGGGCGCGGGCGGCGGCTGCGTCCGGTACTACCGGGGCATCGACATGACGGGCGTCGTGACGGAGCTGCACTTCTTCTTCCGGGACGGCTTCCGGACCGCCTGCGACTGCGCGGCAAAGTGCATCTCGCAGCCGGCCAGCTGCAACAACTGGGTCTGGAAGCACACCTTCATGCCCGGCGACGGCGGCCGGCGCTCTTGCACGCTGTACAGCAGCCCCAACCTGCCGGGCAACGTGACGCTCGACTACGACGAGGCCAAGAGCAGCGGGTTCCGGCCGCTGAGCGATGCGAATAACCCGCAGGTGGGCGGGGACTCGCCGCTGACCTTCCTCGACGACGCTGGCACCAAGCCGGATCCTGATGGCGTGTCTGGGTTTACTGCCATTGATCAGAACGGCGGCCTGTATTGCTGAGTCTGCCGAGTGGGTGCGGTTGTGTTGCCATCTGGATGAGATTTTTTCGATTTCTTCGACGAAAAAGAGGGGAGAGAAGGGCATGGCGGCTATAAGGTTGACTTTGCCCGTGAGGAATCAGGATATATGGTCCGCCGTCAGGACGGGGTAGTTTGGATTTCTGCAAAAGTACGTGGCATAACATAATTTGAAACGATTCGAGCTGCAGCTGTGAGAAAATCTAGCTTGATGCTTTCTTCAAATCCGCGTGGACGCGCATTTGTAAATGGCCAAGTTGACTCCATCTCATTTTGAATACAACACGGCATCATATCGGCCGGGAAGAACCCATCCACGGGTACAACATGGAATAGCAAATCAACATGGTGAAACAGCCAGTTGTAGAATCCACATTATCAGAGCGCAATATCCCTTTTTGCCCGGCGCAGTTCAAGTTGCGCGACAAACATGTCTCGCCCAAGCAACAACTCAGACTATTCCCAAGCTCAACCCAGCAACGACTCAAGAGAGCCAATCATTTCACAAGCCAACTCCATAACCACATCTCTCCAGTTCCCTCATACAGACAACTCCAACCGCCGCCATCTACCACTCACGAACCAATACCTTGCACTCCTCACACTTCCCCGAGCAGAAACAAACAAACAAACAAACAGCAAAAAGCAAAAAGCATCTTCAGCTTCTCCCCACCATCCCGTCGCCACACGTATCAGAAAACAGCCCAAATCTGCAGCGCATCGACCAACAACCCCCAAAGTACCAGACCAAGGCGCTTCAGCCATCAACACACCCATCAGACCAGGAAAAGAAAGACAACCAGCCGTCTTCAAAATAAAAGCACCGACCAGATAAAGCCCACTGCTACCCGCGTTGGCCGCATCTTCAAATTACACCCACCAAAGACACCTACACAGACCATGTCCTCCAACAACCCGCATCCTTTCGCCCCTTTTTGTATTTTTTCTCTCTCTTTCGTTTCCCCCCTCTCCCTCGCCTAATCCCCCCCCAAAGCCCCCTCACGATGCCATCGTCCCAACTACCCAACATACCATAATCAAAAACAACCTCCAAACCACCATGGCCACCGGCAGCGAGGACGACCCGACGCTCACGCCCACGCCCACGTCCACGGTCAAACCCGGGCTCACGCTCAACCTCGGCCCCCTGACAACGACATTCGTGCCCCCAGAGAACTGCGACGCCCTCACGCTCGGCATGTACGAAGACCTACCACAGACGACGGAGACGTCGACCCTCGTCCGTTGGAACCGCGGGTACGAGTGCCCGACCACGTACCACGGCACCCTCCAGCTCATCTCGTCGTGCTACCCACAGCGCTACGGCCCCGCGTACGACAACATCAAGGACTGGATGGGCCCCAACGCCGTGTGGCCCTTCTACTCCCCGGGGCTCCTCTGCCCGTCGGGCTACTCGACCGGCTGCACCATGATCTACAGCCCCCCCGGGGCCACCGAGTCGCTCCCGACCGCCTACCCGACCGCCTTCCCGACCTCGACGTCGTACGCCACCGTGTCCACGTGGACCCTCCTGTCCAAGGGGCAGACAGGGTACGGCTGCTGTCCAATGTGAGTCCTGTTTGCCAGAGTTCAACAAATCCCAAGAGTACAGACGGGAAAAAGGGGAAAAAGGGGGGGGGAGCTCACATGGTGCAGCGGCTACCGGTGCGACACCCCGTACACGTGTATTTCGACGCCGTCGCTCTCGGCCACCATGACCGGAGACATGACCCAGGGCTGCCCGGAAAAAAGCATAAAGACCCGAACAACCAGCACCTTTGTCATATCCAGCAAGATGTGGCCCTTTGTCTACGCGCCGCAGGTGGTTCTCATCCAGGGAAACGACACCAGCACCGCCGCCGCCGCCGCATCGAGCCCGTCCGGCCCGTCAACAACCTCGAGCGCCTCTCGCGACGGCGACGCGCAGGCCGGCCTGAGCACCGCGGCAAAGGCGGCCATCGGAACCGCTGTCCCCCTCATCTTCATCGCCCTAGCGCTGGCGGCGTATATATTCTACCGCCGAAGGAACCGCAGCAAGGCCCGGGCCGAGGCGGCATCCGAGCAGGGGAGCGGCTTTCCGGGTATGAATAAGCCCGAGTTGGATGCGACGCCCTCCCCCTTTGCACTCTCGCTTGGCCCTGGGAGCGAACTGGACGGGACGCCTCGCCCTTCACCCCCCGGTGACGATTCCACCGCAGCGAGGGGTCGAGTGTCTGAGCTGCCGGGGCCGGGCATCGCGAGGTTCGTGGGGCCCATGTGTGAGTTGCCGGGCGATGAGAAATTTGCCAGGAGACCAGCACAGCCGAAAGGGTCGGATGGGGTTGTTGCTGCTGATGATGAAGGGGGCAAGATTGGACACGGTGCTTCCATAAACGGCGCATCCGAACCAAAGGCACACGATACCAAGGACATGGATGTTGATAAGAGCAGTAGGGGTGGAAAAGACAAGTGATTCTTGTCTCCCCGCCAGCTATATATAGACGGAATGGAGAGTGCATGGTACAGAGTTGGGGAGTGTTTCCTCACGTACTGGGTATGCATGATGAAGAGTATAGCGGGGAAATCTTGTACATCAATTTTCCTTTTACGCGCGACTGAATTAGCCAATGAATCTTGTCAATACCATGTAGTGTTTCATACCTCAAGACGTAGATTGCATCGCAACCTACCGGACCGGACACAGTGTCATACACGCGCACGTATCTTAAGAAAAAGTATTTTGTTTCTTTAGGGCTGACATGGTATAATCGACTGCAAACAGTCCTATCAAATATTGCCCTGACTTCCACACCACAGCGCTTCGTCGCTCCCTTCACATGCCATCATTGAAGCCCATGTCGGCTTACATCTGCTGATTCCTGTACCAAGCGTCGTACACACTTCCGCCATGCCGCTCGGCTGTGTTTTTCGACATTGCTTCTCAACTTCCCTCGCGATAGGTCTCCTTGCTGCCAAGGCCACCCCTTCTGTACAATGCAACTTCATCTTAGCGAGAGACTCTTGTTCAGCTCCCTCACATTGTCGCCTAGCTCAGTGGTGTTGCATAAGCCACTGGATAAATGTCTCGAGTACTTTTGTGTCCAATGGGCTGGACATCATATCCGGAAAACATGAAAATGATGATGTTTCGCTGTTTGGATAACCATGACTCTAAATGTAAAATCCATGCGCCTTGCAATAGTAGCAATAACCATGTCTCAAACGACATTGGATGTCGACAATGTGTGGTGATCAAAGCTCGATCAGAAAGGTCGAGCATCCAGGTAGGCTTGAGCGTTGCTCCAAGCTGTTCTATCCGCCGCAGGCAACTCGTCGGTGCCAAGAGTCTGCATGCCTTGATTCAGAGCATTGAAGAAATCCACGCAGATCCGGAAGTCATCCGTCAAGGCCTCAGCAAACGGCACAAAAGTCTTTGGGAACTCCTCCAATCGTTCATTTCGCTTCTCCTTGCTATGAGAAGCGTCATCCTCGTCAAAGAACGTCCGCACAGCAATTCCCAATCCGATGTCCGGCTCTTGCAGAAATGGGAGCCTAGAGAAGCGCAGTCAGTAACTGTACAAGTTAGAGAATCTCGGGGGTCGCTTATTCTACCTTTGACTTATCTCTAGATAGTCCTCTCTATCTCTCCTACTCTGTCCATAGATGAACATGGACGCCACGATAGCTTCTATCAGATCGCGATCCACCTCGCGAACGGCCGATGACTGAGAGCGGAATGCCAACAGACTCTTGTTAAGAGGCCCTGTGTAGCCATACACTTGGTGGCGCAACTTCAATAGTGTTGCACATTGGCTAATCAGCACCAAGCTAGTTTTGTCTTCGTCGGTTCCCCTGCGAGGCAAGCCGGCAATATTTTCTTGATGCTTGGCTCCCAGTATGCCATGTCGAACCAACTCAAAAGCAAGCAGGGCCGCCTCATCAAGTCCAGGGACCTCCTCGGGGCGATTCTCGGCGGCATCTCTGAGAGCCAACAAGGTGGTCGCCAATGCATTCCCCCATTTGGTCAGCGTATGGGAGTCGCTGACATAGCCCCTCAGGTGAAGAAATCGCCAAATGGAAACAGATGTGACCATTTCCAAGCTATCGATTCCTCTGATCTTGCTTTCCTTGGCAATAGTCTTTGCGACGAACTCGGAGTTAGCGAGGGCCAGGACTTCCAGATAGATGGGGCCTGCAAAACCAGCTGGGAAGACACTGCGTATATCGCTCTCCTTAACATCCCAAGAACCAACCTGTTGCGAAGGGGGCGGCTGCTGTGCACGATGATTAATTGTGTGGGAGAACTTTGGATCGAACCAAACACGCAAAGTGATGTCTTTGTGTCCAATACCACGATGGACGCGAGGGATTATTAGGCCAAGAGCCTGTTCCTTAATTGGGACCAGCTTCGTGGTGATGAGTTTCTTGTACTCGTCAGACACAACGCCGTCCAAGGTTGGCTGCACTACGATCTGACCATGCGTTATACTGTTCAGATTGCGTGCGCCAATGAGTCCCGTGTTGAGATAATGGAAGAGCTCCTCAGGCAGCTGAAGGCCGAGGTATTCGTGGTTATCCTTGGTGAGACGCTCGAAGTCGTTGACAACGACCTCACCATTTTCGGCAATGTAAATAAAGTGATGAACAGCCAGCCGTGCCTTCCTGTACTTGTCCAGCCAGTTGGCATCTTGAGCTTGCAGGATGTCGTTGAAGGAGGCGCAGGCACTGGCCACAGCCTTGTCAGAGGTCCTCAGCATATTGACGGCGTCCATTATGGTGAATTGATTGGTGTACATCGAGGTATCCAGCAAAGGGGGAAACGTGGGAAGAAAGGAGGTTCCAGTCATGAGCAAGGCGTCAATGAACATGGGCTCCGTTACACTAAGTATGCGCATTATCTTCTTCTTGGAAATGGCCGTGACCTTGTTTGCTTCAAAATCGAGAGAGCGAATAATGACATCCCTGACGGGGTAGAGAAGCAGTTCTTGAGGGCCCATGACGCCGGCACATTGCTCAGAGTCGATCATCTCAAAGTAGGCTAGCTGTGCCATTGTCAGTTTTCTTGAATCATGACCTCTCGGCATCATGGTATTTATGACAAAGCGTACCTGAGCGCATGCATTGTAAGGAGGTACAAGAAAATGAAGACCTCGCTTTTTGAGAATTCCTTGCAATAACGGGTACAAGTTTTGGATAATGTAAGCACCTGAGTAACCAGACATGGTTAATTATCTCAAGCTCCAACAGATAAGTTTAGGACCGCCATACCTGCATTGGCCCCAAAGGTCGAAACGGCTTTCTCAGCTTCCGATCTCGAGTACAGATCCCATGCCTCGTCCGTCTTCTTGTTTGCAGCCCGCCGGCGCTTAAGGCCGACTTCGTCTTGACCGGTGATGGACTGTCCATCAAAGATGAAGAACGGAAGAACACGATTCTTATTCCAAAGGTCGAGGTTCTCGTTTATGTGAGTCTGGATGCCAGTCAGACCGCCGAGGGCCGAGAGCAGAGGTTCGTGAGCCGGCGAGGTGTCGAGAAGCTGGCTCAGATAGTACGTCGCATCGACGGCAATGGAGCAGTCTTCGAGTTCAGAGAGGTCGACCGAGCTGAATTGGTCAGAAATCGTCAGCAACCACGTTTACCTGTCGAACAGCCAGTGGCTAGTGCAAACGGTGTGCAGAAGGCAGAGGTGGAGGGGCAGATTGGACGAGCAGTGCGGACTTACTATGCCTGGTTGTTGATCCAGGTATCCTCAATGAGAACTGGAAAAAAGGGTACGGTTAGTTCGTGTTTTCGGCAGAGAAGCAATAATGGCAAGTGTGAGGTTGAGTTGTCGAGAGCGTCGTGGATGGACAGGCTGACCGACGAGCCTGCCACGCGACACGAGGAAAGCACGTGTGCGCCCAAAGGGTCGAGGAAGAGGTGCAATTGCAAGACAGGCGACGTTGCTAGGCAGTCCACCAGAGAGGACGGATAACATGGAAGCTGTCATGGTCGATCTCGACACCCCCGTTGCCCTCACTGGCGCGGCGCGAAGCACAATGAGGCCATCACCACAATGACTGTTGCAAGCTCCCAGCCCCAACAGCACATCATCAGATGTGGCCAGGGCAAACCAAACACCGGCACTCGCACACGGGGGAGCATGCATCACTCACACGGCATCCTGAATAAACCCGGCGGCGACAAGAGCGCCCGTATTCGAAGGAAACGAAATTAGCTGTTCGACTATAGGATCTCGCGGTATGGAGTTGGTGGTTGCGCCGGTGTCGTCGAAGGGGTTAGGTTGGGTGCGAGTTGTGGATTTCTGAAGGGGACCAAAAGGCAAAGGCGGGCTGCTGCGCTGCTTGGCGCCTGTTCCTCGGCGGCCAGAAAAAGAGTGGGAGGGGCCGACTGTACCTGAGACGCCGCCTCGCAGGCTGAGGGTTGGTCGGTTGGTCGGTTGGTCGGTTGAGGGTTAAGGGTTGGTGGTTGGTGGTTGGTGCTCGATGCTGGATGCTTGATTGCGGCTGGGCCGACGCAGTTATAAAGTCAAGAAGAAATTCCAAGAAACAGCCAAGGCACAAGTTGCGGGTATATGAAGCACTTGAACAAACATTGAACACAGACTGCGCAGGACTGTGCAGGTTTTAAGATGGCGGCTACGCCAACATGCAACTGCCCTTTGTCTGAACGCTAGTCGGCGTGTGGGGCTTAGTGCCCTTGCCGCTCTTGCTGCAGCCGAGTTGGGCTTCAAGCTATGGAGTATAGTCCAGCACTGCCGGCCATAGAGCTGCTGTGCATGGCCAAAGCGGCACTGCTTAGAGAACACGCTAAAAGAGCAAAAATCCCTGTGCTGGTTCTGAAAACACAATGGCCCGGCTTGTTCACTTTTTTGTCTCCCGCGCGTATGAGGCGGCCAGTCTCTCTTGTCTTGTCTCTGTTCAGGCAGAGGCAACTCCGCAATTGTCTAAAGTACTCCGTACCTAGTACCGAGTGCCTACAGTGGGGGGCCCATAGACCTGGTGGGAACATTGAAGCAAAAAGTATCAATTGATTTGACCAAATCAGGTACCTGGCTATCACGCTCTGTATCATCACAAGTATCAACATTCAATGGGCAAATAACCCCCTAGTATGTGCAAGTTGGTAGGTTACTGGTAGGATATCCCGCCACAGACTGTAGTGCCTTATAATCGCCATTCAGAAATATCTACATACATGTCAACTACATACACACGCCACAATCTTTTCCACTCAAACACCTGTGCATCAGCTCTTTTGCTGGACAGCTTTGAAACATGTCAATCAATATGCATGCGTCAACGCACACCTCCAGAGGAAGACCATCGCCTACTATGCCGTCAAAGCGGAGCTCACCTTCATTTCGGCCATGGTATGACGTGCAACCACATGTGCAACCGCATCCCATGAGTTCCTGAGTGGCATCAATTGATTCATTCATACTCCGTATCCAATACTCCTCTTCACGACGTCAACCCCCACCTCCACATCTCCAACATTCCGATCCATCTTCACCACCAACAACAACGCAAATACCAGACCCAAAATCCGCAGCAATGCCTCCCGCATCCGCAGACATACCCATCATCGACCTTTCCGGTCCTCAAGCAGAAGTATCAAAACAACTAGTCGACGCCGCCGCCGACCACGGCTTCATCTACATCCAGAACCTCGGCCACGACATACCCGCAGCGAGCATCGACGATGCATTCGCCCTGGTACTTGCACGCTTGCACCCCCAGAGGCCCCCTATATCCCACGCTCCCTGGGAGACTCATAGATGCTAACAAAGGTCCATCAAGTCCGAAAAGCTGTTCAGCGCACCTCTAGACGAAAAGCAGGCGTGCTCCATCCAAACCAACAATCGAGGATGGACAAGCATGCACGCCGAGACACTGGACCCCCAGAACCAAAAGGTACTCACCTCCCCATCAATCCCCTTCATCATCTAGCAATGTACGCGGAGCACCTGCTAAGAATCACAAGGTGGGAGACTTCAAAGAGTGAGCCACCGCGCATTCACAACCCCCAGACCGTCGCCCACCCCGGTCTAACCTGAACCGCAGAGCCTTCAACTTTGGCGAGTTCATAAACAACAAAGCCCAGCAGCCTATACCGCCCACCGTTGCCGCCGACGAGGCCCGTTTCTCCGCCTTTGCAGACCTCTGCCGCGCCCTGTGTCTCAAAATCCTCACCCTCCTAGGCCAGGGTCTCCAAGTACGTCTCATTCTTTGTTTGCCCCCCTTTTGCCTCACAAAGCACCCACTGACAGAATAGGTGAACGATTTCCTCTCCTCGGCACACTTCAAATCCCCCGCTGGGAGCGGCACCATCCTCCGCTTCCTGCGCTACCCTCCGCCGTCGAGCACGTCCCACACCGTCGACGATGTTCGTGCAGGCGCCCACTCCGACTACGGTTCCATCACGCTTCTCTTCCGCCTCAGGGGCCAGGCTGGTCTTGAAATCCTCAAAAAGGACGGCACGTGGGCTCCTGTCCCCGTCTCACCGCCAGGTACTGAAAACGATCCCAGCCCTCCCATCTTGATCAACATTGGCGACCTGTTGTCGTATTGGACCAACGGGCTCTTTAGAAGTACCGTTCATAGAGTGGTGTTTCCTGCGAACCGCGCGGAAGGGGTGGAGGGAGAGAGCAGCACTGACCCGCGATACTCGATTGCCTTCTTTTGCCACCCCATGAACGATGTCTTGCTGGAGCCCGTGCCGAGTGAGCGCGTGAGGGGCTTCGTCGAGGAGGGTGTGGTGAAGAATCCGTATGCCGAGAGAAAGGTCTTGACGGCAGGGGAACACTTGCTCATGAGGCTGAGAGAGACCTATGGGACCTTGTACGAAGACAAAAAGGACTGACATGCAGGTACATGTAGCGTAATCGTTTCCAATGTATAATATTTGGGTATCCTGGTTGCCCCCATCTATCTAGTCGAGTGTATTCGATGCATCTCCAAGAACCCTTTCCAACGGCCTATACAATTCCACAGTACCACCTCCGCCACGGGTCATGAAACCCATCATAGTACTTCTTCTTTGTGTTCTCGTCTTCCATGACCTTGAGGTGCTCCAACATTCGCCAATCATATACAGCTATCCAACCACGCGTTTTTCGGGGTAATTCCTTTCGAGCTCGTTCAACTTCAGCCAGCACAAGTTTGGTCTCGCTGGCCTTGTCCACAGTATCGACCAGGATGATTATCCGGGGAGACTTGTTACCCAACGTAGCACCATAGTTATTTTCTTGCAACCAGTCGTCTAATGATGTTGCAAACTCAGATGCACCGTGGTCATCTAACAAAGTGGTCCGCTCCGATGAGGGTCCAAGGGCCCTTGAAGCAAGCAGGATCGTGTGCTTGAATAGATGGCACTCTTTTGCAGCAAACTTGCACCCGTTTTTGACTTTGGGTGATATGTCTGTCGCCTGAGATGTTTCGTCGGAAGAAATAGTTATTGGCGTACACCTAATATCACTCTTTGTAGGATTATTCCCTTCATCAGGTGTACCAAGGGCTTCATTCTCTTGCGTTTCATGTATCAGTGGTGGGGATTTGGTTAACCCAACGCATTGATCTGTCCCACCGTCTTCAGCAAACGACGAGTTCGGTGTTGCAGACTGCTGCAGGACATTAGCATCAACATCATCCAAAGGTTTGCGCAACTTCTTGGTTGCCGCTATTGGTGACAACCGGGTCGTCATTAAGAGATGCGTTTGTAGTGCCGGCGCTGCGGTAGGCGAAAACGATGTAGGGCACTTTCGTTTGCTCCCCCTTTTTGGTGTTCGGGCCTCTTCTTCTGCCGGAGAAGAAGGAGGAGGCGTGGTGAGCGAGGCAGTTGGCATATCAGCTGATTTTTGACTCATCCGATAGGCCCTCACGACTTCCGGACTTCTGCTTTTTTGTCGCTGGATTATTGGTGACAAAGGTGGTCTAGAGCTGCAAGGTGAAGGGGTGGGAATTGTTGTGGCTGTCAGTTGACTGACAGCATCAACCGCACGCCCTCTAGGATCGGCCCCCTCCAGCTTCGCAATCCATTGAAGGTTCTCTTGACTATCTTCCAGGTCCGGTGTTGCCCTTGCAACTTTGGCCATCTCTTGCAGTTCATCAAAGGTGACTGCGTCCGAATAGTCCCTGTCAAAGTGAATCTTGGACACGACAGGGAATCTTAGCGTCCAAAAGCCCATATTCCCCGGTTTGTCAAAGCTGAAGCACCTTAAGTCGAATACTGCAGGATTTTGAAATACTGCAGTCAAAGCGGCGTTGGCCTCGATTCCCTTTGGGATATGCAACCTTGTTGCATCGTTCTTGTGTAACGGTACCGACACAGGATTGCAGTGAGATATGAAGGTCTTGAGAAGCGGTTCTGTAAGCTCCACAGCACTGACGACGGTAAACTCTGGCTTGGCATTCCACCGTTTGACTTCTTCCTTGTTGTTCAAGCAGCCCACATAAAAAATGGTCCATTGAAGTTTGGGTATGCGGTAAGATTTTGCCTTTGTAGGGTTGAAGCCTGCGCCGACAACAGCGAAGTCTCCCACGTCGCCGAAGTTGCCAATGTATTCTTTTTTGAGCTTGATGCATAGACCCGAATTCCGACCACCATTGGCTTGAAAGTTAAAGTAAGGGTCGTCTGGCTTGAGTACCAAACCTTCCCCTTTGTCAGTGATGACACTAGCGAATGCCTTTCGCAGCTCTGATGCTGCAGTCGGGCGGTGGAAGTCGACAAGAGTTCGTTTCACCAATTCTGCCCGGCCTCTCTCACAGTCGATTGTCTTTTGTAAGATTTTGAATCTTTCCGAGTGGCGAACGCCTAGCAACGATTGGTCATCGTAGAGGAGAATGTCGTAGTACACAATCATCAAGTTCTCGTACGAGCGTGGCCTAGCTAAGTTAGTCCAATTCAATGATTATGTATAATAACAAACACACGGTGAGTCCAGGTCCACATCCATGAGCCGACCTCGTCGTGTTACATGGTTCCTGATTTTATGAAACGGTAGAATCTTATTTTCCTGGCAATGGTTAGGGAACAAGTTGATTCACTCGACTGACATACGCACCACATCATTGTGCACAACCAGTTCTCCTTCGAGAATACAGCTTTTCCGCACATTGCAAGTTGACGTGCCGAGACCAAGAGATTTGATAATCACTCTGCCCCGAGTTAGCCGTAGTCGGTACTAGCGAGGTGCTATTCCCTTGCTCACCCATGTAGTTTGTGTCTATCCTCAGTGCTGTCTTTGCCGCTCTTGGAGAAAATCTGAACTCGGGGTTTCCCACTCGTTAGATCAACATGTATTTGGCAATACTCCCCGTCAATCTTTTGCTCAACGCTCATGCGTCCGTGCCCCATATCCAGGCAATGTTTGATACTGCGGCCCTTGAACCAATTTTGTCTCCCTACTTTGACTCCCAATTTTGGTTTAACCACCGCCAGAATCTGATCCCTCCGTGAGGTGCTCCTTGTAGAATTGGGCAGCATGTTGCCCTTGGCCGATTGTAGTGTTTGGATAGCAGTTGCAAAGTCGTCCTGCGCTTTGAGGATTAGGGGCAGGGTTGAATTGCAGCAGCGGTACACAAGTTGAGAATCCAAAATAAGCGGCTGGTAGTCCTTCAGAACAAGTCTTGTAAACCACTTCGCCTCGCACGCAGTGAGACGACGATAGACATCCTCCAGATCACATCTACCACGTGGAGTCAGGGCGGCCTGGGACTTCCGAATAGATGGGGAGCTCCATTTGATCCTGGATGCCAAGCTGTGCAGAACCTCGTCGATTTCTTCCACGCTGATTCGCAGTTTTTCATTGCAAGTAGGGTTGGGCTGCGCCACATAAGCAAGCGTCCCAAGCATGGAAATCCATCAGAGTTAGAACCTACAGTAGTATTAAGAATGCGTTCAGCACAATCTGCAAGGTCGGTGCACTGTCCAGGTTGTTTGTACAAGGCAAGCTCGACGATTCGGGACGATCCAAGCATCAAAGCTCTCCCGATAATCTTCTCCAAAGTTGGCGCTTTGATACAGTAAACTCGGTCTGTCCGTTTTTCAGGTAGCAAAGTAGAGAGCAAGGCAGCCAGGTCTGTATCATGCGCGTCGAGCCGGCCGCGATGCCGTGCAAACCAATCGACCACAGCCTGTGTGTTGGGTTTGTTCGCGATGCAAAGCCGGTGGCACTCGTCTAGCAAGTCACACACGAGGACGAAGGGAATCGGCATTTTGATTTGAAGCTGCACTGAACATTTCGAAAGAACTAAGTAAAGAAATTCAAAGACAGAAGGAAGGAAAAATAGTATCCAAGAAATAGAAATATCAGCGAACGATGGCGGAATAGAGGCCCTATTTATTATTAGAGACGATAACCGCGGTCGGTTGTGGCGCGCGCATCACTGTCAAAACGAATGGCACCGACGTAGGCAACAAAGGCAGGCACAGTGCCCTTGGGTTAGTGCAATGTGATTTGCGGCTCATGCGTCCATTCTCTCCGCTGAGCAAGCATGGTTGCCTGAGAATCGTGGTGTCGCGAGATGAAGCTCTTCAGACGCGATTTGTGCGATTCGGCTCCATCAAGAGGCGGATCCGGGCGTCGCTTGAGACGCGACATCACATGATCACATAGTATTTTAGGTGGGCGTCTGAAGCGGACGCCTAGTTGGTGACAAAACAGGTGGGCGTCAGATAATTCAATGGTTGGACAATATCATTGTTCAGACTGATTCTTGATCTACTACATGTCATCCTTGTCCAATAAATCCATGGGTTTCCAACAGTCGATTCGCTCCTGGACGTGTCGCTATCCATGGTACTACTACCAGTTGACCCATTGAAGTTATTCGTCCTGGTGGAAAGCGTGTCGCTTAAACTACGGCAGGGCTCGACCTCTATAAATCAGCGGATGCGACTATAACACCAAAATCATGCTCTCTCCTACAGTCACGACTTGTTCACTTTGCTGTAAACAGCCCCTAGACTTATTCTTGGACTCTGAACTCAAGTTCAAAAGTTCTTGCGAGCTTCGCAGGCCTGCCTAGCTGGGTTGTACTCCCAAGTGTTGGCGCAGTTGGCACACAAAATCTCATGTCGGACAACAGACCAGGCAGCATCGTCGTATCCCTTTGATGCCCCGTGGTCTACCAGCTTTCGCAGAGGATGAAAGTAAACATGAGCATGGCGATGAGTACGGTGTTCCAGTCTGCCCCGCCGCCGAGGAACCCAGCATGCCCAAGATGTCTCACAGGGGCGGATGTAGGAAATAATGTTCTCAGGGTCTGTTGGTGAGTAGGGCCCTCTCGTCTCATTTGATGGTTGACAAATCGGCCTCGAATATTTGTGCCATGTATGGAGTAATGCAGTGCGAACAAAGAATGCGGGATGTGGTTTCGAATCATTCAACAAGCAGCACCAAACTCACCCCCCAAAACGGTGCTACGGAAATGATTGGAGCCGGGGCAACCGCGGGCATCCAAGAGCAAACAATTCAACAGTTCGGCGAGTAAGGGTAATAATGCGATCCGTGAATGTCAGATGGTGTGCAAAAGCTCGGCATTGTGTTTGTAATTCTTCTGGCGGCTGGTGGTCGGTCGAGTTGGACTTGATCTGCCCAACATGCCTGGTACCCCAATGCCTCCTCTACTGTCAGTTTGCCATGTCAGGCTGATGATGCATTTCAAAACAACATCTGGCCGCAGGACTTGGGAAAAGTAAGCTCATAGTATCGCAAGACTCCGTTGTTGCCATGTTTTGTTGATTCTATTTCGGGTGATTTAGCGTCCACCGCAAGATATATATGACTGTTAATAATCGATCTAGATTCCGCCTCGTGATGAGGTCACTTCATTCCAGTCCAACAACAATGCAAGAACCCCGAGATGCTCCTCCACGTTGGACCCTGGCAGACTTGCATTAAGGCACAGACATGTGATTGGCTACTAATTTCAGAAGGAAATTGGGGTTCCTGCGACTCCCTGCCTGATGGGTCCAGTCAAAAAACAAAAAACTCCAGTCCACCTCGGATGAGGATCAATAACGAGTGTGGAGCGATGGAGAGTTGGAGAGAGCTTGCGGGCCTCACCACGGCCCAGTGCCAGCTTGCACATGTCTGGTGTACCTGACGCTATCGTCAGCGCTAGGACTGACCTGGCATGGAGCATTGACGACGCGGCATGGAGAGGGGGAGAGGGCAAGATGGCTTGGCCCAGCAGAGGGCTGCAGCCAACGTCGAGGTCAACGCCCGCGGCTGCGACAACAAACCACTGACGAGCCCTTATTCGATTAATAAAGGCCCATGTGCCTGCTAAAGACGGACAGTGATCCACCCAGATCCGCCGGTTGTCGGGGTCAACGACGCGTGGAGCGTGTTGACGATGCGAGATGGAGATGCTTGTGGATAAGCGACGACTCTTTGCGTTGAGCACGGCAGGGAATAGTAATCGTAGCCATAGATAATATGCACTTGGTATGATGCATGCGATGGCGTGTTGTTGCCTGAACATGGGGCCGTGGTTGAGGGATAAACAAAAGGCGGTTGCCCGCCTCCGAGACAGGAGCCCTTGTGCCTCGCTGGTCTGTCTGTTCCAAACAAAGCATCAACACAAGACCTGTCACTGTTCCTGGACACGAAACACGCGGGGCCCGGAAACAAGGTTGACAGGCAGGCCCTTTCTTCCCTCGCGTGTTGATCGACCCGGCACCTCAGCCATACATCATAATTGCGGCTCGCCGTCCGTCTCATCGTCTCGTCTCGCAGCTTCACAAAAATAAAAAACACTTGGACGCACTTTGACACAAACCCCGGACGGACAATCCTGGAGCTTCTTTCGCCTGCAGCGTCGCTCCTAGCGCCCGGTTCCACGCAAATTTGGGTTTTGCTCACTTGTGACGTTGTGACCCCTGGTTGCCTCGGCGCCCAGACGGCCATCGGCCCAATGATGCTGGTCAATTGAGACTGCGCCCATCTCGAATCCCACTGCTAATAAAAAAAAAGTAGTCGACGGGTTTCGGGTGGTCAATTGGCCAATTGGTCCCTGTGCAGGTTTTGAGTGGCCGGGCCAGAATGAGCAACCAGGCCGGTCTCTACCTCGTCTGGTCTTGCTTCGCTTCACACCCTCACTCATGACTGCATTTCTGCTTTCGATTTGCGCTCTCGACCGCTGCCTCGCTCTTTTCGATGAATATCATCGCCGTCTAAGCCAGCGTCAACTTGTCCTCGCGCTCGCCTCAAGAGCTGGTTCCGTGCGGCGCCGCAGAGCAGTTGCTGGTCATCACCGTGCTGCATCCCCTCCTTTCTCCATCCAGATCCCGACCCAGCGTCGCCGGCCTCACGCACGCCCGAGCACTCGTCACTCGTTTCATAGCATTTCCAAGATTTCTAAGAGGCATCTTGCCATGGCCTCGCATTCAGAGATTCGCCGTCGCTCGTCTGCGGCGGACCGCACGCCAATTGAGGCCTCGGTCCTGAGCAGCACCATCGGCGCGGCCACCACTTCGACCTTTGCTTCTGCCCCTGAATCCGCATCATCGTCATCCCCCCTGACCGCGGCAAACGCCCTCACCTCGACAACACCGGGTCCACCTCGCACGAGCAAAGCCAACAAGCATCGAAGTCTTGACAGCAGCAGCATGCCGCCGCCGCCATTGCCCGGGGGCAACATGGCAGCGCCGTCTTCACCCAAGCGGCATTCACGCACCGAGTCTACTAGTCGCATCCCAAACAGACTGTCGCTCACTCTACCAATTGCTCTGCCAACCAGCGATCCTTCGAGACCTACGCCCGCAGCAACCGCATCTACACCGTCCTCGGTACCGCCGACGCCACAGGACCACTCAGCTCTGCCGTCGCCTTCCAATGTGAATGAATTCATAACAGCAATCGCCGCAAAGGAGCGCAGGGTGCTGGAGCTGAGAGAAGCGTTGGCCCGTGAAGAATCTGAACTCACAGCGCTCAAGAGGCAGTTCTCCTTGATGGACTCTCTTCACAAACTAGACACTAGCCTCTATGATTCCACCAGCAGAGTCTTTACCCCAACTGCAGACGGAGGCGTGCAGTCGCCCAGACGCAGTGTCGACATGGACCGCAGGAACCTCCTACTTCAAAACCAGGGTACACCTACGCAGAGCCGAAGAACGGCTTTTAGGGGACGCCATACTCGTACATTGTCACTTCTCTCCCCAGCAAGAACCAATTCCGAATTTTCAGCCTTGGAGGACAAGATCGGGCCAGATGCCCGACCTCCCCCAATCGACCAGAGGCCAACTCAGGCTGCGAACCCGATGCTAGCAAAGAGAGCCTCATGGCAGCCCCGAACACAGCAGAGTCCACCCGTTAGCTCGCAGTTCATGCAAGACGTCAGGCTCGGTTTCAAGGCCTTTGTGGAGGATATTCGACAAATTACAATTGGTGATGAGCCTATCAATGGACAGGGTCAGAGTCCCGGGCAACACCATACTGGGTCTATGAACCATTCTGGGCCCTCAGATCAGGCTCGGTCCAGAAATGGCCAGACAGGCCAGAGAATAGCGAGCCGTTTAGACGCGTCGTCGCCCGTGACGGCTCCCCCAACGCCTAATAGCACCGGCAGGGACGTGTCACCGGAAAAGTCGCGACCCGCAAAGAGCAAGCATTTTTCCTGGACGCCGCTGGGCTTTGACTCCATGGACGACACGGACTGGGCGAATTGGGAGTCTCCCGCGACGGCCAAGAGTACGCGATGGAGCGGCTCGACTGTACATGGCGGACCGATGGATGACATTCAGAGTATTCCCGAGTACGAAGAGCACACAACACCAGTGTAAGCTTTTTCTTTCCTTTCTTGCCTTGTTGATTTTTCTTTCTTTTTTTGGCGAAAAAAGAAAAAAAAAAGCAAAAAGCTGAACCTCTACAGAATAAAAGACGGCTGACCAAGACGTAGGAAACCAAAAAACTTGCAAACCCCCATCCTATCCCCAAACAAACTCGAGGAGATGCTCCCCAACATGGTCAACCGGCTGTCGCCCAGCAACATCAAACGCACGGCCAACAACCTGCTCGACGAGTGGGAAAAGTCCCTTATGGCACCCACGGCGTCGGCGGACGAGCCGCAGGCGAACAAGGAAAACACGACGGCGACAGAGACAAGGTGACTGGCAGCAGGGAGCAAATCATCCGGGACATGATCAACATTGGTATTCTAATACAGCGTCTGAGGTGGCACCAGCGGGAGAGCAGCAGCTTTGCGGAGTCGTGGGTGCAAGGCATGGATTCCGTCTGCGGCGCGGTGAGGCAGAGGGCCGCGGTCGTGGGCGGTTGGAGGGATTGGATAGCGTGGTTTAAGTGCGTGGTTGCCGCGAGGCAGATCTGGAAGGTCTTGTGTAAGCTGTATCTAGGATGGGGGTGTAGATTTGGCTCATCTACGTCGGGGCGCGAGGGGGCTGGCGGAGGAGGAGGCAAGATGAAGATGTTGAGGATTTGTGCAAGATTTGGGGGATTCGGGGTGGGGGTTGTGCTGGATTTGATATGATGTGATGATAAATGACGAATGACTTGCATGTTTTGTTTTGAAATGCGAGGCGGGTTGAGCGAGTGCAAGTGTAACGTCCATGGCGCGGAATCATTCGCCTTGTCGCGTTGTTCGATGCAATGCGCCGCGTCACGAGGTGCCTTTCGGGCTGCAGTGCCGTGAAGGAGATACGGTTGGGTCACCAGCCACGGGAGCGTGTCGTTGCGGCTCGTGTCTGGCGTCGAGAGTGCATCGGATTCAATGTTCTCTAAAAATAAGTGGCCATGGAAAGTCGACCGAGGGCATTATGTAGGCGTGAGGAGAGCAAAGATGGTGGCTGGGTGGACATGGAATGTTGGCACATGCATTGATGCCAGTTAAAACCCGGGGCGGGGTACCAACATTTGAAGTCTGGTAGTATTACCGCCGGATTTCAGGGGCAGATGCAGAGTATTGAACTTCGCATGTTCAAGTTGTATTGTGGTAATACGTACCGTGGCATCTTAATGCACCTCTTGCTAGGCAAAATATATGACCATGCTATAGACTATCAATGCTCGCCAATGGAGCACAGGGTGCATACACAAGTATGTACGTCGCCATGGGTAAGGATCGGGGAAACTGAAGCCCCTCCCGGTCCCGTCAGATCAGATCAGCCCTCGCAATCGGATAGTTTGCCGGGCGGCCATTCTCGCTCTCGTTTCCATGCACCCGCCCCATGTTTTAGCATCGCGGGGCCGAGAAGCGAATGCGAGGCCCCGGCCCAAGAACACGTCCTCGCATCATTGATCTGCAGATGGCCGCCTCCCACGGTCCAAATAGAACACCGAGGCTTCCTGCCCGTTCCCCTGCTTAGTTTTCTCTTTTCGATCCAGTGCCACGCCATGTCTTAGAGGCGGCCATGGACTGAAAATACTTAAGGCGTCGGCCTCGCCTGTCCTTTGTCGTTTCACTGGCCAACAACAGCGCAGCACAGCACCGCTAAAGATTGCGGGACAGAATTTACGCTCGACCGCTTTCCATCTTGCCGTCCAAGCCAAAAACCAAGTCAAAAAAACCAACTTATACCCGTCGCCAACGACTTCGCAATGGGCGAGTTCAAACCCAAGCTACCGCCCGTCGGCCCTCCGCCCGTCGAGAAACCCATCCCTCTCACCATCGTAAGTCTCACCACCAACCAGCACCATCACCACCACTGACGCCCAGGAACCCACAGCTCCTCCTCAGGTCTCTCCTCGCGCAGCGGCAGAAAATCTTCCTCACAGCCGCCGCCCAGCTCCTCATATGCACCCTCTTCCCCGGCCGCTACGCCGCCGTGCCCATCGCCACGCTCGCCCTCGCCATCACCACCACCCAACTCGCCGACCTGTTCCTCCCGCGCCCCGCCCCGCCCCCGTCCTACATGGCCGCCGTGGTCCCCGGCCGGACCACCGCCCTCCTCCCCGGGCCGTCCGGCGCCTTCGGCTCGTCGCCCTCGTCCCGGCCCCTCGTCGCCTTCAACATCGGCGCGCAGTTCAACCACCCCCGCGGCCCGCTGTGCCCGCACGGCAAGGAAATCGCCCACATGTTCGCCGACATGAAACACGCGCTGCTGCAGCGCCGCGACGAGCTGGGGCTCATCAGCGTCGCCGACTGGGTCGGCTCGCGGCCCGGCGCCGCCGACACCCTCATGGCCAGCTACTTCTTCCGCGATGTCGAGAGCGTCCACCGCTTCGCGCACGGGGAGATGCACCGCCGCGCGTGGGACTGGTACAACGCCGTGCGGCCGGACCACATTGGCATCTTTCACGAGACCTTTGTCGTGCCGGCGCACTCGTACGAGACCATCTACGCCAACTGCACGCCCGTCATGCTGGGCGCCGGCGTCGTCAGGTGTGCCGAGATGGAGGGCGAGAGGAACTGGAGGAATACCCTTGTCAGCGCGGATAGCGCCGAGCTGAAGAGCCAGTGGCAGAGGATGAACAGGGACGGGAGCGGGATCCCGAAACAATGAGTTTGATGGATGATGGTGTCGTTGTGCGAGAGAGGCAGCGCCGTGTTTTTTTGTGGCCGTTTTCAGTTTTGGGTTCAGGCTGCTTGATGGAATCTAACTTCTATATAGTAGCGACAAAACCACTCCGCACATGAGGCGTCTACCTTTTGCTCTTTCCCTTGCCCACACCCAGGATGATCATATTCGTCGCCATGGCGCTCTGCTTAGATAGACGGACCTCTCCATCGCCCAGTGCCCACGTACCGTTGCCCCAGACAATAGCATCCTTGGTCTGGAGCGCAAAGAGCTTGGGCAGGGGGATTGAAACCTCACCGTCGATGGCCTCATAACCGCCGTTCACGACCGATACCAGCACCTGCGTCTCGCCAGCCCAGTACGCTGCGTCAACAACACGGTGGCCCTCGACGTGTACGCGTTTCGCTTTCCCCGTGACGATCAAGTCCCTCGCGGGTTGATTTGCGACTGCCGATCCAAACTTGCCCATGATCTGGCCGAGAGAATCGCTAAATGGCCACACCCACGAGGCAATCACCTTGGCATCGTGGTTGAACCCCAGCGCGTTCATGGCGACTTCCTCCTCATTCGTGGGGTCTCTGAACCAGTAGTCCTCGCCGTGGAAAGCCTGCGGGTTGTGCGCCTTCGTCTTTGGCCAGAGCCCCAGCCAGTGTTCGTACTGAAGCAGGTCATCTAGGCGGTTCGGCACATCCTGCACGTTGCCCTGGCAGTTGTCGCATCCGCAGTCGCCGTAGGTTGTGTTGCAGGGCGTGCCCCATTTGCTAAAGGTGCTGTTGATGGCTATGGGATACGCGTCCTCCATGACAAAGTCGGCGCCCGCCGTATACTCCTTGTAGTAGAAGTTTTGGCAGTTGAGGGTGACGGAGACGGGGTGGTAGGGGTCAAGCTGGCGGATGAGACGGCGCGCCTCGGGGAGGAGATCAAAGGGATCTTGGTGGCCGTCGGGCCTGGAGACGCTGTTAGCCCATCATCATGACTCTCTGCGGCGCAACTTGCGATTGCGACACCGGTGACATACTCATCCGCGCCCCAGTACGAATAGAGGCCCTCAAAATCCCGAATCACAGAAACCTGCTCCTCAACCGCCGTCAGGTTCTTATACGAGCCTCTCAAGTCATACATGTAGCGCAGGTCCAGGGTATCCATGTATTCGTATGTCGCGCGCGAGTTTTGCACCGTCGTCAACGACACCATGCTGTTCAGCCCCAGGTCCTTGTACGCCTTGACCTTTTGGATGTAGTCCTTGTCGCAGAGGAATCTGTCGCAAGAGGCGTAGTACCCATAGGGGAGGAATGGCTCAAAGTTGTTCCCGGTGGCTGGGCTGCGGAACAAAAAGCCACCATTCAGGTTGTCCAACTTTGCTACGCTGCCTTTGGTCTTTTCCGGAAGAAACATAAGTTCACTTGTGACAGTGACGTTGGAGGCGCCGTCTTCCGTTGCCCCAAAGAGGACGACCTCGTATGGATCGAGGCTGGGTTGGAGATTGCTCAGATTGAAAGCAAAGACGTTGCCGGTGGTGCTGACATTGACGCTGTCCGACACAAGAAGGTCATTGTTGGATACGAGGTTGATTGTGAAGACGACCCGAGGGGCCGCACCGGGAGTGCTCAGGCTTGGCCACGGCTGGCCGTGCCACTTGGAAATGCCCGCGTTGACAACGAATTCCGCCTGCTTCTCGCTTTCCAGATAGATGCTGTACCGGGGCTTGAACTGGATATCGAGAGCCGGGCCGCCAGGGAGCTTGTCCGGCTCGACGGTCTGGCCTCCAGGTTCAAAGCTGGGATGCCTTCGAGTACAAATTAGGGCCCATTGACGAGACGGTGAAATGATGAAATGGCACCACTTACTGCGGCTGATAGGCCTTACCACACCATCGCTGCCATTCTGGATGGTTGCCCGTCTCTTGGGCGACCACAAGGCCAATCAGCACTCCAAAGATGGTAAACACTCTCATGACGAAGTTGCGTGATGCGCCCGGTGCCTCGAGGAAGGGTGACACTGCAATCCAGCATTTCATCGGCTCACGGGGCCGCGTCTGATTATATTGCTCATTGGAGCTCCCAGCATGTTCATGTGGCGGAGGTGGTGCAACGTCGCAACCATGTCCCTACGTCGCTGCTCCGCGCCTGTGTGCATTGGGGTTGACTGTCTGCTGCTTGGTTATGAAGTGACCACGTGCAGCGAGGAGGGGGGAGGAGAGAGGCTCGATGCGTGAATTGATCGGCGGGGTCACTCCATGTCTTTTTGCTACATAACATGTAGGTGCGCTCAAGCCCTACCAGATACCTGGCTATCAGGTCAAGTTTTATATTATAAGATATTAGTATTAACTTTATAACAAGTAAATAATATATTTTACTATAAATTACTTTAATATGTAAAAGCAGATTAGAGAGTTTAAATACAATAAATAATAAGGGGATAAGTGCGCCTAGCAAAAAGAGTATGCCCGCCGAGCAATTCACCTCGATACACTGCACCTCTATTGCCAGTTTGGCTCAAGCTAAGCTGATTTAGACTTGGAGTGCCACCCAACAAATTTCGACTCAATTAAGCCGCTGGTTGGAATTTGGAAGCAACAACTTGACTCGAAGATTGCTACATTGCCATATTACAGTATAAACCATAATGCCGCTTTTCTACAACTCCTTGCCAGTCTTGGTAGTAGTCGCAGCCATATCTGCACCTCATTGACCTCAATGTAAGACGTCGAGGTCAAGACAAAGAAAGCCACCATACCAAAACTTCACCACCACTTCGTACACACCCCAGCTGCTCTATGTCGGAGCTCCGTGTTTTAACCTCTGGGCCTGCTCCTCTAGATGCTTGACATGGAAATCCGTCAGCGGACTGGGTATCTGCCCCATGACCATCTGAACCTGGTTCAACAGCTGGGGACTCGGATTGCAGTCCTGGTGATCCACCGCCGGCTTCTCGTTTGTCTTTCCGATATCGTGAATAACCAAAGTGGCCAGTACTCGGTACAGGTCAAACAGGCTGAGCTCGACGTCGACAGCCTCGGGCAGCGGCCAAAGTCCCGCCCTCGCCAGACAAAACGTGATGGAACCGAGCAGCATCGACTCGCACCGGTGGTGTCCTAGATATGTCGCGTGGCGGCACCACCTTGGCTCTTCGTCCACCACCATGAGCTTGGCGACCAGGTCCTTGACTATGTCGAGCAGCTCCTGGATCGTCTGGACTCGGAGAGTGTTTATGCGCTCTGTGTGACAGCGGCTGGCATGTCAGCCCTCCGTACTTGACGTCACTTCCTTTTGCTCCGGGCAATGCCTTCATGTCCAGGGGGCTCTTCTTACCGACTATGTGCGGAGGCGTCTGCACGGCATCATCCCCCGAATCCGGCTCCATGGCCCATGGCGTCTTTGCCTCCATCAGCATCCGGCGCGCGACGGCGATGAAGTCCTCCTTGCGTCCAAACTCCCACGATATCCACAGCATCTTTGGCATGATGACGTTTGCATCTCGCGTCATCTCGACAATGGACGCCATCCAGCTGCCGACCCATGGGGCCAGCTGCCGCGTTGCGTCGTAATAGTGCGTCAGTACGGCTACGTCGTACAGCCTGTCGACGGAGAGGACGTGCGGGACGCGGGCGAAGTTGGCATGGGCAACGTTCAGGAACACCTCCATGGCAGCTGGCTTGTCCTCCTTCAGCTCGACCGTCCAGCCCTCGCTGCCCTCTTGGTTGTGACTGGCCTCGGCGAAGGCCCCGTATAGCATACGATCGAAAACCGGGGATGCTCGGGCCAACGCGCGCGAGCAGACGAGGAACTCGACACTCTGGCAAAGGGTGTCTCCCGCCTGCTGTGGACTACCGACTTTGAGTCTGAGATCCCCATGGCGGTCGATGGCGCTGGGCTCGTCAGCCATGATTTTCGAGTCGGTCTTCTCTTTTTTCGACACTTTTCTTTTTCTTTCTTTTCAGTAACACCACCAGTCTATATGTCCCTATTTGTCTCTTCTTTAATCTTGGCTTATATTGAAACACTTGTTTGCCCCGGGACAGCTTAGTTCCTATTTCGGGAGTTGAGCCACTAGTCAACCCACTCTTCGTGTTCATTTTTAGAAGGCTGTCTTTTTTTGCTGTGGCTAGAGCCGTTTCCAGAGCCTCATTTCGGCATTGCCTCCGTGCTTTGCATTAAGCCAATCCTTGCTTTGGTGCGCCGGATTTGAGCCATGATCCCATCTGCCCGCAGCGCAGGCCCGGTTTACAACCGAGTGGGCAGGGATGGCTGAGGCGACGGCACCATTCTGCTTGTTCGCGGCTCTCTATTCTCCTTGGCAGGGAGGATCACTATAAGGCCAATACGACCCTTCAAAAGATTCTTGTGCGGCCTCGTATGAAATCCACGGTGCCCTTATATTGACTTGGGAGCTCTTACTTCCCTGCAGGAGCGTGACCGCGGACAGCTGGGGGGTGGAGATCAATGCAAATAAATTTGTTGACTTTGTCGATATGACATGTCTATTGGGCTGTTCTGGAGGTGGTCGTCGGATAGCGTAGTCTGGATAAATTCCCATTCATCATCTCGGCTGGCGTTCAAGTCTTGTCTAGGATGACAACCCTGATGGTCACATATAGCGCTCTCCGATATGTATTATTTACTCGATACCGTGGAAGACGATGTTTTTGGATCGCAAAGTCTGGCTCGCGGGAGCCAAGACGTTGAAAGACATGGGAATCATTTACTCGCAACAATTGTGGAGGTCAAGTCAATGCATCGCACCAAATAAAGCCGCTCGTCTTCTGCCAGCAAGTAAGTCTTGTATCACGTCTCCAAAATATAAATTGTGGTGGTGTGATTTGTTGTATCCACATGATTCTTGTGCATGTAAGTGAGCTGCTGCGGGAAGTCAGTTTCTCCATTGATTGTCGCTTACAGTGCACAACGGCATCTACAAACGATTCATGTTTGTACTCGCTAATTCTTTGAACTCGGATATCAACGACTTCGTCCATTTTGTTATCCACCACATCGCTGCGCAGTAGCTATGCGTCATGGCTGTGAAGGCATGTGAGCTAACCGGAAGTGTGAGCGGACTGTTCAGTGTGCATACTTGGCGGAAAGGAAGCCATGGTCAAGGTAGTTCAATAATGACATCCCCTTGTCTCAACTCAGCAGCCGGAAATAAACATTTCCCCAAATCCCAGTGCAGAAACTATCGTGAGAGTAGGGGACATGCCGAACGAAGCCCGACTAGACAATGAACAGAGCCAGCGCTTCTTAAGACTAGGCAAGACGGAGCATCGATGCTTGTGCGTCGCTACAAAGAGCGAGTTCAACGGTCGAGAATACTACTCACTTTAAAAAAAAATAGCCCACAGTAATATGACGACCTGGCTTGTCTCGTCTGCAAATACATTTTCCTCTTGCCGAGCGAGAAAGTGCCAAGTTACTAGGAACAAAACAAGGCAACGAAACCCAGTCTGTCATATTATTCGCCCTGGAGATACTATCGTCAAGGTATATCTTCACCTGTAAGGTTGAGAGATCGTATCGCCTGGCTGGGCTGAATGCATCGCCACACAGACCCCTGATCCGGAACTCTTGGCATGTCGTGATTGAGCGCCCGCTTTAGTCAATACAGAGTTCTTTAAACAACATTGAAACCAGCATGATTCAATTCTTGCTAGTGGCCAGGCGGCCTCCCGCACTGACCCGAACAACCAACTTGAACAGAGCCGTAGTAGAACATACAGTTATCGGGCCATGACTTGGACCTCACCAATTTTCTTATCGAAAATTAAGGGATAGTTCTTTAAACGGATGTGATGTAATGAGGTACACTAAAGATGCAGCAGTCATCGAGGTTCCATGCGATAACGAGAATCCCCTTGCAATATTTGTCAACATGGCGCATGCACACTTTCTCGGGATACTCAGCGTTCAGCAAAGCCGTAAAACCCCGTCATTCTCCGCGGCCGTTCTTGATGATGAGACTCGTCTAGTCCTAGTTTAGCACCTTAGGTAGTTACCACACTAAAGGAAACGTCGTAGACCGAGACTCTTGAAATTGCCATGGATCCGTTGGGCAGCTTAGAAAGTCTCCTGAACGATGCATCTTACATATTTGGGTTGTAGAACAAGAGTGGGTAGGGGTTCCAGAAATGCCTATTTTAGGGTCACTCTTTGCACTAACAGGGTGATGCCGGTAAACTGATGACAGTTGAGATTCGGGAGTTTGGAAGCAAAATCTGGTGCCTTTTTATGAAGCCTATTTCAACATAGCTGAAAGACTGCTTATCGTAAAATATAGCTCAAGTAGCCGCAGTTTGCGACACATGGTCATCAGATAGCGTCTATTGATAGGTTGCATATTGGACTGCAGTCCTCCTGCAAGGAAATAAATCTGTATTCGTCATCACAAGCTGTCAAGGTGAAAATCGCTCGGCATTGTTGTGTTCCAACTGTGTGCCCATGTTATCAATCAGAATCATTGTGGGTGTGGCGTGAGTATTGCAACTATTCGACTGGGATACGGAGCACTCCGTACAGAGACGAAATATCCGCTCCTCGCCAAGTTTTCTAGCTTCAAGGCGGCTTTTCCCGGCACGCAAGCTTGCAAAGATTGAAACCTAGAAACCCCGTTATCGCGTGTCCTGCTGTCAGTGGTGATGAGCCTGCCATCTGGATTTCTCTGAGAGAAAATCCTCGCGCCAACACTCCCTGTTTGTTATCGCCTGGGCGCACATTTCGCGACATCTGTTGTGAGAGGCCTGCAAGGGGCACCGAACCTTCAAATATTCCTGAAGTCATGGCCCTAGTTATCAACAACATCAATCCCGCTACCCACTGCAGGTACATGCTTCCACAAGCGTACAAGCCCCATTGATTAAAGCTGCCTGACCGTGTCATTTGATCGAGGCTCCCATAAGCTCGTATTGAACTGGGGAAGCAGTCGTGACAATCTATCGGGCTCCTTCAAGCCCGATGTCTGGCCTGGCCGTCTGACCTGGCTGTATAGCTCGCAGGCCGATATCGATTAGGGCCGCACGGGGCGTTTGAATAGGTGCTGCAGCTGCCTGACTATTGCATATAGCGATTGGTGAGAATGGATCATCAATTCAATTCAGACTTCTCCAAGCTGGCAACAAGTCTTTTAATGAAAGTTTGGCTTTTGGTGGTTGGTTGGTTGGGTGGGTGGGTCCTTCCCGAGTTGTCCCTGAGCCCCTTTTGTCTCTCTGGTCTGGTGGTTCCTTAAGATGGCCACTCCTCCACAGGGCCAACATTCAAAGGGGGAAGTGCCAAGACCAACTAGCGTGCTGCCGTCAAGGCGCATCGACATCTGCCAGGGGCACCGCATACCAAATCTGCCACCAGTACGGAGTACACACAAGGGATGAAGGAATACGAGGCCCAACCCCAGGGGCACGACGGACTAGCCTAATGAGCCGTGGCAGTTCAGTTGTTGCCAGACCATTCCGCCGCCATTGATTCTTTTCATCACGGAGAGCGGGAGACCAGCAGAATCGCCTCTCAGATCCTTCTGTAACATAGCCCGCTACTTAACGCCACCAAATCGTTTCAGGCGTCCAATGGCATGGGGCCAACAGACACAGCCTCATTCGAGAGACATGCACGGCGCTGCGGACTAGTGTCACAGATCAGAGGGCTTGAGAAGGATCAACGCTGCATTCTCTGAGCCGTTCTTCGAGATGACAGCGGTAAGGCCAGACAACAGCCTGGCTTGGGAGACGAGTTCAGACGAAGATTGTCCGTGGCACCAAGCCTCTCCAAGAACGGCACGGAAGTCGTGCTTTGCCCCGACCGGGATTTTCACGGAGCAGTGACCAAGTGGCATCCCAAACCCACAATCCCCATGGATGTCTCCTGAGAAGTGAGCAGGGTCCGACTGCTGACCACCGTCACTCCCTGCAACCATGTCATAGCCATCCATTCGGGTTACCGTTCATTTCCCATTCTTCACCTTCTCCGTCTTTTGTCCCTCTTCACTCTCTCAGCGTCCCATACCTCCTTCCTCGACTAGTAAGCAGCAGCTTACGCGGAGGAGTCGCCTGGTACGGTAGCTGCCGACTTCATTTTCGCTCGCTCAACATTCGATTTCGCGCCTTGTGTTTGTCCTTCTCGACGCCTATACCCATGGTGCAGGGGATTTGACAACCTCCTTGCTTCTCTTCCTGCCTGCATTTTGCCGACATATATCGAAAATCTCACGCGCGACGCCAGTTTCAAGTTTGGGGTCGATTTTGTCCTTGATTAATATCTCACAATCACGATTAGACTAATGCAAGCTGGGCTTGTATCAACATTTTCCCTCTCTCGTTGACTCTAGACGCTACAGGCTCCACCAACGAGTCCTATTCTTCAGTTCATTCTCTACATATTTACATTCTTGGGCTTGCTCTTGCGCCGCTATAGCAGCATGAGAGGCTTTGTGTCAGCAGCGGCATTGTCGCTTGTCCTCGTGGGCACTCCCGTCAGTGGTCTTGATGTCCAAATTCAAGATGAAGGTGGGTTAGCTTTGGAGAGCCCTTCGATAGATTCCTTCGTGGACAGTGGTCTAATTATTCGTGACGTTTAGCCTCCATCAAGAGCACAGCCGGGACAATCGCCTACGGGTTAATGAAATATTATACCGGAAACAATACGGGCGATACACCAGGAAACTTGCCTGATCCATACTATTGTGAGAACGACACCTCGTTCCGAACACGCGCCAACATCACGCTAACACCAAGCAGGGTGGGAGGCAGGGGCCATGTTTGGGACCATCATTGACTATTGGCATCTCACGGGGGATAGCTCTTATAATGACGCCACAATGCAGGCTCTGCTGCACCAAGCCGGCGACACGAAGGATTTTATGCCCAAGAATCAGACAAGAACCGAAGGAAACGACGATCAAGGCTTTTGGGCCATGGCGGCCATGTCTGCCGCCGAGAATAAATTCCCCGACCCTCCCAGCGATCAAGCACAGTGGCTTGCCCTGGCACAGGCCGTGTTCAACCAATACGTTTTGCGATGGGATCCGGCCGACTGCAAGGGTGGCATGAGATGGCAAATTTTCCAGTTCAATAATGGCTGGAACTACAAAAACTCCATCTCAAACGGATGCTTCTTCAACATAGCGTCTCGACTGCATCGTTATACGGGTAACAATACCTACGGCGAATGGGCAACCAAAATTTTTGAGTGGCAACAATCCATCAACCTGATCACTAGTGACTACGGAGTGCATGATGGTATCAGTATCGACCCGGACGGGACTTGTTCAAGAATCGATATGCTCGAGTGGTCCTATAACGCGGGCATTTTCCTCCATGGTGCCGCGGCCATGTACAATGCTACGTCGGATGACAAGTGGAAGAAGGCAGTTGATGGCATTTTGAAGCATGCTTCAGAGAAGTTCTTCAAAGACGGTGTCGTTTACGAGCAGTTTTGCGAGTTCAACAAAGTATGCAACAACGACCAACAGAGTTTCAAGGGCTACCTCCTTCGCTGGCTTGCGGCCACGAGCCAACTGGTTCCTTATACCTATGACACCATCAAACCATTGCTTGAAAAGGCCGGCACGGTCGCTGCATCTACCTGCACCGGGTCAACAGCGCCGCCAAATTTCAAGGGTCAGCCGGGGACTGCATGCGGCTTCAGCTGGATCCCGCAGGGCAGGTTCGATGGAATGGTCGGTGTTGGTGAGCAGATGAATGCTTTAGATGCAGTCATGTATAACCTCGTGCGAAAGTCAACGCCTCCGGTGACGCAAAACAATGGTGGTACATCCAAAGGCAACCCATCCGCCGGCAGTGGTGGCACTGAAGATCCGACCGTACTGAAGCCTTTGACGACGGCGGACAAGGCTGGCGCAGGTGTTATCACAATGCTATTCATTGTAGGTGCCCTTGGCGGAACTGCATTTATGCTCCTGGAGTTTAGATAGGAGATACATCTGGGGTGTTGGCCTTTTGCTTTGTCTTTAATTCAGCTGGAGCTGTTTCTTTTTTATATTTCAGCAGGTGGGGATACCATCCATGATTCTTGGGTTTTGTATGGAACGGCGTTTATTGGAATTGGAATGAGAAGGGCGAGCAAACAGTTGTCGCCATTGGGAGACTGGCTCCATAAGAGGAGGCCAGAAAGGCCACAGGTTTACAACCAGCATGGCGTCTTCTATGTCAGTTAGATTCAATTCGAGTATTGCATCAAGACAGCGGAGCATATAAGTCTTCGAACGGTTAGCAATAGAATGATTTGGATGTATGGGGCTGCGTATCCTACATTGGCGGGCGAGGCAACACCTCGCGACCTGGAGCGAAGCCATCCAGGATCCGCATCTGTGGCTTCCTCTGGACTTCCAGGAATTTGGCACTTCAGGCCGCCAGCATCCGTCCAAGGATTCTTCCCCACCACGACCTTGCATATGCACGTCGGTATCTGCATTCCCCGTGCAGGGCGGGTTCACAACTCAATGCAGACGGACGACGGACGACTGTGACCCCGCTCGTCATTTCACTTGCGCCACTTGATATCATCTTGCCGGATTGTTCAAGAGCAAGTGGGTGATTCTATTATCAATGGAATATCTATTTCTTAGGACAAATTGACTCGTGTTTGTCATAATTCCTCTTGTCGTCACTTACCTACCACATCGATCTCTGCGCTCGCATCATTAATCAACGAAGCCAAGCTACTTACACCCCAGGGCCATACTTTCTGGAAAATTCATCAGCCACCAACACCTTCACCATGTCGTCCAAACACTTCATCGACGACCCAACGCAGCTCGTCAACAGCGCCCTCCACAGTCTGACCCTTACCAACCCCAACGTCGCTCTCGACCCAGCCTCCAAAATCATCTACCGCCGCCCAAGCCATGCAACTCCCCAAGTATCAATCATTTCCGGCGGCGGATCCGGCCATGAGCCCTCCTTCGCAGCCATGGTCGGTCCCGGCATGCTTTCCGCCGCAGTGGCAGGTACCATATTCGCCAGCCCATCCGCCGAACAGGTCCGTACGGGCATCACCTCCCGCGTGGATACCTCCCAGGGTGTGTTGGTGGTGGTGATGAACTACACAGGCGATGTGCTCAACTTTGGCGTGGCTGTCGAGAAGGCCAAGGCCAGCGGGTTAGACGTGGAAATGGTGGTGGTGGGCGATGACGTGGGCGTCGGCAGAGCAAAGGCAGGCAAGGTGGGGAGAAGGGGTATCGCGGGAACGGTGCTCGTGCTGAAGATCGCGGGTGCTCTGGCAGCAAGGGGCCGGTCTCTGGGCGACGTCGCCAAGGTGGCGAGGTTGACGGCCGAGAATACCGTCAGCGTCGGGGCGAGTCTGGAGCACGTTCACGTGCCGGGGAGGGCGGTCGATGCCCAGGACGACAAGCTGGCACGGGGGGAGGCAGAGATCGGCATGGGCATTCACAACGAGCCTGGCTCCGAGAGGGCGAAGCTCGATCTGCCTCGGTTGGTGGGCAGGATGCTTGCCCAACTGCTTGATTCCGGCGACAAGGACCGCGCGTTCCTCAACGTCAACTCCAATGAGGTCGTGTTGATGGTCAACAACTTGGGAGGCGTGTCTGTCTTGGAAATGGGCGGCATTACGACGGAGGTTGTGACGCAGCTGGACTCCAAATATGGAATCCACCCTGTTCGCATCATAACGGGTACATTTATGACCAGTCTGAACGGGTTAGGATTCAGCATCTCGCTGCTCAACGTGGTCAATACGGATATCGGCGGCCCCGGGATGATTGAGCTGCTTGATGCTGGCGCAGAAGTGACGGGGTGGTCGGCCCCGATCCGCAAGGAGACGTGGGAGGCGAAGAACACGGCCACGCGCACGGAGGAGAGGGGTCAAGGTGAGCAAGTCAAGCCCAGCGGGCTGAGAATGGACAAGAGCATCGTCAAAGAGAGGCTGGAATTGGCTCTGGAGAGGGTCATTGCCGCCGAGCCAGAAGTCACGCGGTATGATACCGTCGTCGGGGATGGGGACTGCGGCATTGGGTTGAAGAGAGGAGCAGAGGGTACGTCTGGCGAGTTCCGCATACGGGCACAACGATCGATGGGCATCGCTAACTCTCTCTCTCAGCTGTCTTGAAGCATATCAACCAAACTACCCTCACCGACGACCCCGTCCTGACACTGACATCCATTATTCCCGTCGTGGAATCCACCATGGACGGCACGTCCGGCGCCCTCTACGCCATCTTCCTCAACGCGCTTGCTCACGCGCTTCGCTCCCTTCCCTCCGGCCAACTGACGCCTTCTTCGTGGGCCAAGGCCCTTGAGCAATCCTGCGGCGCGCTGTCCAAGTATACACCTGCTCGGCCCGGGGACAGAACCCTTGTGGATGCACTGTATCCGTTCGTTGAAGTCCTCGGCAAGACGGGGGACGTGAAGAAGGCCGCGGAGGCTGCGGCGAAGGCGGCTGATGATACAAAGGGCATGCAGGCTAGTTTGGGGAGGACGGTGTACGTGGGCGGCAAGGGCTTTGAGCAGGTTCCCGACCCGGGGGCGTTTGGGCTGGCTTGTTTCTTTGGCGGGTTGGCTGGGAGGGTGGATGACGAGTGGGAAAAGGTTTGATGGGAAGGGCGGCGAGGAGGACTGTATTTGTACAGATTGTGATATCGTGCTATTAAGTCAAAGCAAACATGTTGGCCTATATACTCCGTCCGTATTGTGTGGGTAGTAGTGAGTGAGTGACGTGCCGGCTGGGGAAAATGTTAATCAAGTAGGTGAAGCTGGCTAGCTTTCTCGTCTGGTTGAATCATGTGCTCCAGTGGGTGAGAGGAGGAGAGAGAAAAGAGCGTCGTCGTCACTTATTTGTATTGTGCAAACGGCGCAGGCTAGCTAGACTGCGCGCCCAAACTGTCGACGTATCAATCAATGATAGCATGCATGACACGCGTATGCCTCGCTCGCTCTACTCGAGAGGGAGGATAATGAATGGCACACAGGTCATCGGGGCGCACGTACGTGCATTAATAATTATGCTGTAGCTGTTAATACCGGAAGTTCGTTCGTATCCCTTTGAATGTGCGCAGGTCCAATTGATGTATTGAACCTACTTTTTTTATGATACTTAAGGATACTTAAAGATACTTTTTTATTAGTAATAATAATTAATATATTTTTATATACTTAAGAATCTTTAAAAATTATAATCTCTAAGTATATATATCTTTTAAATAAGTAATTACTATTGGCTAGGTAGGTAGGACCCTGGTCCGTTACAAAAGTTGGACCTGCTGCGCACATTCGAAGGGATACAACTACCAGTCAGTATACCAGACAGAGTGATTGTTAGCTACTAGCTAGACTCTCAACAACTACCAAGCCGGCCAGCGGCGGCAGGCACTCACTGACTGACTAACTGACAGGAAGAATACAGCTGGACATGCATGCATGGACATACATATAATATGTATGTACCGTCCGTCGTCGTCGTCCGTACGTACGGGTCAGCCAGCAGCAGCAGCAGCCAAACAGCTGGCTGAGTGAGAAACTCAAAACAAAATACAAATAAACAAAAAACACTCACAGACAGAAGAGGAGGAACCACTAGACTAGGTCTATCTATATATAGATAGATCTATCTATTATAAGAAAAAATAGAAACAAGAACCAAAAAAAGAGCAAGTTAGTAGTTCCCGATCTCTTCGTGCGTGGAGATGGACGACTGGCAACTGTCGGCTCACTGGCGGGACAACAACGAGTAACGGGTTACTGCACCTCTTGTGCGTACCTCTAAACTTCATTTACCGGCTCATTGGCTCGTGTAAATCTATACTCGGTCCTCTCGACAGGCTTCAACTCTCAACTTCGCCACGACAGAAACATGGGGTTGCTAACTCCCCACTTGTCCACTGCGCCATGGACGTGGGGCGGTCATGAGCCGTGCTGGTTACAACAGGTGTCACAAATTATTCTTATATTGTAGCGTTACCATGACGCAACAAAAAGCTGAGTCATCATGAATCTTATTCACGGGTTTTGTTTTTATTAACGTGCAAGTTATTGACTTGCTCTGGAGCAGCACCAAAGTACAATCATAATACGATACGCTATCTTGTCATTGTGGAGGAGGGCAACACTTTTCCCACTCGGTAAGAAGTGAACGCACTTTGGCTTCCCGTGATGCTCCTATTCGGCCCTGCTAGATGACAGTCCCTTGCCGACGGCGAAATTAGCCTGCTGCATAATTTGACTTGTGCGTCTTCGTGCGGCTTGCAATTAATGGGGGGCTATTCCCGTTTATCAAGAGTATAATTGTTGGCCGCTACTACTACTGACACCGAAGTCGGCTGGTTAAGCTGCGGGTTATAAAGAAGCACCAGGTCACTTGGAAATGCAGCCTCTCTAAGCGCAAGGGCTAACCCGATGCTCTGTCTCTGGCAACCCGATCTCCCGTTAGGTAGACATCATACCAAATATTCAGCACCGCGCCAACCTCAGCATCTTCCGACAACGGCACTGGAGGTAGATACAAGCACCAAAGCAATAAGGCCAAGTATGCGTCCAACACATGGTTGTGTGCAACTGGATTGTTTTTTTCTTCTTCAACGCCTATCGTCCATTCCCGTGAAATAACGTGAAATAAATGTCGCAAGCCGACCGGTACATCACCCACACAATCCCACAGGCCAAAGGTAGCCGCGTAATGTCATTAACAACCAAAATAAAACCATGCCGTAAAATCAACCGTCGTGACCCTTTTAGCTCAGCAATACCAGGATAACGCTGTCTCCTCGCAGGAACCTAAACGTCTCATGTCAGCTGGACATTTGCTCCCTCTGGAGGGCATGCATTTTCGCACGTCCAAAGTCAAAGGGCTAGCGGGCATGCTCACATCTTGCTAATGAATCGATCCTTGTTCACAGGTCGTCCCTTCTTTCCATCTGCTAATCGTGGCGTCTCGTCCCACATCTCCTTTACATTCTCCAAAACCATGTTGCAATGTCTGTCAAACGCCTTGACGCGAGCAAGGAGCTTGCGGTTGTTGCGGATAGAGATGAGGACCTGGGTGTGCGACTTGACGGCGGTCTGGAGGATCGAAAGGGGGCCCGAGGTGAATTCGTGCTCTTCGAGCTCTGCGATTTCGTATTCGCTATATTTGAACCTGGTTAGATGACGGGCGAGCGGTTCCGGGTACATTCATCGGTGGGTGATCAGAGGGGAGGGGGGGGTGAGTAGAAGGATGGATGCGTACGTGAGCTCGTTGCGCGGCTTGTTCAGCAGCTCCCTATAATAGCGTAAGCAATGCCAGTCAGATAGACGGAATTGGATGTAGTAGAGCGTACTGAATCTTGGGATCTGCCATCTTGAAGGTATTTGTGTGTGTTGCTGGGATATGGCAGCTACAACGCGCGATCGCAGGGCTGTACCCAAAAGTCTTGTCGAAAAGTTGGAGAGACATGAGCAAGTGGGTGATTCTGATTGGCCTATGCAGCAGACGTGGGTCAGTGGGCCCAGCCTGCATCTGACTGGCTCATTGATGTCTGCTGCAAACCCGGGCTGCGCCGCCCGAGCCCCAGGTGCCTAGGCACGTACTCCGTGGACAAGGCGCAAAGGCGGCAAGCGACGGCAGCCACTTCTCGGGCTACCAAACATTCTCAGGTTTTGATGGAGAATGCGAATTGCCGTGACGTTTTGGCCCGGTCTGGTCAGCTTAAGCACCCTCCAATCCGCACTCCCGGCACAACTATCTTTGCCGCGGCAATCGATGCGCACTTTTTATCACAAGGGAGCGCCCCGTAATACCGTCCATTACACTCCATCTAAATGTCTTTCCGAGCAATTGCGGTGCGAGCTGGTTCGGCCGCCAATGCTGCAAGCAGTTGGAGCTTTAGAAGCAGTCTCAACATGACGCACCAAGCTAAAGTCCTGAGCTCCTGGGGCGCTCGACCCGTACGTCTACTCTGACCATTTGCCGGGAGAACCCTAATGTCCATCGGGAACGATGTCTTGCTAATCTACTGCTTTACTAGCTTTCCACCGAGGCCACCACCATCAAGGAACTCCCCGGCGACGAACCCAATGATGTCGTTTTCGAGAGCAAATACGGTCTTCGCAGCGTTGTGCTCAACCGGCCCAAGAAGCTCAATTCGCTCAATGCCTCCATGATTCGCAAGATTGTGCCCCGCCTGGTCGAATGGGAAAAGAGCGACATGGCCAACATTGTGGTGATGAAGGGAGCCGGCGAGAAGGCCCTTTGCGCTGGCGGTGATGTTGCCGCGCTTGCTGAGTACAACCAGGAGGGTGCCGATGGATGGAAAAAGTCGGCCGACTACTTTGGCCTCGAATACAAACTGGATCACTACATTGCTACATATGGGAAGCCGTATATTGCCTTTATGGATGGCATCACTATGGGCGGCGGTGTTGGCCTCAGCATTCACGCCCCGTTCCGAATTGCGACTGAGAAGACAGTTTTTGCCATGCCTGAAACAACGATCGGTTTCTTCCCCGATGTTGGAGCCTCTTTTTTCCTGCCGAGGATGAATGGAGCTGTTGGCACTTATCTAGCTCTTACCAGCGAGCGTCTGACTGGTCCAAACGTCTTCTACTCTGGCATCGCCACTCACTACCTTCACTCTACCAGCCTGCCCGACCTCGAGGCCCGCCTTGCCGAGCTGCGATTCAGAGACGATGATCCTTTGCCCAAGAGGCTTGCAATTATCAATGACACTTTGGAGGAGTTTTGCACTGGCTTGCCTTACGACCAGCCAATGCAGCTGGGCGGCGCGGTCCGCCAGGCCGTTGATCGATGCTTCAGCAAGAACAATGTTTCCGACATTATTGCTGCCTTGAAGGCAGAGAAGGGGGAGACTGCGGACTGGGCCCAGAAGCAGTTAGCCACGTTGAACAAGCGATCGCCGACGGCAGTGCATGTGACTCTCAGGCAGATGCGAGTTGGTGGCAAGTGGGACATTGCCGAGACGTTCAACAAGGAGCATCAGATTGCCAGCAAATTCATGCAACACCCCGATTTCACCGAAGGCGTCACAGCATTGTTGGTCCGCAAAGAGAAGCCCAAGTGGCAGCCTGAGTCACTGGAGGCCATCCCCGCCAGCGAGAACGTCTCACAGCCCTTCTTCAACTTCGAGAAGACGCAGTCTCTGGAGCTGTTCGCGGACCGTACGTACTCCGAATACCCCTACCAGGGTCTCGGTGTGCCCACGGAAAAGGAAATCAAGGCTGCCATCAGCGGTGGTGGCTACACGCCTCAGGAGCTGACCAAGACCATTGTTGCATCAAGGAACGGGCGCCAGGGTATTGCAGACGTTGTCAACGAGATCATTAGTCGCAAGACCACGGTCGATGCCCAGGGCAAAGTCAAGTGGGTGAATGAGGATGCATCGGCAGGTAGCCGATTGTAGAGGACAGATGGGATGTTTTAGACAGGTTCTACATAGAGGGTAGGATATGTCTCGGGGAGAGCGTGACGATCCGCCGTGTAAAAACATGAATGATATATAAATTGCAATATTGAGCGCATGATAATCCTTGGGTACCGCTGTTCTATTTTATTTGCAATGAGGCACATCATCAACTGAACCACGGGGCGGGAATGGATGCAAATGAAGGCACTTCCCTACACGGACAAGGAAAAATGTGGGGACGCGAATGGTGGCCACGGTTGCGGAAACAACATCGCAAGCGTCGACGAGGGGACGTTTACGGAGCGGAATAACCTCAGGCTCATCTTCAACTTGAGTGGGTGGCGCTATGGGCGTCATGATGTGTGCGGGCCAATGGAGGGTGGGTGAGGGGCCCGGGATGGCAGCCTAATGGAATGGCTTCACTATGACTGTACGGAAGAAAAGCAGGATAGTATGACAAAAGAGGGCTCAGGGGAGACACAAGAGCTTCAACACCAAGACGAGTGGCGGGTGGGTGGGTGATGAACAGGTCATGGAGAGGATGGCAAAAGCGGGGAAGGATTGCGTGAGAAAATGATGGGGGAGGACGCTGCACTCTGTGTGCTGCTGTATGGGAAGCGTCTGAAGGGGATGGATGGATGATGGCTTCATGGGCCCGGTTTGGCGGACGAGTATAAAAGGCATGGGGGCACCCGGTTTCGTGGCCGAGGAAACATGGAATAGAACATGACGGGAAGGACCTGGAGTCAAAGGATGAGATAGCTCGCCTTGAACGAATGACATGACCAAGTCCCGGGTCCCCGACGACAGACGACAAACGAAATCTCGGAAATTCCTCACCCATCAGCCAAGACCAGAGTCCTCTTGAATCGAGGACCAGTTGCCAGGCCAGACGGAGCGTGCAACTTAAGTCCGGGGTCGGGCCTCGATGTATGAGGAAGACTGCCCTGCTCTCTTTGTTCTGCAGCGAGATGCCAGGAGCCGGGTTGCCACTTATAGCCACCAAGCAACATTGAACGCCCTTCGGAGCCGCGACACCCGTGGGTCCGGGACACAGCGGGCACCAGACTGGGACACAGAGTTGAATCCTGCGGTCGGGAGGTGGGGCTTCCAGTCGGCGCCTCTCCAGCTTGAGCTGCGAGCCGCAGCAAACGCAACGTCAAGTTGCGGCCCACGCTTGAAGCCGTTTGACAGATTCGTCACGTGCTATCGCGTTTACCTGTCTCAGATACTGGGCCATTGAAGCTGCATTTCCGGAGAGCAGTACTCACAGATATCCCCAGACAGGGATACTCACCGCTTGCAGCCCTATAACGAGCTTTCAGGTTTTTTTTTTTAGAACTGAAACGGCCAACGGTGGTCATATTGCCTGTCTAGAGTCGGGTTGGTTTGCTGTGGCACACGCGCTGACTTGGTGTGGCTGCCGAACGACAACATCATTGTTAGGCAACTGTTGTCTCCACTAAACCACGTCTTGGATTTGCTTTCTTTGTTACTCCTCAACCTTTTGGCCATTGTTGCTTTTTTCAATTATTATTATTTTTGCCTCTTACATCTTCATCCATTCTTTAGCCTGCATTTGCACCCCGTGGCTAACCCGTTTCCCCCACTCCCCCTGTCGCGCAGCTGCAGCTACGGCAGCTTTAACGAGGACCCACTCTCTCACGGTCTCACGTCCGCCTCAACGCGACAAGAGCCAGAACAGCTCCATAGGCGCGTTCAGGTCACGAACATGACACCGCCACCCCAATTTGATTAATCGTGCAATTATCACTCGCCAACAAGCCTCCACTCCACATTCAGATCTCCAGATCTCTTTTCTTGTACCCTTTTTTTTTTGTGTTTGCTTCCTTGTTACTTGTTTCCTGCATAGCTCGCCTGCTAAAGCTTCCTATCGTGTGTATTTGAGAATCGCAACGATTGATACACACGCCGTCACACGGGGTTGCCTTAGCCATGGCGTCGCCTGTTCCTATCTTGCCGAGGGGGGGCGACCCTTGGAACGGCCAGTATGCTCAACAGCAACGTCAGTATCAACAGCAGCATCTGCCTGCACAGGCTCCTCAAGCTCCTCCGGCGGAAGTTGATGAAAATGGCGTTCAAATCAGACCAATGGGCCGTATGTCAAGCGCCTTTGTTCCCGGTTCTGCCTATGACTGTAACCAGCTAACAGATTCGTGTCTAGTTAAGGTCCATTACACCTTCGACAGGGAAGCCAAGGTCAACTGCTTGGCCAGATATCCCCAGCCTCTCCGGGTCCAAACGGTTCCTATCGATGAGACGAATTCAATTGGGGTTGTTGACTTAAGATCATGTATCCATGCCGTCACGGAGTGCAGCCCCGAGCTTGCTGGCCAGGAGAATGACTACACCATTTACGCCGTCGACTTTTCAGAACCCGATTTTCCCTTGGTTGGCCAGGGCATGCTTTCATGGGCTCTCGAGGCTATGCAGGGTGAATCGATGATGCAGCAGCCCAAGATGGTCACCGGCCGCGTGACCAAAAATCTGCTGGGTGTTTTTGGCGGTGGCAACCGCGAGACTCTCGAGGTTAGATTACGGCTATCCGTCGCACCGAGATCGAATAAACCACCCCCTCATAATAATAGCAACGACATGCAACAGTACAGTAGACCAATGGAGAGTGCCATGACTCCGACGGGTGCTTCGGAGTGGAATACATTTATTCAGTCGAATCCGCAAATCGGTCAGACAGGTCACGTCTCAAGGGTTGCTTCGCCGGCGTTATCACAAGGCCAGGGTCCCAACCACCACCACCAGCAACCTTCCATGATGGGCAATCGAGAGTCCTTTGCGCCAGTAGCAGCTCAGCAGCAGCAGATGCCCACCCAGGACGTTCACAGAATAGCACCCGTCCCGGTTGATCCAAGCGAGCAACGGGCAGACGGAGGTGCACCGTCATCAAGACCGTCTAGTAGGGCATCTAACAGAGCTTCGAGAAGAAAACCGCCCACTGGCCGTCCACGAGGCAGACCGCGAAAGAACCCCGTCGAGGGAAATACTTCCGGGTATGAAGATGGCACAGAAGGAGAAGACGGCCCTGCTAAGAAAAGGGTTAAGACGACCCAGGTTGAAAGAACAGCACCAAACCTCTTTGCAAATGGCCCCGAGTCTCTCAGAGTTGCCGCTAGCACCTCGGGCTCGTTACGCGCATTTCGACCTATTTTGGCAAACCCCGAGGGTGCTTCAGGAAACAGCAACCATTTACAGGAAGTTCCTCGGGCCCCTACGCCAGTTCCAGATGGTCCTCTTCACACTGGTCCAGGAAGAGGCCCCGGGCCGGTCAAGCTGAGACGAGAGTCAACTCTAAGTCAACAGACATTTTCAAATAACCCTTCATTTGCAGAATCTAGGCAACCGTTGTCACCTAGCCAAGAAGACGACCGGTCACCGGAGTCCATCGCACCCACCCCAAACTATTCGGTAGACAGCCCAGCAGATATTGGCTCATCACCACCCATACAGCGAGCTACTCCGTTCCTTCGATCAAGCCCTCCTCCCTCAAGTCCTGTTCTTCCTCCTATGCCGCCGACTGAGCTTCCTCGCGATGCTAGCTTTGCTACTGACGACTTGGATGAACTCTTTGGTGATGAAGCCAACACGCCAATCCCCGCACCGACGGAAGCAGTTGCTGCAGCTGCAGCTCGAAAACCTACCGAGTCAAAGAATGCTAGCGGAGTGCCAGTTCAAGTCTTCCAGATGCAGGATGGCCCAGCTGGACAGGATCTTGTTCACATTTGCAGCTACAATACCCCTCAGCCGGTCCCAGCGACAGCAAAAGAATGTGCTAGTGACACTCAATCACTACCACCATTGAAGAAGGCACCAAGCCGGACAGCATCCAGGAAGAAAAAGACAAAGCCTGCTTCTCCGCTAGGCATGGCTCCCACTCCTCCGCCAACGACTGACGCCGTCGAGAACGCAGCGAGCCCTCTGCTGACAGCCGAACCAGGAATGGACGAGACTGCCCGGCGAACTTCCAATCTTGTCAGCATTGCACCTAAACCTACAGCCGAGCAATTACAACCACAAAATACCCAGAGAGACGTCGAAAAAGAGGAACTACCCACGCAGGGGCTGGCCGTGGCAAAGGCGCCCAGGCAATTGAGTCGGTCTCAGTCTGCTGGGCCGTTGGCCCTACCAACAATCCCAGCCAGTGAACCTGCTGGGCCATCTTCTCTTTCACAATCCATAGTTGCCGAGAATGAGTTCCCGACTCCACCGGCCCCTTCAGCATTGAAGAGAGCAGCCTCGACTGGTCCCCTCACTCTTCCGGTTCCCGCGAGCGACCCAGTGGTGCCTATCGCTCTTCCTACAAGCATGGAACACACAAACTCTACATTCGCCAAGAGTGATGCTGTCCCAGCACCCTCATCTCCACCAATCGTTTCATCCAGGGCAAACAAGAACATTGTAAAGAAGCACGCCATCAAGCAGAGGCTAGAAGAGGCCATCATGAATGGAGAGATGCCTCCATACTGTAGCAACTGCGGAGCTATTGAGACGCCCACCTGGCGCAAAATTTGGGTACAGGAAAATGACGGTATTCCTGAGTACTGTGAATACTCTGAGAAGCCTGGAAAAATTACAGCAATCGAGATTCTGCAGCGAGACGCAGACGGAAAGCCTACCGTGCACCGCCTTGTTAAGAAGAGTTTAGGATCTTCAGATGATAGAGCAAAATGGCAGGAGCGGTTACTTTGTAACCCTTGTGGCATCTGGCTCACTAAGTGCAAAAGCCACCGTCCTCAAGACAGGTGGGACAAGGATCTCTCGCGGACAGGACAAGAACGCAGAAAGCGAGGTACCGGTAAAGGCAAAAAGTCTCGTGGCAAGGATGACGGAGGAGTGAATCCCACTTCGGAGGCTTATCTCCCGACTGATGCACTCGGCCCCATCGAACCATCTTCTCCCAAGCACAGTGATCTACACAAGAGTCAACCGGATCGGGACATTGGCACGCATGAGGCATCAGCGAGTCTCGACATGCAGGAAGTGCAATCTAACCCTGGCTCGACTCATTCTAGGGGGAGTGACACTGCAAAAAGCCCCGTAGATGTGGAGTTTGATCAAGCAGTAGGCAGCACGAAACGACTCTTATTCCCCTCGCCCAGAAAAGACGGAATACCAAAAACACTGGAAGAAATCGACATTAACATCGTGCAGACTTCTGATGAGGGTCTGTCAAAAGGCTCGGGGGCTGGCAAGGAAAATATGACAAGCACAAGGCAAGACGGAGAATCCAATGATCACGACAATCTCGAAGCGGTATTTAAGAACCCGACAGTTGCTCGACCATCAACTCCAACACCAATCTCCAAGGCTGGAACGCCTAATGAACCCTTCAAAACACCTACGCGTCCCACGCCAAGCCACAGACCGATTACGAGAAGCATTTCTCGATCAATTCGATCTATTAGATCAATTGCATCGCCCAGCCAAGTTCTTGTTCAGGAAACGCCTACCAAGACGTCGCGGTCAGCTGAAGGCGGCCGCCCAAGACGCAGCCCTCGCAACCACCATGAGGGCTTCGAAGTGTTCGATACCCCCATCAGCCGTACCATCAGCCAGATGTTCTCAGAGGGCAACGGCTTTGGGGGTGATGACCTGGATCTAGGCAGTCTCCCAACGCTGGACAATAATGCTGGCAGCATGATTGATTTTGGCAACCTCCTCAGCACAGATGCCGTTCTGCCTAGCTCGCCTCCAAAAGATGGTTCTATGTCGTTTGACTATCACGCCTCATCTAGTGTATGGGCTCAGTGGGATATTGATACAACTGGCGGCATGGACACTGGTGGAACATGAACATTATTAAAACTATCGCATTTGCGTATTGTCTTTTTTTCTTTATTTTTTTTTCTTTTTAGGCGAATTATGGAGCGTGAAAGGATACCAGTGATTGGCACATACGTATGGAATCGGAATTGTAATCAGGATTGGAGTTTGGGTTGTGTTCAGTTCCTCTGCATATATATGGAAGCCAAGATGGCGGGTACGAATCACAGATGCTAGAGCGCCCTAGAGTAGATGCGCTGAGTACTTGAGTAGGTAGCTAACAAGCTTATGGCTTTGCTGATAATCTAAGTCGCATGTAATGCGCTTGCGAAAGCTGGTATAATTATTTACACAGAGTGTATACGGAGCACCATAAGCCGCATTATAGCTTTGCAGGGATGTTAGACGTCGAGCAGCCGAGGAGCAAGCATGACGCCAGTGATGGCTGTGGCTGGGCACTTTACGCGAACGCTAACAATTGACGCGTCGCGTAACCCGACCCAACATTGAACTTGACCCCACCATCAAGCCGACCAGACATGGACCCTCAAACTCCAAATCGAATATCACGTTGCCGTTAACCTTGGACAAAATATCCCCCCTTGCACCAATTGATCCTCGCAGCAGAGATACTCGCCCAGAGCAGATTGCTCTCTCTGCCCACCATGGCAGAATCCGACATCCAAACCCGCTTCTCACCTAACTCCCCCCTCGAACCAGACATCATCACCGAGATCCAGTCCATCTTGCGCCTGCACGACCTCTCCGTCGATGACCTCTTTTTCAAATGGGAATCCTACTGTATAAAGATGGATTTGGACGCGCAAGCCGGTCTATCACTTTCCAGAATAAGAAACTTAAAGCAGAGTATACAGGATGAGCTGGAAAAGAGCCACCGCGCGACTCAGGTGCGCAACGAGCGCAAGGTGTTGAGTGCCACACCCAAAGCGAGCTCGGGCGGCGACGTGTTTGGCATGTTGGATGGGTTGGTGCCCAGCACGCCGGCGACGGCGAGGTTGAATCGTAGCGGTGGCGTGGGAGGCAGTGCCTTGAAGAAGAGGATGGACGGTTTGAAAGTGGGCAGTTCGCCGGCGAGGATGGATGACCAGTTAAAGGCTATGAATGGGCTGCCGTGTGTATCCTTCGTTTTGGATGATTGGTTCCGTACTGATTTTGATATTAGGACCACTTCGTTTGCGGACCGTTTGAACCCAGGAGACGTCGTTGAGGTGCTGAATGGCCATCTTCAACCCGCTGAAGCACCCATTGCGCCGTTCGCCGAGCCGAGAATCAAGCTGACTGCTGCGTCCGATATCAAGAAGATGGCGTACAAGCCGCTGGCTATGAAGCTCTCCGAAGCAAGTGAGATTCTAGACGACCGCATCGACGAGTTCATCACCGTGGTACAGGACCACCACAAGCTAGAAGACTCGGCGTTTGGAAGCGCCGCCAGCCAAAGCACCACCGAGGTCGTCGCCGTGGGCAGAATCGCCTCCGACTCGATGGAGGGCAGACTCAACACCGCATCCCTCGTGCTGGAAACATCCCGCCGGACAGGAATGGGCCTCCGCGTGCCTCTGCGGATGGAGAAGATCCGAACGTGGAGCTTCTTCCCGGGACAAATCGTCGCGCTGCGCGGCCACAACGCCACGGGCAACGAGTTCGTCGTCCATGAAATCCTCGAGATCCCTCTCCTCCCCAATGCCGCCTCGACGTCGTCTGCTCTCGAGGCCCACCGCGCAAAGTTCAGAGGCCACGCCGACGCCATGGACTCGGATGCGGAGCCCGCGCCGCTGACCATCATGTACGCGTCGGGCCCGTACACAGCCGACGACAATCTCGACTATGAGCCGCTCCATGCGCTCTGCTCCCGGGCAGCCGATTCCTACGCCGACGCGCTGGTCCTCGCCGGGCCGTTCCTCGACATTGACCACCCGCTCATCGCATCGGGCGACTTTGACCTCCCCGATGAGGCTGTCCAGGATCCGGACACGGCCACCATGAACACCGTCTTCAAGTGCCTCTTCGCGCCGGCCCTTGTCCGCGCGTGCTCTGCCAACCCGCACCTCACAGTTATTCTCGTCCCCGCCGTGCGGGATGTCCTCGACAAGCACGTCTCCTGGCCGCAGGACGCGGTGCTCCGCAGGGAACTGGATCTGCCAAAGTCGGTCAAGATTGTGTCCAACCCAATGACGCTGTCCATGAACGAAATGGTCGTGGGTATCTCGACGCAGGATATTCTGTACGAGCTGAGGAGCGAGGAGCTGGCCAAGACGAGCGGCGACCTGATGGCCAGGCTGGTCCGGTATCTGGTTGAGCAGAGGCACTACTTCCCGCTGTTCCCGGCCGCCGAGAGGACGCGGCTGCCCAAGACGGGGACTGAGGAGGGCCTTGCGACCGGCGCCGTCTTGGATGTCGGATACCTGAAGTTGGGGGAGATGGTCAATGTCAGGCCGGATGTTATGCTGGTTTCTAGTTCCCTGCCGCCTTTTGCAAAGGTATGTTTTGTTTTTCCCCTTCCTTTGGCCTTTTTTTTTCTTGGGGGGGCGCGGTGGTCATCTCGTTGCATGTCGGTGTGGTTTCATTTTATTATTCTTTGACATGTGAGGAAACAAGGGGCAGGGCTAACGAATTAGGTCGTCGAGAGCGTGTTAGCCATCAATCCTGGGCCATTGTCGAAACGCAAAGGTGCGGGCACATTTGCGAGGATGACATTACACCCACCCGCTGTTGGGGAGGACGAGATGCAGAGCCACAAGATATTCGACAGGGCGAGGGTAGAAATTGTTCGGATATAGGTGTACTACGAGATATGCAGAGCGTGGGAGAAAAATTAATAGGCTTTTATTTTGGCTCGCAAGGCCTTGATATTGTACAATTCTCAGGGGTATCATCGTCTATAATGGACTCACTCTCCGTCGCTTATCGCCGTCATGTGTATGCCTCGAGGTACTCCTCTTCCTTCGTCTGTCGCCTTCCCTCCTCGGCGACCGAGACCGAGACCTATCCCTCGGTCTGTAGCTGTCCCCTCTCCCGTCGTCTCTTCGTCTCTCCTTGTCGCCCAGGGGGACCGCATTGGCGCCCTTTGCGTCCCTCTCGTCGGGCTTGAACCGCTCGTCATCAGGCCGGAATCTCTCATCGCCGCCAAACTTTCCGCCCCTCCTATCGTTGAATTCTCCCCAGCGACCGGTATCCTCGGACCGCATGTCCCTGTACTTGGTGGCACCCTTCTTGCCCAGCTTTGTCATGTCCCTCCGTTGCAGGTACTCCGGCAGGGCCTCTCTGTTCCGCACGTCATCCGCAATCCTGGTCCCCATGATATCGCGCTGCAGGAGACCCGCCGCTTCTGCCTCCTCCCGGAAGAAGGCGCCCTTGTGGTAGTATTTCTGCATGTACGACATCTTGCCCTTGTTTTCCTTTTCTTCGCGCTGCTTAGCGAGGTGCGCTTCGTCTTCGGCCTTGCGCTCCTCCTCTGTGAGGTTTCGTCTGCGCTCGAGCTCTGCCAGCTCCCGCTCGCGCTCCTCGATGGCTAGTCTGGCACGCTTGAGGCGCTTCAGCTCGCGCACGCGCCAGGCTGCTTCTTCGGCTTCCGGGTCGAGGCCATCTGTAGTGTCGACGTCCGAGTCGGAATTCTCGTCGTCGTCCCAGTGCTTCTTGCCGGCTGCGCGAGCAGCAAGGTCCTTTCGTATTTGCTCCTCGACAAGCTCGTCGGCGGCTTTCTGCTTGGCAGCCGCCTCGGCGAGACGGGCTTCTTCTTCGGATCCTTCCTTGTTGAGTGCTTCTTTTCCCCGTTGGCTTTTGGGCACGAATTTCGGCCGTATCATCAATCTTCTAGGCGCTTCTTGCTCTTCCTCGCTGCTGCTTTCTTCTTCGGACGAGCCGCTTTCGTCTTCTGATCCGTCGTCTTGCTCGCTTTCCTCTTCCGTGATGAAGCCTTCTTCTGCGGCTAGTTTCTCTGCCGTCTCGGCGTCTATTCTCCGCTTTGGCGACGGCATTGTGTTGGGATGTTGGTGTTTTACGTGTAGTGAAAGGTTGCTTGATGGAAAATCCACTGAACATCAAGCTATCACACGCCAGTTGACGATCATTGTTTGTGCCTCAGGCATATGCTCAGTGGCGTCAGCAAGAAAGGCCCACAGAGTCTGTGGCAGAATGTATTTGCCGACTAATGCGTCACTGCCTGGTTAGTGCCTACAGTTAACAAACATGGTGTCTTGACAGTATACGCTGATAAACTATAGCATTGACAGTCAATATTATAGTATTCGGCTCGATGGCTACTAGGTAGGGACCTCATTTTGACTAAATGCCACCCGCTAGGTACCTAGGTAGGTAGTGGATAAGTGTAGCAGCGACGAGATGCGTATGAAGCTACCCTATATAAGTCGCTGAGTCAATACAGTGGGAGCAAAAGGGTAAATACGATAGTGGCTCGCAGTTGGAGTTATGGATTCTTTTTAAAGCATGGAAACGAGGCATCTGAAGGTCTGCGTCTCTTTTCCAGCTTACGGATTTTCCACTTCTATGAAACAGGATTTTGCTCAATGGATAAAAGGAGCCAACTACCCCTCCATGTATATTACATGGGCGGAACCCACCACCACCACCAGCTAAAAGTGAAAACACCTGTCACATCCTCCGCAATTCTGGGTTCACAACTCAATACGGAACACTCTGGACATTATGGCGTCAAACGGCCGGCGAACAGCTCTTGTGACCGGCGCAACTGGACTACTCGGTCGCGAGATCACAGCTGCATTTCGGCAGAGCCCCAAGTGGAATGTCAAAGGCACAGGATATTCCCGAGCTGACGGTGTTGACATCCTCAAAGTCAATCTCGAGAATGAAGATTTAAATGAGCTCAACACCGTACTTGACGAAACACAGTACGAATCTTCTCCATATTCTCCCCAGCAGAGCCCACCTGTTTTTCAGCGCTGACCCTTTCTTCTCCACGGCTTCAATAGACCTCATGTCATTGTCCATTGTAAGGAAGGGAGATGATGCACGAATTTACGATCCTGTATTGACCATGAAGTAGCTGCTGCTCAACGATTTCCGGACCGGGTCGATAAAGACCCCGAGGGAGCCAGGAGTCTTAATATTGCTGCCAGCCGACGGCTTGCCCAGGTAGCATTATCTAGGGATATCTTGCTCATATATATCTCCACAGATTACGTTTTTCCTGGCATACCAGGAGATGCCCCTTACGAAGCTGATGCAACGCCAAAACCAACAAACTTGTATGGACAGACAAAGTTCGATGGAGAGCGGGCCATTCTGGAGGAGGCTGCGAAGGTCGGGAAACCTGGTTCGGCGATAGTCCTACGCGTCCCTGTTCTGTACGGCCACGCTGAGACCCCCGCCGAGAGTGCTGTCAATGTCTTGATGGACTCTGTCTGGAAAGCCCAGACTGAAGGCGCCAACATTAAGATGGATCACTGGGCTGTTCGGTATCCTACTAACACCGAGGATATTGGACGTGTATGTCGAGGTATGTTTCAGGTACTCATCATTCCTACCACCCATATGGCACGATTCAAACAGTATACTGCAAATTTCAACTGCGCGCTATATGACCTTGTTCACGATCCGAAACGCGTATTCGTGAACATGGCAACTAAAGAGTTTTTTCCAGATATGGCAGCGAAGTATCTCGACGCAAATGGGCCTGACCATCGCAAGGCATTACCGTCCATCCTGCAATTCTCTAGTGAGGACAAAATGACAAAGTACGAAATTTGTCAATTATTTGGAAAGATAATGGGGCTGGATACCTCAAACATTGAGGCAAATACGCAAGGAAATGATCCGAATGCTGCAGTACAAAGGCCTTATGATTGTCACCTCAGCACGAAAGCACTCCAAGACTTGGGCATCGACATTTCCACGTGCAACTTTGTGGATTGGTGGCGTCGAGAGATTCGAGCATTTAGCAAGTAGAGATAAAGAAAAATTTGCCTGCCAAATCTATATCAAGTCATGATTGCTGGTATTTGGAAGCCGGGCAGGTATGTAACTAGCGCGTTTTGCTGAATTTTGCTCCCAGAGAGCCCGCGAGGTCTAGAACGCTCATACGGAGTACACAACCGAAATAAAGGATACAACTGAATCCGTTTGAAGCTTGAAGCTTGGAATATGATTTGCAGCTGTCCCTGCTGACTGATTTCCAGACCCGTGCCCTCTCCCCCTGAATGGGTACGAGAGGTTAGGAATGCACCCGGATGTCACGAATAGAATATATAGTGGAACATGATGGCTTCTTTTTGGTGAGTTGGCGCTGATCTCGTCATGTATCACAACTCATCTTGAATTTAAACCGGTCTTCTGCGCCACCGTTACTCGAAAGCTCGGGAAGCATGTTATCTAGCGACACCATGGCGCAATAATCTCGTTAGTGTTTGTGTCCTAGGTTAAATTTGGCCTGACAGGGTGCCTGGGCTGGGGCAAGTGGCGCATTGCATAAAAAGGATAAAAAAGAAAGCAGAATCTAAAGACACCGCCTGGGAGTTTCTGAACGTACTCCGTACTCACCCCCCAAAACTCGACAGTTTTCGGTTAGTCAGTTTGCACGACACTCGGCCGAAGGAAGGGTCTGGTTGAAGACTCGGTTTATCCAGGGCCCCAACTGGGCCGCGCCTGCCGAGGGATGCCATGGTTAATAAATTCCGCAGGTTGGCCCATACTACTCGTCGCTCAAAGACAGATCAAGGGATTTCTTACTTAAGTATGCAATACCAAGTCCAAGTTTGGTAGGCACCTCAAGCACCAGCGAGGATTGAAAAATCACGCTGGAAAAGCACCAGTGAAACACCGAATGCCAATTGCAAGAGTGGCGACGCACCTCAAGCCTGCCCGAGAAACTTTGACCGACCCCAGCTCTTCTTGCAACTGACGTGGTCTCAATTTCAACAGCCCGGCGACTGAACTCTTCTGCCTGAAGACCGGCGGACAGACACGACAGAGCCTCGTCAGACTTCCTGTCTTACCTTTTGGATGCTCGAGGAGGCCCACAACATGTAAATTGGCACGATTGAGTAAATTGGACCCCAAGACATCCAAGCAGCCAAGACAGTGTCCTGGAATGTCGTCGCCACACACGGTCCGGGAGGGACAAAACCGCACACGACGCGTGTTATGGCGCGGAACGCAGCACACATATGACACAGTGTTATGTGCCAGATGGAGAAGAGGCATGCAAAAAGAATTGTGATGGCTGCGCGCCCGTACGGAGAAAGCAAAACGTGGCAGCGATCACAAGGTGACGCTGTGCGAGGTCGACTGTTGGACAAGTTGCAATGGCATGTTTCCCCAGGTTCGGCTCAACACGCAAAATGCCACTCGCTTAGTGTCACGAAACGTGATCAACCTTGCACTTCTATTGTTTTCCCCTTCTACCTCCTCTCTTTTCTTTTTAGGAGCGCTGCTTGTTCTCGTTCCCGTATCGCTCGTTAATATTCGATTCCCCCATTGCTTCCTTGCTCCTTTTGTGGCATCTTGTTTGGGGGATAACGTAACGGATCCTTTTCGTTCTTTACATCGTTCAATTAATCAATTGCTTAATCCATCAATTTCTTACGCTTCTTTGAGTTCTGCTTTCCGCCGGCCTCCTGCCGTCGAATCGGTCGCTGCCTCCTCTAGAATACGGGCAACTTTCCACACATTTGACGACACCTGGCGTCACTTATACGAAAACTTGTGTCGCCGCTGGTCTGCATTCAATTGGACAAGACCAGATCGTGGCCGTGCGGAGAGCTCTGGCAGGGATCAATTTGTGACACCACACCTTACCGTCGTCCAGCTACGTCAGGGAAAATCGTCCATCAACTCAACACCACGGGCTTGGTTTCTGATCCCCATATCACCAACAGCCGCCAGGTCTCTATAAAAAATACTGTGAGGCGGGCTTATGTACAGGGCCCAAGCGAAGAAATAGGGTGCCTTGGACCCAGAAAGCATCGGCAGCGGGCGAAGAATATACTTCTAGTTTTACAATGGCACATGACGCCATGGGTCGGGACCTGGGCCCGATCGAGGCGGTTCCTGTACCACCTACTCAGACCTATTCACGGTATCGCAGTCTGCGCGGCAAGAGCGTGTCATCGCCGCGTGACTTCGGTGTATTTCGGGATGACGACATCCCTCAAAGCGATTCAATCTGCGCAGGGCTGGAACAAAGCGATAGTCTGAACTCGCTTAGATCCCGTTCCAAGAGCGTTTCATATCACGGCAACGCAACAGGGTCTAAGGATCCCCCGCCTGTCGCGCCGGCGCCCACAAGAGGCATACTGAGCCCTAGGTCCATCAATATTTCCGCACCGTCTGGCCGCAAGATATTGGAGAATATAAAATCTCCCATTTTTAGCTCAGCCATTCCACCTTGGAAATCGTTTTCCAAGATCAACAAGCCGGCCAATAAGGACGTGGGTGGCACAGACGGGGACTGCACGGCGGCGGGTCCTCAATCCCAGAACCAGGCCGACAATCCAGAGGGCCAAGAGAAGGGCCAAGAGAAGGGCCAAGAGGAGGAGGGCCAAGAGGACGGCCAACAACACGGCCATCTCAGTAACGACCGAGGAGACTCGGTACAGCTGCCAAAGGCCGAGAGCACAAACGAGCCTGCGGTTGAGGACGAGCCCAAAGAGCCCAGGGACGACAGCGCCGTTTCGGACATCAAACAAGAAAGCGGCAAGGGCACCGACCACCTGGCTGATGAGGTCGCGCGCCTTGAGGCTGAGACTGATAGAATCCTTGCCGAACAAAAGAAGTTGGACATTGCGCGACTTCAAGCCCACCTCGTCGCACCTCCGCCAAAGCTCAAGCGCCAACTGCTTGACAAGCTCATCTTCTTCTCGCGAGGTAAACGATCCGCTGGTGCAAGCCAGCCTGGGACACCCGGCACAATTGTGTCTGCCATCTTCTCACCAGCCACCAGCCGTTCCAGCCGGGACAGTATTGGGGAACCAGCAACACCCAGTCTACCTGGTCTATCCGCCTTCAAGATGAGTTTCATTGCGCCCGGAGGAAAGGGTGTTGTTCCGCAAACCGATGCGCCAGTGTCTGCTAGCAACGGCGGAGAGCGAGTAAGTCGCCCCAAAACAAGATCCTATTTTGGTTTGTCGCGGGCGCGTTTGCCTGCTCATTTTGTACGTGCGAATGGCGTTCCCTGCTAACAGCGCACGATTTAGCGTATAACTGTGCGATGCTTTTCATCCACCCTCAGTCTGCTGGTGACAGCAGATACGACTCCTGTTGACATTCTCGGGGCCACGGCGGACCAGACAAGACATGACATAGATCCAGCAAAATGTGTCACAATAGAGTGCTATTCCGCCCTTGGCCTTGAGCGTCGCCTCCGTCGTTACGAGCGCGTTCGCGACGTCATGAACTCTTGGGACAAGGACAAGCAACATTCTCTGCTCGTTATAAAGTCCGAATCCCCAGCCCGTGACAAGGATCTGGACTTGCAAGCTGCTCCTGTCACCACAGAGCCCCCCCAAGGGTTTTCCATGCAAATGCATCACTCGTCAAAGACTGGCAAATGGACTCAGCGCTGGGTGACGCTTCTTGAAAACGGACAGATTTACGCTGCCAAGTCGCCGAATGCTAATGCCTCAAGCAAGGATAGTATTGTCTTATGCCACATGACCGACTTTGATATTTACTCCCCGAGAGAGAGTCAGACTCGCCGTCATCTTCGGCCGCCTCACAAGTTTTGCTATGCCATTAAGAGCCAGCAAAAGACCGTCGTATTTGCCAACACCGAGAACTTTGTCCACTACTTCTCGACGGATGATGCACAGCAGGCAGCCCGATTTTTTGAAAAGGTGCACGCTTGGCGAAGCTGGTATCTGGTCAATCGAATGGTAGATCTTCAGGAGAAGAGTCGAGTTCCGCAAATTGCGCTTGGTCCTAGAAGCAATAGCAGTGAAAGCCCCAAGAAGAGCATCAGGAGCGGTAATACCAGCGTACGGGCTTCTACTGTTTCATTGCAAAAGGACGACGAGGGCGAGCCGCTCATGAATGTCAATGCATTCCGTATGAGTAAGATTGTCATCACGCCCGAGGAAGCAAAAACCAGAAGATCAATGTCTGTCAAGTCGAAATCGTCGGTTAATCGCTCCGGAACTGTGAAGAAGAAGATGCATGCGGACGCCGAGTTTTCTAAAACTGCCAAGGGAGCTGAATCGGAATTCGCAGCAGGCGGTTTGCTAGGCAATGCCTATGATGCTAAACTCAAGCAGAGCGATGCTGCCCCTGCGGTGTCCAAGACTGCTCCAGATGGGCCCTTTACCGTGGCCCCGTCTCTTTTGAACGGTGGCATCTCCAACTCCTCATCAGATGCTTCTGAGAAGGCCAAAAAGCAGTCTGAGGAAGAAAAGAAGAGACCTGAAGTTACGTCTTGGTTCCCCTCTGCTGCGGAGCACTCCGCTCGTACTCGCAGTCAATCCTTCCACCCACCGTCGTCATCATACCAACAGCGCAGACCAATGACTGCTCACACTGGGGCCATGGCGGCGCGCAGTCGCTCAGAGAAGCATCCTGCGCCTTTGCTCAGCTTCTCAAAAGACTTTCCTGAGCCTCCACGATTTCGCGAAGGCCCAGCTGGCGTTAGGCAAGCTCCTGGTCAGCCGCTAGTTAGCTACGCAACAGGTGGCACAATGAGAGAGCCTCGTGATGGTATTCCCCGAAGAAATATGTCTCGACGTGGATTACCTGCTTCACATGACGGTGGTTTTACTGGGCAACCGCCGCCATCGCCCCATCGCCCCTCTCCATCTCCAGGATCTCTTGCTCGTAGCAAGACCTCTAGTTCGCCAAAACGATTCAACAATGGTGATGTCCATTCCCCTCCTATGCCAGCTACATCTAGCCGACGTCGCCTGAATAATGGGGAGCCTCATAACCCACAACTAAATCGTCCTGAGCCGCTGGTGAACCGGGCGAAGTGAGCAAGTTGGCTGTAGGAGTTGATGAGCGTTGGCATGTATAAAGGGACTGCTTTTGGCGTTACGGAAGGAGTGCCGCCAGGTTTCATTCAACCTGTCAAATATGGAACACGTGGGCAATAGTGGGATTGGATACCTTGTGCAAATAGTTCGCGATGGCGGTGGAGATGGCAGAGTGGAATTCTGAATGGAAACCGGTCGCGGCAATAGCAACGAGAAAGGAATGGGCTGAGAAATGGACTTATTTGGTTGTGTCCAACTAGGTTTCCTTGTGTGTTTTTGCTTTGGGTACTCGGGCGGTTCGGTTTAGGTTGCATTTATACTCTGTACAAATCACTCGTGTAATTGACGTTGTAATGTGATTCTTAAAAAGGGAGTGAATTTTGCTACCGAAGCAGAATTTGCTGTACTTGATCATGCCAGTTCAAGCGAGGTTGCTGAAGGTACGGATCTGATTTGCTCTACCATGTACGTTGACGACTTGACATGTTATGAAAGGCTTGTCGGGCGGACAGTAAAGAGGACAGTGCGAGAACTGTACCATCTGGGATCTCCAAGCAGCTTGTCATCTACGCGACAATCACAGCCCACCATAGTAAATAGACGCGCTTTGGCGACACAAGACACAACTCGACGACACTGCACACGAAATTCGAGAGCAAAAAGACGTGAAATTGACTTGCCAAACTCTGAGCAAGTTTACGCGTTCGTGGGATAGCAGCTTTACTCGGGCATCTTTGATGCGGTAACCAACTCCGATTCCATCTGGACGGCCGCCTCCGCCAGCAATGGCGCTTAGTGCGCAAGAGATCTCGCAGCTGCGAAGTGCTCTCCAAGATGCTGCGGTAAAGTGCTCCGAGAGATGTCTTTACCAATCGGCGAAATGGTTTGTCAAATCCATAACATCGACTCTCGACGAGTGCCGCTAACAACGTCGCTTCCCGCCCACCCCAGGGCTGCCGAACTGCTCAACGCGCTCCCCGAAACCGACACAGTCGATGATGCCACCCCTGCGGACGGTTCTAATTACACCTCGCCAATACTCACGCCAAACGCGGACCCCGAGGAAGCTGCCCTCGAGACCAAGGAACTCAGCAAGTATCTACTGGCCAAGTCTCTCTTCGACTGCAAGGAGTTCGACCGATGCGCTGCGGTTTTCCTCCCAGAATCTTTGCTGTCGTCCGTTCTGTCGTCGCCATCTGAAACTACCGTGTCGACACCGTCGCAGCGATCAAAGGGCAAGGCGAAAGCTGTGGAGGCAAGTCCGGCGTCGGGTGCAGCCCCGCTACCGAGACTCAGCCAGAAGAGCCTGTTTCTTGCGCTGTATGCCAAGTTTATGTCTGGGGAGAAGCGCAAGAATGAGGAGTCTGAGATGGTCATGGGCCCCCAGGACCTGGGGACAGTGGTGAATAAGCAGCTTCTGGTGGTGGGGAGGTATTTGGCGGCTTGGTTCAAGGAGAGGACGACGACGGACGATGAAGTGTTGGGTAGTCAGGGGTGGTTGGAATATCTGTGAGTTAGGGGGAGGATGAGTCGCTGGAAGATACTGTGCGTGGACTAACGACTATGTAGGTATGGCATGGTTCTTGCAAAGGAGAAGAATGACGCTCAGGCCATGGATTATTTTGTCCGGAGCGTTCACAAATATCCCATGAACTGGGGTTGCTGGCTGGAAATGACGTCTATCATATCAAGGGTTGAAGAAGTAAGTTGGCATTATCTCGTGAATACATATGTCATGCTAATAATTTTCAATCCACAGTTAAATCAAATAGCACGGCACTGCCCTCAAAACATCGTATCATTCATGTTTCATCTCCACACGTCCCTCGAACTATATCAACAGACACCCAATCTCGCCAACTCCCTCGCGCAGCTACTATCAATATTCCCGACGTCCTCGTTCCTCCTCACCTGCAATGCCCTGCTAGCATACCACGCCAAAGACCTCATGGCAGCCGAACACCACTTCAGCCGGCTGCTCTCGCTGCATCCCCACAGACTCGACTCCCTAGACCACTACTCCAACATCCTCTACGTCCTCAACATGCGCCCAAAGCTGGCCTTTGTAGCACACCTCTGCTCGAGCGTCGACAAGTTCCGCCCGGAATCGTGTGTCGTAATCGGCAACTATTACTCCCTCCTATCCATGCATGAAAAGGCAGTCCAGTACTTTAGACGAGCGCTAACCCTCGATCGCTCGTGCCTATCAGCCTGGACGCTCATGGGCCACGAATACGTGGAGCTGAAAAACACCCACGCGGCCATTGAGTCGTATCGCCGCGCAGTCGACGTCAACCGCCGCGACTACCGGGCATGGTACGGCCTCGGCCAGACGTACGAAATGCTCGAGATGCACACCTACTCCCTCTGGTACTACAAAAAGGCGGCCGGGCTGCGCCCCTGGGACGGCAAGATGTGGATGGCGGTCGGCTCGTGCCTCCAAAAGATGGGCCGCGAGCGCGACGGCATCAAGGCGCTCAAACGAGCACTCCTCGCAGACGCCTACTACGATGTGGGTAGTAGCTTCGGCAGTGGCGGCGATCTCCTCGGTGCTCGCGGCGCGACGGGACACATGGACCCAGAGATCCTGCTCCAGATCGCCGCCATGTACGACCAGCTCGGCGAGGAGGAGGAGGCCAAGGCCTACATGGAGCTCTGCGTGGCCCAGGAAGAAGGCGGAGCTGCTGACGCTAATAATCTCGGCGAATCCTCAGTCATGATCCATACCGACTCGCCCGCGTCGGAGGACTACGCCGATAGGGAGGACGGGTCTGCGGGCGCGGATGGTGGAGGAGAGGGAACGGGCGTGACGGCTGCTACGAGCAAAGCACGCATGTGGCTCGCTAGATTCGCCATGCGCACGTCTGACTATACCACTGCCAATAGGCTTGCCACGGAACTATGTCAGGACGGCGTCGAGGTGGAGGAGGCAAAGGCGCTGGTGAGGGAGATTAGGTCCCGGATGGAGGCTTCGGGCATGTTTGGCTCGGATAGTTAGCGCGCGGTGCTTGGCTCCGCTGGGCGTATGTGGGCGTTGTGTAGGACAATCGGGATTGTTACGAGTTACGTCAATGTAGCATGTTATGATGCTGTTGCACCAAGAAATGGGCGTGGCCACGCCACATACTGTTGTGTGTTACTAGCTACCCCTTATATCTGGTGACAGATGCCTGTTACGGAGTTGTGCGTGAGTGGCCCGGGTCCTGGTCAGCTCGAAGTCGCTGTCCAATCATGTATACACGCCAACCCGGTAGCCAGCCAGTAGCTTCTTTCAACAAGATCAATGAAGTTCTAAAGTGGTAGTACTAGCAATCACACCTGGCCTGCAAAATGTTTGGACGAGACTGTTCCCAAGTAGATAATAAATTACCAAATACCCAAGATTTTCTTTTTCCAAAACCAAAACTAACCATACTAAAAAGTCTTATCTGGTAAACTGGATACCCGGTTCATCTCGGCCCGCATGCCTCAAGGAGAGGCACGGCGTTTTAACATGATACCGGCCCCCAGGAATTAGAGAAGAGGAATTAACGAAAGTCAGGCATAATTCGATGCAGATATGTATAAGGAAGGATAGCCCGAAATAAACACCAGGCTTTTGTCTACCTCCGAGGTAGACAGCAGTGGAGGCTCAAAGCCACGCTGTTCCATCACCGGAAAGTGAAAAAGGAATGAAACATTTCCCTTCCAACGCCGAAAGACGCCTTGTACCATCGATTTAGAACCGCTCAGAGTGCTTTCCCAAACTCCTTATTTTAGGTTGACTAAAGATTGGAGAACAGAAAGCGTTGACTTGACAGCGTGAGATACGCTTAGAGCAACATGGCGGCGAAACCGGCAGCAACGAGAGCTCCAATACCAGCGTTGGCCTTGTCGGCGGCGGCAGTGGAGATCGGAGGGGGGGGAGCTTCGGTTTCGATGCCAGTGGTTACAGCTTCGGTAACGGTGCAAGGGCAGTTGGTGATGGTGAGAGTGGTAGGAGTAACGACGGTGAACTTCTCTCTATTAATGGTGATGGTAGTGGGTTCCTGTATCAAGCCATGTTAGCCAATGCTGTCAAATGCCTGCGGTCCGCCGCGCAACCTTTCTTGCTCTCTTATAGAAAAAACGGGTTGTTTGTGGAACTGCACTTACCGGGCAGAAAGTTGTGAAAGCCGTGGGAATGACTTTGGTATGTTCCCTGGTCTTGTGCTCCTTGGTATGGGTCCTACGCTCCGTCTCTATGGTTTTATGCTCCTTTGTCCTGGTCTCGTGCTCTGTTTCGGTCTCTGTGGCCTTATGTTCCCTAGTCTTGTGTTTCGTCTCGGTCTCTGTGGCCTGATGCTCCTTGGTCCTGGTCTCGCGCTCTGTCTTAGTTTTACGCTCTGTCTCGGTCTCTGTGGCCTTATGCTCCCTAGTCTTGGTTTCACGCTCTGTCTTGGTCTGGCGTTCCGTCTCGGTCTCTCGCTCCGTCCTGATCCTGCGTTCCGTCTCGGTCTCGCGCTCCGTCTTAGTCTTACGTTCCGTCCTGGTCTTGCGCTCCGTCTCGGTCTCCGTGGCCTTGTGCTCCTTGGTCTTAGTCTCGCGCTCTGTCTTAGTCTTATGCTCCGTCTCCGTAGTCTTATGCTCCTTGGTCCTGGTTTCGTGCTTTGTCTTAGTCTTGTGCTCCGTCTCCGTGGTCTTGTGCTCCGTCGTGGTCTCGTGCTCCGTGGTCTTGCTGGTACGATGCGGCTTGCTAGTTTCATGCGTCTTGGTAGACTCACGCCTCTTGCTAGACTCATGCGTCCTGGTAGACACATGCGGCCTGCTGGACTCATGTGGCCTGGTAGACTCACGCCTCTTGCTAGACTCATGCGGCCTGGTAGACACATGTGGCCTGCTGGACTCATGCGGTTTGGTAGACTCGCGCTTCTTGCTAGACTCATGCGGCCTGGTAGACACATGTGGCCTACTGGACTCATGTGGCCTGGTAGTCTCATGCGGCCTGGTAGATTCCGGCGGCTTGCTAGGTTCATGCGGCTTGCTGACAGGTTTCCATATCCACGACTCAGCAGCAGCGTTGACGGCCTGGCTGGGCTGCTGCTCATCGGCAGCGCTGCCGGCGGCCAAGTAGGCAATGGTCAAGACCTGGGAGAACCTCATTTTTCGTTTTTTGTGAAGTTGTTGACAGCTGGTTGCTATGAGCGAGAGTCGATGAAGTTGGTTGGACCCGGGCAAGACAAAACTGTTGAGAGCGAGGGAGGTTATCGTGATATTTGTACCCGTGAGGAAGCGAAGAGAAACATTTCATCATAGCTTTAATGAAAGCCTATCTGTGTATGCGCTCGAAGATTTGAACTACAAGACCAGATTTCACAGCAACGTTGTAGAATAAAAACCCGCTTTCAGACAAGTTTGGAGGTTGAAGGTTGTGTGAGACATTGTCTCAGCTATTTGCGACCCGATGCCGCTAACAACAGCTCGCCGGAAATGGACCAAGCTTCTCGGGAGCAGTGAGACATCACGGAAAAGTCTCCGAAGGCTCGTCCCACAAGCTAGTAGACGCATATATCAACGACTCCTGTACCTGCATTTTGCGTACCTCAAGCCAAGGTCCTCAAAGGCTGGTGGAGGAATCTGACGGGTACTCTAAGCTTAATCGAAGATGCTACCAGACCACAACATCACCAATACGAGCCGCTAACGATGCGGCTGAGACTGTTTCGATGCAATAATTCCAGCAACATGCCGTGAGTACAAACGAAACAGGATTGAATCCCTTCCTCGAGACAGCTGGTGTGGTGGAGATGAGTTAGATGATGCAAAACTTTAATCCCCGTGCGGCCATAATTGATCTCGGAGAAACGATGAAGAAAAGTTGTACGTCCACGGAGTATTGGAATACTGGTGATAATTGCTGAAAATGGCCTCGAACTCACACGAGCAAAACTTTCACACCAGTGGAAACGCCTAGACTGGTCATATACCAGCTTCGTGACCCCCAGAATACCTCGGGGCTTCGCATAGCGGAAGGAATAGGACCTGGATCTATCAGACGCTCTCTAGGTGAGAATTACACAACATACTGCGGCTAATAAAGCCAGAAATCATAGCAAGAGGCGTATTATGAGCTTGCGTCGCTGTTAACCATCTGGTCAATTGGGGGTTTCCCTTTGTACCCTATCGGACCGAGCCTCTCGGTGACCATGATCAACGGTCAACTGTCCCCAAGCCTGGGCGAATCATCGCTAGCTGGCAATCTGGAACATCTGGCAGCCTGGAGTGGCATTAAACTTGCCCGTGTTCCTCCCGCCACTACTTTGTGGAACCATGGCGGCAATGAAAGCGGGAGGTTGTTTGGTTTCGGCTAAAGGCTCGGGAGATTCCCTGACATCTGCTCGGCGGATATGCTAAAAGAGAATATCTCCGATAGATTAAACTTTCTGCTCGCTTGTCATGTCCGAGACTGGAATGCTGATTGAAAGTTAGTCGCTCGTCCAAATGCGACATACGGAAGGCCTTCAAGATGAGGAAACATTGCACGCGAGCTACTAGGCAGCAATAGAGAGAAGCGGGAATAATTTGTGGTAGCTCCGAACGCATCTCTAGCCAACCTTCAAGTTGTTGATGGCTGAATCATACGGATCTGATTTGACGTTTGAGGTGAGACAAACCAAACGTCACTTGTCTTACCGGAAAAGCTTAGAGTGACAGCACCCATCGTAGCGATGGCACGAGAAAGAAGGTAAGAAGTAGAGCAATAAAATATCGTTTTCAGTCAGAAGTCGGTTTCCTGAATCACAGTGAGCCGTTTGCGAAGTGATACCTTCTGGCACGTTTGAATCTGGATATCGCTGGACGTTCAAACATGTAGGACGACGTCGAGAATGCACGGTCCAGCAAACGCAAATGTAGTCGAGTGGTGACGGTGTAAATTGACCGTGTGTAATCAAGATTCATACAGTACACGTCTCTCCCCCAAAACGGTCTCAGACTCTTCACAAAAGCAAGCACCCCTCGCTGCGAAATGCGTACATCTTCATTCTCAAGTCTGCTCCTTTCAAACGGTTGTTTCATTCGGAATTTCTGGCGTCTAGATATGCAGACATGGGATTCTAGCTATCGACCATCGATGGATGGCACATTTCTGCTGTGCCTACATCCTGTCAGTACCGCATGTGGACTCCTGCATGACAATCGAATTGTCTTCCTGTGATGTGTATTAGACAAGATTGGAACTCATAGTACACCACTTATGCGACGCCGCAGATGGCTCGAATCACTGTCTGAAGGGAGAAGTGGCGTAAGCCATGATCTGTAAACGGCCACCTTTTGCTATTTTCTCGGTGCTTCTGATCTGATCATCTTTTGAACCTGGCTGAACCCAATGCTAATACTCCGAACTTACTCCTGTTGCAGAAACGTGTGTTCTAGGCACACTGGAAATATGTTCCTGGCCTCTGATCCATTTTCTGGGCGCCGAGATTGGGATGGAATTTGGGAAACGATTGATTACCCTGTCTCCTCTACGCTTGCAGATGGCGCGTTCTTGGTACATACTGTCGACATTCATAGATTGTGGTACTGTCACTCTGAACAAGAGCTCCGACACTACCCGAGCACGACAACATGTTGCGTGTCAAACAAAAGCGAATACTAGCATGAACCTTGATTGCATGCTGACTTGTTTGCCGTCTACTTGTGCTGGAAGAAGGCTCGAGTTGGCATGGCCCAGCGACACCAAGACCTGTCCAATCAATTGCCTCTAATGTTGAAGCCTGAATGTCGGGGCATTAAATGGTGCAAGAGCACTTGAGCCTTTGAGCTTTTTCTCAGCTCTGCGCCGTAGCCAAGCTGAAAAATTTCAGCAGACATGCCGCTGAACAATGGCTTCTCTAATGCTTTCAAATACAGTGCTCACAGCGTTTTGTGATACGGTGTAGCAGCATCAATTATGTACGCGCTGACTACAGCGCTAAGAAAAGCCTCATGCAGGCATCGGCTCCCGCCTAGTCCACTGGTGCTTGGTTATCTTGCATTAAATGCGAGTCTCCAGCTGCAGGTGGGGGAACAAGATACCGGTCTGTTTTTTGCACCAGTTGACCCCTTCAGTCTGAGCTGGTGGATCAAAGTTTCCAAAGTTTTCCCATCTTCGCCGAAAAAGAAAAAAAAAACTCAAAAATCGCTGCAACCGGGCACACTGAGCATTAGCACTGCAAAAATTTCGTGTCTGCTCGCAGCTCACTAGAGGCATGGCGTTTAGTTTTTTTTTTTCGTTTCTCGGCACGTCAGCTAACATGAACAAAAGTATGATGGCTTCCTCACAACGGGTTGATGGTCTGGCACCGTCTGATGGATGAGACAATTATGAGAGAACAGCATGCAGTGAGGGTCTGACACCAACGCCACCATAATGCCGCTGTTCAGCTTGTGCTCCGTATGGAGTACTGAAAGGTATGCTTCCTGGACTTGCCGTGAGGGACAGAATCATGCGTGAGACCAAATCTAATGGCATCGTTGTTGTGCGTCTCTGCAGCGTCCCCGGTGCTCTCTGGCCTCTTTACCAAAAGTCCTTACTCCGGCATTCTGCATTACCATGTGAAGCTCAACACTGTACATATGTAACTATATACCTAGGCAGGTACTAGTTGCCCGGCCTTCGGACTTCCCTCGTCGTATCTCCAACCACTCGGCTGTCGGGACAGGTGTTGTGGAACACGGCTAGAATTCCAGAGACCAAGTGTCTCTCTGGGCAGCTCATTGGATTTACACGACCGTTGCCATCTGATATGTCTCTGATCTAGCAGGCATTGGAGCGCTCATCCGGGCTTCCGGCTCTGGGTCATGCCAGCTAGGTACAGGGGTTGACGGCGTCTGGAACCTTTTTGCATGGGTGCTCTGGCGATGATCATCAGGAACAGGGACCGTTAGCCCATCTAGCTTCAATCTGTAGCCCAGGCTATCAAGGCGAAGATTTCTGCAGCTATGGAGTCTAGATCGACGCTACGTACCAAGAAGACCGCCGCAACGCAGGTAGCTTGTCTCGTGCCGCTGTGTCAGTGTGCACAAGCCGGCTAGTATTTCATGTAAATACCGAAGGCCTTGCTGCTTTGGGCGCCAGTTTGCTAGGGCAGATTAGGGCTGTTCACAGACCAACGATTGGAGATGACACCTAGAGACTCTTATGGTAGAGCCCATTCCCGGCGGGGATGGGTTGATGACTGAGAGCTTGGTGATGTATCAAGTAATAATGGTGCCCGTGTCTGCGCCACGCAAGGTCGGATCAACGGTTGGTTAGTGTCTGACTTGGACTTGGAAGGAATATTCAGCTCGCGACCAGACACTCGACGGGGAATGGGGGAGAACCTCGAACAAAATGGCTCGACTCGAGGCTGGTGTTGGGGAGATTTAACTAACTGGCCTCTCTGGGCCAACCCATCGGGTACCTGGCAGCCACCAACGCCCGCCGAAGCCAACTGGAGCCACGAGTCATCAATTCATATTGCTACATACCCCATGCACATCTCCGAATACCACGCTGTTCCGCCAATCCTGGCAACGACACCCTGGGCGGCCACGCAAGCCCCAGCCACGACACCCCCTCTGAATTGACGGGGACCAGGACAGGAGGAACTTGCGACGGGCATGGAAAAGAAGGACGGTATGAGCCTATGGCGATGGCTGTGCAATGGCCAAGTACCAGGTTTGGAAGCAGGGACTTGGACAACCACGGCCTATGCCATGATGCCACCAAGGGGAGACGGCGCGAAGCCAGCGTTTGCTTGTTTGTCAGTGCTCTTCGTTTCTTGTTTCAAACAAGACCGGCGGCGGCGGGCAAGGACGGGCAAACCAGACGATCTTGCCACGCGGAAAGACGCTCCAAGATTCTCACTGTCTCGGGAGGGAGTACAAAGCAAGGCGCGGCCCCGGGTCCTCAGCTGAACTGCCGTGCTGGCGGGCTGGCTGGCTGGCGCATCAATATTGCACGCCGTACGGAGTACCTCGGTGCGATGCTGCCAGGTCATAAGTCGTCAACTGGTACTCCGTACCATGATGATTGGCAAGTCATGGGCTGGTAGGATGAACAACAAACCACAAACAGAACACGTACTGTACATGGAGCCAACGCAGACACGCACACCCAGGCTGTCTACGGGTCGATCGGGCATTCATGGCCCCGCATGAAAACATGATGCTCCGCCGTTCGTCCTCAGTTTTCTAGGCCTCGATCTGCTCGAGGTGACTTGGGACGTGTCAGGTACCCGCGCCCCCCAACCGCTTTGCCGTGATGCCGTGCGCACCGTGTGCTAACCACTTACATGCTAATTCAGTCGATTACGGAGCACCAGTGAAGCTTGGCAAGGGGCGGGCTGTCTGGCTGTCTGGCTGTTTGCCTGTTGGGGCGACCTTGAAACCGGGGCCCCTGCACGCATTCTAAACTTGTCTACTTTTACGGAGTACGGAGTGGGAGGAACCACGATGCTCCTCCACCAACCAAGCCCACTCGCAGGGCCAGGCGCTTGGCCAACTGTCAAACTGTTTCGCGTCTAATAATAATAATAATACTTGCCGGAAGGCGGGAGTGGCGAAAAGAATGGGCATGCTCGAGGCCACCACGCAAAGCCTATGATGGAATACCCAATGCGCCGACGGGAGCGAAACCGAGGTAAACCCCTCCCAAATAACCTTGGACGTGAACAGCCCATCTTTCTACTGCGCATGATTGGGATGGAAGAGGCACCAAAGGTTGTGGGTGGCCCTGCGCCAAGCTTCTTTCGAACAGCTTGGAAAACTCTGTTCCTGGCGGGGGCGGACCGCCACAGAAGGTTGTCCCAAACATTGAACGAACCAGACGCCTTGGAGCCTGTCAGTTGATCCTGGTCCTTGCGGCATTAAGTCAAGTCTGGTATGGACATGGGGTATTATGGGACATGGGCGCGAGGGGAACACCCTGTGTACTGTACAGTGTGTACATGTGCATACGACTACTACCGTCCTGGCGCCCTCCTTTTGCCTCCGTCTACTCCGTACTCGGGAGCCATTCCATACCGCTTCTGCAAGACGACATGTATTTATTGTACCAGGAGGGTTTCGTTCTTGACGCTATGGCACGCTGTTTTGGAATACAACTACTCGGCGTCAACCTCTTTTTTTCCCCTTTCGCAAAGGGCCCGGCCGCCCCTCCACTACGACTTCAACAATGGACGAAAATCTAAGTCGACCACTGCAACTGGTTGGTGCAACTACTTGGTAGTCTGTGGGCCAGCCTAGGACCCATTCCGCTTTAATGGAGATGATAGGGAACTAGCGCGCAAGTAATCGTCCTCGATGTGGGAGACAAACGTGGCGAGCCTGCCTGGGTTTTGCCCTCAGATGCCAAGGTGGTACTTATTGCAAACATGTACCCAAGGCAGCCAAGAGATGTACCCGCCATGATCGAGATGCCAGCGCATGTCACTTGGGGCGTGTGGATAGGGCACCAGGCATATTACATCGTACAATTGTATGCAGTGGACCAGATTCTTGCTGTCCCCCTCTCGGAGGAGACTGGTAATAGGACTCGGGCTTGGTCCGCGTGGCGTGGACCCGTGAAAAGAATGGCATTGTCATTCTTTCACAAGAGGCAAGTCTCAAGTGTCTGTGCTGGCCGGAGAGCAGCTAGCGCTTTTCTTGGACCGCTGCCATGAACATATAAACCAAGCATCCTGCCCCCATTGTGGCTGCTCCCCATACCGCCTTACCATCATTTTTATCACTTGTTGTTGTGTTTCGTCTTCGGACTCACATTCATTCTTGAAGCTCGTCTTTTCTTGACTGCTTCTCCATTCCTTGCAAGCAAACGATACAACGGCCAGGTTCCGTTTTTCAGCAACTTCAATCCCTTGAACAGTACATCTCTGAGGCTAGTTCTCGAGACAACGAACAGTCTTTACAAACACAACTACAAGCAAACAAAGCAAACTCAAAAACACCAAAATGCGTTTCGCTACCTCTGCTCTGGCTCTCATTGCCTCCGCCGCTGCCGCCAGCGCCGCCAGCGTCACCTTCTGGACCCTCGATGACCTCGTCCGCACCATCTACTTCACCCCTAACCCTGGTTTCCCCGAGGTCGCCCCTGTCACCTGCAACAACCAGCAGAAGACTGTTGTCAACTTCCCTGACCAATGGATCGGTAACTATTACGCTGTCCAGAAGGGCCAGAAAAATGCTCCTGGTATGCTTGGTGAGGTCAACTTTGGCGCTTGGGGCGGCATGACCTACTTCGATGTTTCCGCCATCGTCGACCCCAACGACCAGAACAATGTCAAGCAGATGTATCCCGCTAGCGGCAAGTCTCCCATGTCTGGCTGCCCGGTATTCCCTTGCAACAACGCCTACTACCTCCCCGACGATGTCCAGACCAAGGTTACCCACGAGTCGGACCTCGTCACCACTCTCGGCGAAGGATTCACCGGCCTCAACTTCTCGTAGCCACAGTACAGCCAACTCATCAAAACACCTGTGATTTATTCTTTGGGGGGCTTGGCAAACCAGCCGAGCTATTTCTTCTAGAGGGGCGATGGATCTTGTCGAATCTTGACGATTCCAACAAACTCTGCCCTTTTGAGAAGGCGTTGAGCGCCAACATCGAGACATTTCACGATGCTATGTTTTACATACGGAGTAAAAAATGGGGGAAAAAATTTCAGGACACCACAGATACCCCTCGCGCATCTTGGTAAAAGAGCAAGAGCCGAGATTTCGTGGGTTTGACAAGGAACTTGACATAGAGCTTCAGGCAGGACAGGCGCAGCTGGGTAAGGAATCATTCTTTTTCTTTTTCTTTGGGGGGGACGGGGCTGTAGGGAGAAAAAACTGGTCGTTTTACGATTCGGAGTGAGTGGGTTGGCCACGGCCCTTGGTCATCATCTACTTGTACTTTCACTTCACCACAGGCTCGGTGCCTCTCGTCATCTACACTTGGACCGGAGGTGGAGGCGAGACCCGAGCCGCGCACTCTTTGACACACTTTTTGATACTTCTCTACTTTCTTTAAGGACACTTTTATAGAAGACCCTTTTCATGACATTTTGACACACAGAATGGAAGAACATATACCCCGTTTGGAGAAGCATAGCTTGGACATGAATAGAAAGGAAAGGCCCCTGGATGTTACGATGCCCATGTGTAAAGGTGAATGTGAGTGTGAATGTGCAGGTGGTGTGAGTGGAGCCCAAAACAAGGGGTAGATATCAGGAACTACCCAACAGCAGTTAGTCCAATACGCCCATGACGGGGGACAGATGACGAAGAAGAACTACAGAAACAGGCACATCGAGACCGAGTCGTCAGGGGCCGTGGAGTCCTTTAGCCTCGATCCTGTTGCCGGACTTGGACTCGTGCGTCGCGATTGGGCAAGCCTTGGTGCCTCTTGACGGTGAGGCCAAAGAGGAAGCCAAGCGGCGTACCGAGCAGTCATGCGCAGGCTCGGTCGTCTCATGTGTGGGAATGCCCTGGGCGCTTGAGCCGAATCAGGCATGCGAGGTACACTGTTGACGGCGGCTTCTCGTGAGGCCGCGTAAATTAATCCCCTCATCGCGTCCATGTCCTCCACGGCCATGCGAGTGTGGTAGTGACCCTGAGCATCTCCTGTGACTTGGGACGACCAGTTGTTGTGGCGGTTGCTGTGGCTCAACTGTGGCGGAAGCCTGGGCAGCTGCCCACCGCCACGAACCCCGAGAGCCTGAAAGTGTTTTCCTCGACTTCCCACCCCACCACCCACCCTTCTCCAGACCGACACGACCCCTCGATCAACCCAATTCAAATCTTTTTTAAACTTTGTGAAGAGTGATTGATTTGCCTACTAAGTACACGAACCGGCTGTCGGCTTTGCTTTATTAGAAATCGTTCGTCATGGCGCAAAAAACGACCCTCGACGAGTTTGAGGCCGTGTATCCCAAGCTTGAGGAAGCTATTTTGGAACATGCGCGCAAGTATAAGCTTCCCCAAGGGGAGCTTGACTGGCTGAAGGCTGTGAGTAGCCCTGCGCATTATTCCCCCGCGGCCGTTTCTCGGCTGCCTCTTTCATTTTGCTTCTCAAGACAAAGACGGGGCGGGTTGACTGGCTTCCTGCCGTCCAGTGGCCCTCTGCCAATGGGTATACTAACACTCGATAGAACCTCGAGACTAACCCCCTCGGCGGGAAGTGCAACCGCGGCATGTCTGTCCCCGATTCCGTCTCTCTCCTCCTCGGCTCCGCCCTCAACGAGGAACAGTACTTCCAGGCCGCCACGCTGGGCTGGATGACCGAGCTCCTGCAGGCCTTCTTCCTCGTATCGGACGACATGATGGATGGGAGCATCACCCGTCGCGGCAAGCCCTGCTGGTACCGCCAAGAGGGCGTCGGCATGATCGCCATCAACGACGCCTTCATCCTCGAGTCGAGCATCTACGTGCTTCTCAGGAAATACTTCCGCAGCCACCCGGCCTACATCGACATTGTCGAGCTCTTCCAAGAGACCACCTTCCAGACCGAAATGGGCCAGCTGTGCGACCTGCTCACCGCCCCGGAGGACAAGGTCAACCTCGACAACTTCTCCATGACAAAGTACCAGTTCATCGTCATCTACAAGACCGCCTACTACTCCTTCTACCTGCCCGTCGCCCTGGCCCTGCACCAGCTCAACCTCGCCACGCCCAAGAACCTCAAGCAGGCCGAGGACATTCTCATCCCCCTCGGCGAGTACTTCCAGATCCAGGACGACTACCTCGACAACTTTGGTCTGCCCGAGCATATTGGCAAGATCGGCACCGACATCAAGGACAACAAGTGCTCTTGGCTGGTCAACCAGGCGTTAGAGATTGCCACCCCCGAGCAGCGCAAGATTCTGGAGGGCAACTACGGCCAGAAAGACGACGCCAAGGAGGCGGTCATCAAGAAGCTGTACGACGACATGAAGCTCAAGGAGCGCTATGAGGCGTTTGAGGAGAAGAGGGCCGGCGAGATTCGTGCCATGATTGAAAGGGTTGACGAGAGTGAGGGCCTGAAGAAGGGCGTGTTTGAGGTGTTCCTCGACAAGATCTACAAGCGAACCAAGTAAACTGCTCTGTGGGGGGTTGGGGGCACGACATAAAAAAACAAAAAAACAACGAAAAAAAAACTACTAATGAGGTAGATGGCATGCATGCATAGAAGCGTGGTTGCGTAAACGTAAAATGTTTGGTAGATTTTCATTATAGTATATAAAAGATACAGTTAAGGTTTTAATTTTATTCGTCTTATACAAGGGCGCCTGCAAGTGTCCTAGTTTGGCCGTCGGTCTTATCAGCAGATGCAAACTTGAGTGCCACAAGTGACTGCAGTGTAACAAAGATGACGGTGTAAGGCTGGACCGGCCAGCGGAGGAGTAGTACTCCGTTTGCGACATGGAGATACATCTACTTGGTATCAGACTGGGGTGAAGTGCCTAGTGCAACGGCCAGTCCACAGGCTAGATAGCTTGTGGTTCGACTACATGGCGAGCACATTGCGTGGAGAGAGAGTATCTCTCTACAAGAGCTGAACTTGCATTGATGAAAAATTTACGCCACCACTTACCTGTGCGCAAAGCATGACTCCCTTATGCTAAAAATGCCACGTGCACGAGGAGACCTGGTTCAAAGCCATGCAGTGCTCCGTACCACCGCCGCTGATAATCGCTGCCGGATCTGCACCCCACTGCTGCGCGGCGCCCGTCGTGGCAAAGTTGTAAGACGCCGATCCGCCCCGAAGCTGCGCCCGTGCCGTGATCCACTCCGGCCGGTTTCCCGACTAGCAACCCTACGGACCGATGCGGAAAGCAGCAGTCGGGACGGAGCGAGGAAATCCCCCCTCCCCAACCCCACTGAAATGTGTCGCGGTCAAAGTTGGATGCGGGCCGGCGGATTGAAGGAGTTGCTTGGCGGCGAGGAGATGGGTACCGTCTACGGGATGGATGCGGAACGAAGTAAGTGTGAGTCACGGGGGATAGGCTCGTTCGAAATGGGCACTGCAGCTGTTGCGCGATGACGAGTGTCTAGGGTCCGCGGGTCTCCCAACCGCAACTTGCTTGTGTGATTTACATCGCTGCATCGAACTTCAAGGAGCATGAAACTAACGCCGACTTTAATCTTCGGCAATCCACCCTGCTCCGTGGTCGACGGCCTCTGGTGTGGAGGTGAAGATGGAGGACATTCGCATCCGGCATCTCTCTGGTGCCGCTGTCTTGTAAGTGGCCGGTGATGCGACAGAGTCCGATGATGGTGGCAACTACAAATAAACAGATATCATGGCTTAAAATGACACTTTACTGCACATGGTTTCTCATGGTGTTTGTTACGTTCGAAAAGGCGTCCAAGTAATCCTGGCTGCGGATCATGAATCGTCCATGTACGCGTGTCATCGTCCTCTCCTAGGTACTAGTAACATAGTGTAATTTGTACATCAGTAGGCATATCTCGGTAGTGATTTCTTGTCCGCTTATATAGCATAACAATCATGTTCCGAGCTAGTCCTCGGGCTGCTTTTCGCTCCCCTTGGATGGACTCTCATCTTTACTTTCTTCCTTTGTGTCCACAACCTCCTCTTTGGTCTCCGTTGCAGGCTCCGTGTCTGGCTTCTTGTCGTCTGCTGACTTGTCCTTGATCTGGGATCCCTCCGTCTCTTCCACGGGCTCTGGTGTCTTTGGTTTCACTTCTTTGGACTTGACAATATTGGCAAGGAAGTCTCCAGTATCCCCAAACCCATTGATTTTCCCCAACCGTGATGCGAAGAATTCCATATCTCGCAGCATACTGGGTTATGTTAGTCAGATTCGACATATCCCAATGAGAACGTCCGGCCCCGCCAACGCAAAACTTACCTTTGTGTTCCAGCTTCTGTTTTGGGAGTAGCCTCTTTGAGAGGAGCTCCCAGCTGGTCTTTGTAGCTAGCAAAAACGGGTTCCATAATCATCTGAATTGAGGTCTCTGGAAGATGCTTGGTGAGAACACGGTGCAGCGTAGTGGTTTCCTTGGCAAGAATCTCCATATATGGCTGCACCACGCCTGGCCTGGCGCTATCCCAGTCAATAGCTCTCATGTTCTTGGCATGAATCGCTGCACGACTACTCATAATATCGACCAACTTTTGGTGGATACTGTCTTGATGTTCCTGTAGTAGTCGGCGGACCTTGTCAAATTCTCCCATCAAGCTGGATACTCCCGCCCCAGACCCGGCATGGCTTCGTACAAACTCTCGAACGTGAGGAATTAATGTGGCTATAAATGACAATGCCTGCGACGCAAGAGCCAAGTGCTTTGTGGTGATGTTCTTCAGACCTGCAGAGCGAGTTGCACCCGCCCCAAGAATCAATTGTGTACACCGAGAATTGAAGAGTTGGAGGTATGCAATTAATGAAGATGCCACATCTGTGGTCATGGACGGTATTCCTGCAATCAAATGCAAAAAGCTCCCCAGTCCATCCAGACAAAGTACTGCAGAGTTTGGTAGAATGAACTTGTCAGACTCTATGACTGCCGATCTTGTTTTGTCTTTGCCGGTCCCATTGCTCTCGGAGGGTTCCGTCACAATTTCTGGCTTCTCAAGCTCGCGATATGGGATCCAAATCTTGTTGTTTTCTGTCCACACGGAGGCATCTTGCATACTACAGCCTAGTATGAGATCCAGGAGTTTCGTATTACTCTCTGTGAAATCTTTTGCATTCCACTGATCCGATTCCATCCCCAAGGCCAGTTTTTGCATCTCTGCGTCGCGATTTCGTTGAACAAACTCTTTAATGTGTCCATTAACCACCGTCTTAAGAGAAGTACCGCTTCGTCCAGAGATGGCTTCACACTCAGTTGTAAAATAGAGGTTAAGGGCAAAGTATCGAAGAAATAGATCCAACGGAAGATGAGTCGCCTGTTCTGCTCGAACTTTGAGAACCTTGACGATCTTGTCATTTGCGATGTCAACAGCTTGTGTTAGGAGACTATTGATGTCCAGACTCTTATGAAGTTCTTCCTGCAGTTCGACATCGGCAGCAGCCATTGGGTTGGAGATGTGGCGATCGGGGCGTGGGCTGGTCACAGGTGACCTGGCCGGTGGTGACTTAACGCCATCCAGGTGGGATGCGTCTGACAAGGAGCTCGTGATATCGAGTAGCACTTTGACTTGCGTGGTCAGTCGTCTCAGGGTTTCGGTAACGCCAACATAAATCTTGACAAGCAGCTCTTCTGCGTCTTCTGCGTCCAATGCCCGGAGGTTTCTTGCTAAATTGGCAGATTTCTCTTGACTTGACAAATGCCTGCTTCCGCTAGTCGTTGATACCGACAGCATAGACTCATTATCGTCATCGCTCGAACTCGGAAGAGGACGTCGAATCAAATTGCGAATTTCACGAAGGACTGCATCTCGATAAGCCACCGCTGCAGCTGCAACGTACTTGGCACGGTGTAGGCCCTTCATGTTGGGCATAAGCTGTGCTTTCAGCTCTTCTGTTGCTGTGAGGTACGTGGGAAATATTGACGGTGATCGAGAGTGGCCCCCTCGCCCCCTGGATGCTGCATTATCCCATCGAAGAAGAACATCCGCAGAAGAAACGGACTCCGTGTGTCTGCGCAAGTCCGCCAACAAGACATTGACGAATTGCAACTCGTAAGCCTTTCCGACTCTGAAGCGCAAGGTGTTCAAATCCTGGTTGACACCCTGCAATGCGGAAGCTCCTCGTAAATCCCGCAACTCTATGCCCAGCGGTTCCTTTCCGTCCGTTTCCTCACGCTCACCTGCAATGAGCCTCTCCAATGAGTCAATACTGCCCAAAGCCTTGTCTACTTCACCAGCGTCGACCAATGATTCGCAACGGCCAACCCAATCGACAATACAGCGCAGTTGGCATACAGCATCATTGAGCTGTTTTAAGTTCTCCTGCCGTCGACGTTTTTGAGCAATTAGTATGCCATTAGTTGCCACCTCCTTGTCAAGCGCCTCTAGTTCTTCTCTTAGGGTCTTTATTCTTTCCACTGAGTCGGCAGCTTCTGAGTGTAGTTCCTTTAACGACCCAAGAGCGGTGAAAAATGTTGTTGATGCTGTCGATATCGAATTGATGAGGTGAACTTCAATTGTATCCATGTACCAGGACAGCTTCTCTTGCAGAATAGCATTTGTTGCTAAAGCTTTTCTTGGGGCCGCAGGAACCGAAGAGCTGTCCTTGCCCAATGATGAGGGCCGGATTACTTCGGATCGTTCACTAACAACATCAAACGTCCTCGGATTCTCGAGATGAAAATCTTGGTCAAAATATACGGTTGGAATGGTTGATAAGGGTGAAGGTCCCTGCACGGCTTTTCGCCCTAGGCCGGGGTTCGACCTGCGTGAAGGGCTTGGGGCGTCGATAGATGCCAGTGAAGCGACTGAAGCAGTCGAACCGCGTCGATGGGATTTCGTTGTCGGTCGAAGTAGGCCGTCCGTATCCGGCTGCTCACCAGGCTTGGAATTGTGGCGACTCTTGGCAGATTCGTCTTCGCTCTCTTTAACTCGTCGCAACTGCTCATACAATGCTCCGACCTGCGCAACATAGGGACTAAACTCGGCGGGATCGATAATTGGAATGTTGGTCAAGGCAACTGGCGGGATGTCTCGAGAATTGGGGGGCTTGTGTGAACTCGATGACGGGGCTGATGTGTGAGGCTGTAGGCCGGTTCGAACAATCGGTGGTTGTAGAAGGGTCGAAATGGCTGCACAGGCGGGTTAGCTGTTGTATTTCTTTCTCCATTAGACGACTATCTTGATTTACCATTTTGCCCAGGTTCATAAAGGGAATTAGACCGAGCGTTAGATGAGCTATCTAGAGCACCGCCCATGGAATGGATGGAACTCGTATTAGAGTTTCGTCTGGATGAAGAACGGTGGTATCCTTGAGCTGGTCGACTGCTACTGAAATGTCAGCGTAAGGGAAGATCCATTAGGTAGACGAAGACCAACCTGTGGAGAGGGACCTCATGCCGGGGCCCCAACGACGGCGCAGAAAGGCTGTCGACGGACTTTCCGGCCGCTGGAGAAGAAAACATCATATGCGCAATCGCAGAGGATCTGGCTGATAATGATGCCGAGAGGTTCCAGAAACAGGACCAGAGCCCTGTATAGCCGACAGCTGTGTATTGACGGGTCGGATCAGGAGTGCTACCGGGGTATCATCGCTGGCACATGCGGGAGAATAGAGAGCGGAGCATGCACTACGCCCTGAGGGGAAGAATATATTGAAGTAAGGAATGATAGAAAGGTGACTAAAAGACCATGGTATAGGTTGTTTTGGCACCAACCAATGGCCTGATCAACGCGATGCCGATTGATGGGAGCTTAGCGTTGAGGCAAGCAACTGCCATGTATACCTGACCTGCTATGCCAACCCAGTAGTAGCCACGAAACCTCAAGCCAGGGCTGCGCCTTTGTTTGCGATGGACCGGTGATTTTCCGACATTCTCTCTCAACGCTAGCACTGGCACGTGCGGATAGGCAAGCAGAGTGGTTTTGTTTGGGCTGGGATCGGTATTCGGCACCATACCCACTTGGGCTTAGTACCTGCAACCACTTAACGTCGCGTGTCGCGGTCCAAATCACGCGTCTGGTTCGTGTAAATTGCATTGCTTGGGTGCGTTTTGCCCTTCGGTGTCGCAATGCCATCAGCCCCTCAATTGGCAATCTGCAATTTACATATCGCATTCACGCCCGGGATCCAACAGCTTCACACTCGGAGCCTTGACGTATTTTGCAGAGTAGCGAGTCGGCAGGTACGGTAAAAGACCTAACCATGGATAGCCGGTCTGTTTATTCAGCGCATGTCTTCGAGCCCAGCTACGCTGAGAATGGGGACACCCGGCTGCAGCTCCTGCAGCAACTCGAGACCTTTATTCTTGACTTCCGCCTCGACAATAACTTTGTCTATCGGTATGTTGCACGTATGCGGAAGCCGTCGCAGATTGGCCCTAACATGTGTAATTAGTGACCAGCTACGAGAGAATGCGCTTCTCAAGCAGTTCTACTGTGACGTCAAAATCAACGACCTCATCAACTTCAACGAAGAGCTCGCTCACAAGCTCGCTTCCGAACCTGCCGAAGTCATCCCTCTGGTGAGTTTTTCTGCGATCCTGGGTGTTGTTTCATCGGGCTCCTCTGACAGCCATGGATAGTTTGAGACGGCCCTTAAAAAATGTACACAGCGAATCGTCTTTCCGCACGAGAAGGAGGTCAATCTACCCGATCACCAGCTTCTGCTCCACTCCGATGCCGAAGATGTGTCAATCCGTAACCTAGACTCCATGACGATTGCGCGGCTTGTTCGCGTCCCCGGCATCGTCATTGGTGCTTCCGTCATGTCATCCAAAGCCACGGAGCTGCACATCCAGTGCCGCAACTGTCAATTCCAGGAGGTCATCCCCGTGTTGGGCGGCTTCACCGGTGTAACGCTTCCTAGACAGTGTAATCGCAAGCGAATCGACAACGACCCTACGCCCAAATGTCCTCTGGATCCATACTTTGTTATGCACGAAAAGTCACAATTCGTTGACCAGCAAATTATCAAGTTACAAGAAGCACCAGACCAGGTACCAGTTGGAGAACTGCCTCGGCATGTTCTCGTTTCGGCAGATAGATATCTCACAAACCGCGTTGTTCCCGGGTCAAGGTGCACGATCATGGGCATCTTCTCCATCTACCAGAACAAGGCGTCCAAAAACTCATCCACTACCGGCGCCGTTGCCATCCGAACGCCGTACCTGAGAGCAGTTGGCATCCAAACAGACTTAGACCAAACTGCCAAGGGTCATGTTAGCTACAGTGAGGAAGAAGAGCAAGAATTTTTAGAAATGAGCAGGCGACCTGACCTGTACAATATAATGGCGGACTGCATTGCGCCCTCCATTTATGGAAATCGAGATATCAAGAAGGCGATTCTCTGTCTACTACTAGGTGGATCCAAGAAGATTCTACCCGATGGTATGAAGCTGAGAGGTGATATCAACGTACTGCTTCTCGGTGACCCTGGTACCGCAAAGTCACAGCTCCTCAAGTTTGTGGAAAAGGCAGCACCAATCTCCATCTACACGTCCGGCAAAGGTTCTTCCGCTGCGGGTCTGACAGCCTCCGTCCAACGAGACCACTCGACAAGAGAATTCTATCTAGAAGGCGGTGCCATGGTTTTGGCTGATGGCGGCGTGGTTTGCATCGATGAGTTTGACAAGATGAGAGACGACGACCGCGTCGCTATTCACGAAGCCATGGAACAGCAGACCATTTCCATTGCCAAGGCTGGCATCACCACTATTCTCAATGCCAGGACATCTGTTCTGGCTGCGGCAAATCCCATCTTTGGCCGTTACGATGACATGAAGACGCCTGGAGAGAACATTGACTTCCAAACGACCATTCTGTCTCGTTTTGATATGATTTTCATTGTCAAAGATGAGCACTCCCGCGAAAAGGATGAGAGAATAGCCAAGCACGTCATGGGTATTCACATGGATGGTCGCGGTACGGAGGAGGTCGCCGAGTCTGAGATTCCTGCCGAGAAGATGCGACGATACATTACCTACTGCAAGACGTAGGTCCCTTTTCTTTTCCCCAGCTCCCCAACCCCACGAATACCAACTAATATCAATCCCAGTCGCTGTGCGCCCCGTCTGACCCCTGAAGCCGCTGAAAAACTCTCGTCACATTTTGTCTCCATCAGGCGTCAAGTCCACGCAGCCGAGATGGAAGCGAATACCCGCTCTTCTATCCCCATCACAGTCCGTCAGCTCGAGGCCATTGTCCGCATCACCGAATCCCTCGCCAAACTAACGCTCTCGCCCATGGCCACGGAAGAACACGTTGACGAAGCCATCCGGCTGTTCCTCTGCTCTACCATGGATGCTGTCAACCAGGGCAGCAACCAGGGCAGCCGCGAGCTGAACGAGGAAGTCAACCGTCTGGAGGTCGAGCTCAAGCGTCGACTCCCCATTGGGTGGAGCACGAGTCTGGCCACGCTAAGGAGAGAAATGGTTGAGGGCAAGGGATACAGTGAGCAGGCACTCAACAGGGCTCTTATGGTGCTGCAGCGGAGGGATACCATCATGTTTCGGAATTCAGGGGCACAAGTATATCGGCACGGAGCGTAAGCTACTCGCATGTGAGACCTTGTTGGAGCAGGCGTTTTTAACGATGACATGCTGTCCGTGCGATGACGGCTACTTTTGTGAATACGAGCAGGCGCTTGGGTACATGGTGGAACAGGCATGGCACAATGACACGAGATGTATTTATTGCGAGTGAGACGAATTGTAATCTACGTATAGGGTTGGGGTTGTGCGAGGAGAGAGTGAGCGCGCTACATGATTTGAGAAAACCATACCCAACAAATAGAATACCTCGCTTGATCCCCTATCCGTACCGAGAGTCGCTGACCAGGATACTCCCCCTTCTTTACAGCTCGATGGACCGAGAGCGTTGACATGCACGGTCAGCGTCCCTCAGCATCCCAATCATTCCGCAATCTCAGGGCCAAATCCCCTTGATGATGACGACTTCCTTCACTAATCGCCAGCACTCACCGCCCGCGAGGCTGTCCAACACATCGACACCAGACAGCCTGCACATCCTCGCCCCTCCGGCCCCAAGGTTCATCCCGTCCCTCCAGCCCGCAGCCGTCCATCAAGGGCCCCGGATCTCCTACGGCCGCACCGGCGGTAAGAAGAAATGTCCATCGCGCAGTGCCGGACCGGCCGGCCAGCCTGTCCCGAGGGAACATGGGAGTGACTTGAAGTACACATCATGCTGAGACGAAGGCTCCCACGGGCAGGTGGCCGATGACCTGGCCCTGCAGCCTCTGTGTGCCGGGCATCCGCACCTATTGGCCGGCGCGCAGGTGGTGGTTGCGTGCCGACATGTGCAGCGCAACAGTGGACGCGCAGCGCGCAGGCCGTTGCCAGTAGTCGAGAGCGATTGATTGACTCGATGTGTCTCGGCGCCGAGGAGAGGTTTGCCTGGGCTGAGAGGCGTCAGCTGGTCTTTTGTCCTGGCAAACGCGGCGCGGGATAAACTTGCGGTCAGCAAAAAGAAAGATCCCGTCATGGTAGTCGGATTGAGGCTCTCTGGATGTTGGTCGGTACGTGAGCCGCCCGTATTGAAGGGCCGTGGGTTGGCGGGTGAGTTGCCAGCTTCGAGATACTCGCCCATGACGGCAGACAAAGCTTGACCTATACATATGTCGGCGAGGGCCTGATGCTACAATTCCCACTTCATTGTAGCAGACGGGCGAGTATTGAAGGCTGAAGCGTATCATAGCCTGTGTCGAGAATCAAGGCAGAGCTAACGGGTGTCTTGGTGACGCCCGACGCGGGTTCAAAGTTTGGCTGTGTAGAAAGCATCAACGGAAATTTGTTTATCTCTAGACGTGGTTTTTTCTTCTCTTTTTTCCTCCATGGAATGGCTGCAGACGGCAAAACTAACGCTTCCAAGCTACGAGCTCTTCACAAATGGCGAGATGCATTGAAACAGGAGCTGGCATGACAAAACGAACGACCGATCCGTTCATCGTACATCAAATATAACCCCAGAAAAGGCAAAAGAGTCAAGACGGAAAAACAGCCAACATAATGAGCTGTCCATAATCTTTGTAGCCCTCCAAAAGGAAGAGCAAAAACAAAAAATCGCTATCCAACCCAACTCAGAGACAGATTGTGCCGTCAGGTTAGCGCATGGTGTCTACTAGTCGCTCTTGAGACAATTGCTAAGAAGAGCCGCAAGGGCCAGCGTCAGCATAGTGTTGGCCTTGACGTCCTGGAAAATGACGTTTACGATGAAGCATCCCACGGTGACGGCGACAGCAAACGCCGCGATAGCGCCGCCCCTTGACACAAGGCCAGAGGCCTGGATGACGACGGGGACGCAGAACAACGCCGCGAGGAGGCAGGTGACAATGGTTCGCGAGAGTATGCGAAACGGCCAGCTCGGGTAGTCGCGGATGTCCATGCCAGGAGAGCGATGGAGGCTTTTCAGCAGCGGTTTCTGTCGCGGGTCAGCCTCGATCGAAGCCAGCGCAGAAAAAGCGAGAGACGCACAAAAATCTTCTCCCCGATGGGAGGCGTGGCCACTTGTCCCACCATCAGGTCGAGCTTGCTGATGGTGCCCACGATGGCATAGTCCTTGGGGTCCCGGGACAAGTAGCGGGCTTGGTCTGCGCCGACTCTTGCGTCTGCGAAGGTGTTGAGCTCGCCGACGGCAGCTTTGGTAGGCGTGTCGAGCTGCAGAATGCCCCGTTGGTAATGGGTGAGCTTGTCTGGGCAGATTAGAGAGGCCAAGGGTGAGTTGCCGGTTCCTGAACCAGGTCACATGCGTGTTTTCGGAGGGAACTCACATTTCCTGCAGACCAGGTCTTCCAGTTGGTCGCCGAGATGGTCTGGGTAAGACGAAGTCGTGCGGATTGAATAGACGATTTGCCTGAATACGCGGTCGATTTTGCGATCTAAATGGTGCTGGGTGAGATAGGCAGCGCCGTGATGGGCCAGGGTGAAGCCGAACGACTTGTCTAGGTTGGCGAGGGAAGCAACCGAGAGAGGCCCGTAATTGTCTTCAAACATTGGTCATGGAGTCTGGAGTCAGCGCGTTGCGCAATCATGGGCCGGACTATGCACGTACCCCGGAGATCATCTTTGGAGGGCAGTTCCTTGAGGGCTGCTGTGTAGACAAGACAGATCAGATCAGTCTTGAGTCTTGACTGGCGTCCCGGGCGACATACCTGGAGTCTGGCCTTCTTCTGCAACCGGAGTCAGTGTATCACGAGCGGCTCCCGTACCATATGAGCCCACAGTTACCCCGGATAGTCCGGTTGTGGTGCGGTCTGCAATATCTTCAGAGGCTCGAGGGGCCGTCATGCTGCTCAAACAAGTCCAGAAAGGGGCCTTGCCACTTGATGTGCAGTAGATTCGTGCCTCATCGCAATGCCCTTATTTATACTTTTTTCTCAGAGGGGCAAGGAACACAACTGCTTCCATCAAGGCCCCATGCAGGCCGCAGGATTGGGAAATCTTGTCACCAGAGTCAGCGGTCCTCCTTGGGTCCAAGATTGGCAAAGAGCCTCATCCGTCCCTCTCCGCGCAGCCATGATGCTGCCGAACGGGCAACAGCCCAACCCAGTCCAACCATGGCGGTGATGGCATTGGGACACACCAGCAGCTCAAGGCGCAGCAGCACGCTTCAAGTGTCTGTGACGACTTGGAGTGTGGTTGCTGTGGTGCGCTACATCCATACATCATGACTGCAGGCGTGATGCGTACCGACGAGGTATTCCTTGGTCCTGACTCTCCCGCAGGTGTCGTGCTGGTTAGTCATGACGGAGCGAAAGCATGTCATGAATAAGCTGGTCCTGGGGAAATAAACCGTCATTATTGGCCGTACCGTGTTTGGCATATGTCTGAGTCTTCTCATTCGGCCGGAGCTGGAGCTGGAGGACACGGCACAAGTCACAACCAATGGCAGCGTACACGCACCGTCCATGAACCTCACTTGCAGTATGAAATATCTCTCGGCGTCCAAGTAATGGATTGCAATTCTCTATCAACAATAAACAGTAAACTGGCATGACCGTCCCATCGTTTGCCGTCAAGGTAGTCGTGGCTCTGTCGCCCCGTCGTCTCCAACAGCCCGTGTCGTTCGCCCAAGCAAGGGAAGCGAGGTCATCATAAAGAATAGAAAAAATAACTTTTCAGCGAATCCTTATGCCGCCTTGAACCCCTTTAAAATATAGAGTCTGCATTTGTCATCAGTATCTGTCTTGCAGAAGAGGAAATGGCATCCCTATACTCACCCCAGATCGCTGGCAACAGCGGCATCATCACGGCACACCAGATGACGTTTTTATACATCTCCATAGTGTTCGACCCGACTGATCAAGCATCGTCGATAATGGACACCATCAGGCCCTCGAGATACCTCTCTTGGGTTTCGTCGGACCTGGGGCCGGCCTCCCAGTTGGTTTCCGGATTATGACAAGACGACTTTCATTGACCCGCGCCATGGCAATGATAGGCATGTTTCGAATATGTACAAGATTTGGGATGGATGTGTATATGTGTATATGTGTATGGATGCCTGTGTGTCCGAGTGTGGTGAATGAATGGTACTAGCAGTGGCAGCAAGCCTGGTATTTAAGCACCTCGAGAAACCCGACCATCGACTTGGAAAAGGACATACCAAAAAAACAGCTCTCAGAAAGTCTCCGGCGGGGGCCCACCCCTGCTTCACGGTTTCTTTCTTTTTCTTTTCGTGTTGCGAACCCTTGGCGGCGGCATCAAGTGATGCCATAGGCTTGAGTTTGACAGCGAACCCAAGCCGAGCATAATGACCAGGATGGCTGCCATCGGCTTACGCAAACGCAGCAAGGTCGGCAAATGAAAGGGGCGTGTGCGAAGGAACTATGAGAGGGAGACAATATTCTTGCTGTTTCCACCAAGGGAAGAGTCTTGGCCAGCATTCGTCGCGCCGTAGAATAACCTTGGTGGAAGCTTCGTCCAGTATTCAGCAACAGCGGAACCCTTTCCCGATTCCCGCAAGTCTAGAACCTCGTGTTCACATACTTGGTGCCGTGTCGGTATATCCAAGCAGGTTCACCTTTTTCGGCTCCGAGAGTTGTGGGAGGCAGGGCTGTGACGGCTAGCTAGACGAGATATCATGGCCCGGGATAGCCTGTATGATGGAATTGTAAACCCGGGCTTCTGACCAGACGCCACCGACAGTCTAAGCCAGGGATATGTACGTACCGCGCGGCGTGTTGTATCCCTTTGAATGTGCGCAGGTCTAGTTTTTATAACGGACCAGGGTTCTAGCTAATAATAATTACGTATTTTAAAGATGTATATATTAACTAAAAGATTATATAATAATAAAAATTATTAAGATTTTAAAAACATTTAAAAACATTTAAGTATTTTTAAATATTTTTAAGTATTAATTAACATTTTTAAGTATCTTCAAGTATCCTTATATATCCTTAAATATCATAAAAAAAGTAGGTTAAATACATCGATTGGACCTGCGCACATTCAAAGGGATATCAAGTTGGGTTTGCTGCATGCGGACGTCCCACATGGCCCGGAAGGCGCAGGCCAAGTCATCATCTCTCAACAACAACGCTCGGACACACGACAAGGTTGTCGAAAGTACGGAGGGAAGAGAAGTACACAGGAATCAAGGCACTCGAACGGGTTTAGACAGTGCACTTTGTGGGTCGTCCCAAGTCAACAGCCGTACATTTGGCATCGGGGATGTGAAGCCGTGAGATGCAAGAACCGGCGTCATTCCCAAACGGAGCTCTCTACCCGCAATGTACAGGAGAGGCACAGTGAATCATTATGAAGCGAGTTTCCCGATCTTGCTTCTCTTTCGCACGTGCGTTTCTCATGCAAGCAGCATGTGTCAGCGCTGAGGGTTCCCAAGGAGGCTGATACGGCAGCAGAGGGGAGATCTACTCGTTGAGTGCTCAGTCCGTATTCTACAACCTATCATTTCCACGCAACATCGTTCCAAACGCCCTGCTTTGTGGCTTTTGAGCTGCAAGCGCCGCTCAGCTCACGGAGTTACTTCCGGCCTCCGTCCAAGTACCATCTGTTGGGCCCCGGCTCCAAAGACTGCATTCCTAGTATAAGTTTGCGCCATTCGCTCTAGAGGCCGGTGTCTTCGTACAATTCGTCCGCCAAGCCCCTACTCGTGCTCTCCCCCAGGAGATAGACTACATCCTGGAACCATGAGTTGCGGCTCATTCGTTTCCGACTCATGCTCTGGCCTGCCGCCGAGCTCGGCCCTGGCACCCCAACCGTCACTCTCACACGAAGACTTCACAAGTTCACGGAGCCCTCGGAAAAAAAAGAAAGCAAAGCAATTTAAAAGAGCCAATCGATGATAAAATCGGGCGGGCAACGCGTCCGGTAAATAACAATCGAAAGGGGGGCATGGTCCACGTCAAGAGAAAAATGAGGCGAACGTACGGAGCACCGAGTACTCTGTAAGGCGACTGTCTGGTTTGAAATTTTCCATAGAGCGCAGGAGTACCTAGGTATCCTCGGAAAATTAGGGCAAGGGCTCGAAAATATCCGACCAGGCCCAAGTATTTGTGTCGGATGAGACATCTGGAAAGCAAGCCCGTTTCTGCCGCCGGAGCTGCTTTGCCGCCGACATCGAAGATGAGCCGTGCACCCAAGGAAGAATTTCACATTATTCTGAGCCGCAGACATGTCTTTTGATAGTTCTCAAAGGTCCTGCAGCAAATCTTTTGCCCAGCGAGTGCTGGTGGAGGAAATACGGAGTAGCGAGCGCGTTTAAGCCGGTCGGTCGCCCGGGTGAACAAGCCTCATTCTTGTTCCCTGGTGAATGGACCAGGGGGCCTTGCAACTGACAGCGGCAATTCACCAAGAAGCTTCAACCTCCATTCAAAGGGTCTGGTCAGGATACCTGGTGTGACGTTTTGAGCAATCGGCCATGTTTTGTTTGTCGGGACATGGAGCTGGCCGCGAACCAATGTGAAAGGGAGCACCGGTCCCTTTTCCCTGTCGCATGCAAATCTGTATCTCATATGACATGCCATCAGGCAGTCATCCATGTCGCCTTTCCTAGAGCCGGCTAAAAACAAAGGGACCCAAGTATACACCTGAGCCGCTGTCATCACCTATCTGACATATAATATACTCCGTAAGCAGGCATTCACTGGCGTCTATTGACCACGACCACACCGCTGTCTTATTTGTAAGTACGCAAATACAGAAGCCAGTCCAACTCAAGCTACTCCATAGTCGAGGTACGAGAATGGCACTGGGAATTTGTGTGTCTTCGATTTGTTGAATCCTGTTGTTGCGACGCATACATTTATTGCTTGATTGCGCGGGATCCAGCCTCCGCCAACTTTTCGCCGTGAGTTGCTTACTTACCTTGAATTGGTCATTGAGCCGCGAGACAAAAGGTTAGTTAGGTATAAAACACCTATTTGACGCAGGGTTGCGCGATCGGGGGTTGCAATCGGTACTATTATACCTGTGTAAGTTGCGGTGTAAAAGGACCGGTGCTCGTCACAGCATTCTCACCGGGGAAAATTGACATTTCCAACCCAGTTCTTCGAGCACATGCCCGTAGGCTCGGCGTCGAACAGGTGGCCCTGGCTCCTGTCCTCGGCGACATCTATTCGATCAGCCTCGAATTTCTCAGTTTAACCTATCCCGAGTTGACGCAGGTTGGTCGTTTCATTTCATAGCCACTTCAACTGCCTTAAGAGATGTCACCGACCAACAAAGAAATAAAGCTCGCTGTCATTTTCTCCGCCATGTAGGCCGTCCGTGAGTAGTACTATAAAAAGTTGATGGTACAGGGTATAAGTGTAGTAACTAGTAAGAATGCCCATTTCCCTTGATGCAACGCCACTTCCCAAGCTGGCTGATTCAGGTCCCCGCCAGCCATGAATTATCTGAACTTTCCTCTTCCTGGGACATAGTCAGATAGCAGGTCTTGTGAACAACTAAACCGACGACTCTCGTGTCTTGGTATCCTCGATTTTCCACTCCTCATCAGTCATGTGGAACCATTGCGACACGCATGTAACAACCGCCCAAGCCTCACTGGCAAGAGTTAGATGCAACAGCTGACTGCCCAAGAAGTTGACCAACGCTGTGCTTGTAAACCCACTAAGCATATTCGCATTGTAAATATCCCAGCATGGCAGGCCCTGTCGACTGCGGAAAGAGCGAGCGACTAGTCGAAGAGCTGTGGCCTCATAGGGTGCCATCAAAACTCTGGACACAGCATCCACAAGCACGTGAGCTGCCATGGCTGCTGGCAATTGCGTGAGCAAAGTATCTAAATATATGGGCTGCGGGCTTCCATTCGATCGAGAATCTGAGCCTGCGCTAGGCCGTAATTCCGCTGACCAAAGACCAGGCGGTGCGTCTTGAGACTCTGAAGCCTCCACATCAAAACTTATCAAAGTGGCACTGACTCCTTCGTTATCTTCATCATCACTGGGGTACTCGTCCCCTCTAGTCGAGAATAAACTTGCCCGGCGGGGCGTCTGCGGCTCGGCTGGCCGACCTCCTGGAGTCGTGTCCCCGGTTTGCTCCGGCATGTCGCCACCACTGCTCTCGACCTGTGTTCGATTCTCTGCATCCGTGTCCACGACTCGAGGAGGATTAGGTGGCGGCGGCGGGGCAACTTGGGTGTTGAGCGGCGGAAGAGGGAATTGCAGTGAAAACGGTAATCTGTGGATCTTAAAAAGAGTACTTGGAAGATTCCTAAATATGCGTGACCATATTGGATGTTTCCAGTCACGCACCATCCTTTGAGCCATAATCCACACAAGGAACGGAGTTGCTGATATCAAGGCACCCCCGACCCATTTTAATAGGGATGGTATCGAGTAGTCATCAAGTGACGGTGGAGCAGGTATTGGTGAGGATTTGGTAAACGGGATAAAGAAACTGGGGTGAGGCAACCACAATGCATTGGGCAGAATCCCCAGGCGTTGCATAGCGACGTGCAACTCTAGATGGATTCTTAAATAGGACCAGATTTCATGGATCCTATTCCTAGTTAGATGGCAAACTACGAGGAACTTTTAGGAAGGGAAAACATACACACGACGAAGTACTTTCTTATCTTCATCATCATCACTAACCCATAAGGGTGCCACCATTCTTTCGATGTAGTCGCTGAGCAAGGCTGTTGGGGCGCCAGCTAGGACGTCTCTGGTAAGAGAGAAATCAGTTCTGGCTCGCCGAAATAACTCCCAGAATGGTATCTGGGAGTATTTTTTGTAAATCTGCAGCATGAATAAATTAACATCGTAATTCAGAATCGTTTCATGTGACCAGAGGCATGCTAGTACACACCAAGATTCGCTGACGAAGGCCGTGGACGCCAAAAACGCCCGCAGACTCAATGCAAATTTGAGCCGGGGTACGCAATTGAAAACCCATGGATTCCTCATATATTTCGTGTCGACACTGCGATTCGTACTCTGATCCAGGGTGAGGGTTCTCTGGCTCCGCTACTCCAATCACCAACATTACTTCGTTATGAGCCCTGATGAGGTCGCGGTTCATCCTCTTGGTTTCTGGGTTGATGGGGCGGCCACGATAGTCATACTGCTGCGTGGGATGACGCGGATCGTCCTCGCCTTCCCCATCAACGACTTCGTCATATGGAGAGCGGCCCTGGAGAGTGATTAGCTTGAACGAGACAGATACATGGTAATGAGCCATACCAAGGCCTGGGCAGTGAGAGGCCCCTGCATACCCATGGCGGCGGATATTTTTAAGTATTGTCTACTCGGGCCATCCCCGAAGCAGAATTGTAAATAAAACAAACTCCCCTAATATGATGACGTTGTTGCGACAAGTGGAAGTGATGTTTGGCCTGGCCCCACTAACGGCAGGTGGTTGTGCTAAGTAGTACCCAGGTAAATGGGCTTGCTTAGTCATTCACTCGGCCAACGACTGCCGGCTTCCCGACAGGACCCAAAAAAAAGTTCGAAATTCAATGCATGAGGACTCGAGGTCATCGGCTGCAACTACCTGCGATTTTAGCCATGGCTACCAAACAGCCATTAAAAACAACCTTTGATGTTGAACATGTTATTAGGCCTATATTTACGGGCGGATCAATTGCAATTGACAACGAGGCTCAAATTCTGGCCACAACTCTCGGCGAAGATGTTGTCTTGACTAACCCCGCCAACGGGAAGCATTTGGCACAGATTGAAGGTGTAAGAGAATTTTCCATGGTTGACGAGTCGCAACGTGCGCGTATGCTGACATGCCTCGATAGGATGGGGAAATGGTTTCTACGTTGACTTGTACGTTTTTTTTTTCTGCTCAAGCCATGTCATCAGCATGTTAACCACGGTGTAGTAACTCCATCTGGTTCACACCTCATTCTCTGCTCGCGATCGCTATCGATGAGAATCTTCTCTTTAAAGCGCTCCCCCTCCGACGATACAGTCCAAGCAACCCTTTCTCAAACCCTAAAGCCGCACGGCACGCCTGTAGTGGTCTTGGCGGTTGATCGCACAAGCACACTGCTCGCGACCGGCGGAACTGATGGCACCATTAAAGTGTGGGATATTGCAGGCGGTTATGTGACGCATTCTTTCCGCGGCCCGTCTGTTTTGGTATCCGCCTTACACTTTTTCGAGATCGCGGCCCGATCCAAGGACAATAAAAGCTCGCGAAAAGGCAAGAAAGGCGTACAGGCAGAGGATGACTCCGACAACGAGGTTGAAGCCGCGAGCAGCGTCAATTTTAGGCTAGCTTCAGGTAGCCAGGACGGAAAAGTACGAATTTGGGACCTGAATAAGCGCGGTTGCGTCGCCAATCTCGACTCCCACGTATCCGATGTCCAGAAGATAGATTACTCTCCTGAGCAGCATGCCCTTGTTAGCGCAAGCAGGGACAAAACCCTTATTTGGTGGGATACGAAGTCGTGGAAGATTCGAAAAATCGTGCCTTGCCTTGAGCTTGTGGAAACGGCCGGGTTCATTGACAACGGTCGCCTTACCTTCTCAGCTGGCGCAAATGGCTGCTTGCGCATCTGGGATACAGACAACGGCAGGGAAGTTACCCCAGCTCAGTCAGAAAGAAGCGAGGAAGAGGGCATTGTTGCCGGAATCTATCTTCCTGGCTTGTCGTTCATTCTCTGCGTCCAAGTTGATCATACGCTTGCGTTCTACAAATCACCTACCAAAGAATCAGAAGCTTCTCTAGGCATCCCAGAACCCTTTCGTCGCATCTCAGGCACCCACGATGAAATCATTGACCTTGGCTATTTGCTTCCAGATCGATCCATCATGGCCTTGGCAACTAATTCTGAGGATGTTCGACTGATATCGGTAGCTCAAGCCTCGACAGAGGGAGCTTCAGCGCCGTGGGACTCCCACGCGACGCCTTACTTTGGGCAAGACGTGGCGCTTCTGAGAGGGCATGAAGATATTGTCATCTCTTTGGATATCGACTGGTCGGGACACTGGATTGTCACGGGCGCTAAAGACAACACGGCGCGAGTGTGGTGTGTAGACTCTGCCCGCAACTCCTACACCTGTTGGGCTACTTTTTCGGGTCATGCTGAGTCTCTTGGGGCTGTTGCCCTCCCAAAGTCGGTCCCCGCTGAAGGTTCTGCTGCACGAAACAATCCACTTGATCATCCACCAGCGTGTCTCATCACTGGCTCTCAGGATCAGACGGTCAAGAAATGGGAGATCCCCCGCCAACGTCAACAGCAAGGCTCGAAGCCTAGAGCTGTCTTCACCAGGAAAGCTCACGAAAAAGACATTAATGCAATCAATATTCACCACTCAGGAAGTCTCTTTGCCTCTGCATCGCAAGACAAAACAGTCAAGATCTGGTCAATGGAGGAAGGTGAGGTCCAGGGCATTCTTCGGGGTCACAAGAGAGGAGTTTGGTCAGTTCAATTTTCTCCAGCTCAACTGCCTACCATTCAAGGAAACGATGGCCCTGTGACTGGTAAGGGAGTCATTCTTACTGGTAGTGGTGACAAAAGTGTCAAACTTTGGAGCTTGGCCGATTACACATGCATCAGAACGTTTGAGGGACACTCCAACAGTGTCCTCAAGGTTGCTTGGTTGAATCTGCCGTCTCAACGGGAACAGTCTAGGAAACCAGTCCAGTTTGTTTCTGCTGCTGGTGACGGTCTTGTTAAGGTATGGGATGCTAACTCTGGCGAGGCGGAATGTACTCTGGACAACCATGAGGACAGAGTCTGGGCCGTAGCCGTTCATCCTGAAACCAACACTATTGCATCTGGTAGCGGTGATTCCACCGTGACATTTTGGAAGGATACGACTGTTGAAACCCAGGCCGTGGCCTCCCAAGCCGCGCTGAAGATGATTGAGCAGGAGCAAGAATTGGAGAACCACATTTTTGCTGGCTCATACAGAGAGGCCATCACTCTGGCACTTCAACTCAACCATCCCGGTCGTCTCTTGAACCTGTTCACGTCGGTCGTTACCAACGGCAACCCAGATGAAGGCAGCTTGTGTGGGCTGAAGGCTGTTGACGAGGTTTTGGGCAGCTTGTCCGATGAGCAGATTTTTCTTCTGCTTCTTAGACTGCGAGACTGGAATACAAATGCCCGCACTGCACCGGTTGCTCAGCGCATCCTCTGGACGTTGGTGAGAAGCTACCCGGCCTCTAAATTCTCCGACTTATCGGTCAAGGGAGCACGTGGGCAGAAGAGTCTGAGCGATGTCCTTCAAGGGCTGCAGGTATACACGGAGCGCCATTACAGGCGTATGGAAGAGTTGGTCGATGAGAGCTATTTGGTGGAATATACCCTGCAGGAGATGGATAGCCTGGCACCAATGGAAGACAGCAATGCCAGTCTAAAGGGACTAGACGACGGACAGGGTGATGCGGTCATGGTTGGATAGATTGGCTCTCTACCTTAGAGGCGTTTAAAGTGCATATACATGGGGTAAATAGGCGTTTGGTAAATGTTCGTTATGAATCAATTCAGGGCGCATTACAATCATCATTTCCATAACTCCATGGCACAAAACATTTGAAAGCAAAAGTGCCACAAAAGCAGGGACGCTGAAGTGTTGATGCTCAAAAAACTCCAGCTTCGACTTTGGTTAAGGGAGGGTCGCCTGTCTCATGGGTGCACTTGCATGTACATACAGCCAAGCTCCCGTCGCCGCCGCCCCACAATGAAGCGGCACTGGGCTTTCTTTTCATCCTACCAGACTGTAGACTGGTCTGTAACAACTCCATCCCCAAGCTCCCACGTATAACCACCACAAAGAAGCTACCGTCATAACCCATTGCCTCATCATACAGCTCTCTATTCGCACAAATCCACCCCAAACGCAACATTGCGCCCCAGGAAACCACAGATACAAGCCCCGCACACCATGGCCAAGCGCCATGCGTCGGAGTCCCTCGACGAGCTCCTCGGTATAGCATCACCAGCATCCAAAAAGTCGCGAACAGCCGAAGTCGAAACGCCGCCCAACGAAAATGGCGTATCCTTTGCCGCACCAACACAGATATACGACGGCAACAACAGCTCTGATAACGACGACGACGACCTTGACGAAGCAGTTCCCTCCGCGCCGTTGCGACAAGCCAACCCCACCGAGGGCTACGATGACCTCTATCTCGACACGATAGACCGACAAGTCCTCGACTTTGACTTTGAAAAGCTCTGCTCCATTTCGCTATCCAACATCAACGTATACGCATGTCTAGTCTGCGGCAAATATTTTCAGGGCCGCGGGCCCAAGTCCCATGCGTACTTTCACGCCCTCGACGAAGACCATCACGTCTTCATCAACCTCGAGACCCAAAAAGTATACGTCCTCCCAGAAGGCTACGAAGTGAAGAGCAAATCGCTAGACGACATCAAATACGTCTCGGACCCGCGGTACACCAAACGCGAAGTCATGAGCCTCGACCGCGCGCACCACAAATCATGGACCCTCGGCGGGAAAGAATACACCCCAGGATTCGTGGGCATGAACAACATCAAAGAAAACGACTACCTCAACGTGATTGTACAGGCACTCTCCCATGTGCCCCCGCTAAGAAACTACCTCCTTCTAGAGGACTTCACCAAGACTACAGAGCTGGTCAAGCGATGCAGCATCCTCTTCCGCAAGATCTGGAACCCACGCGCCTTCAAAGCCCACGTCTCTCCGCATGAGCTCCTCCAGGAAATCGCCCTCCGCTCCAACAAGCGCTTCACACTCACCACACAGTCCGACCCCGTCGAGTTCCTCTCCTGGTTTCTGAACAACCTCCACCTCGGACTGGGTGGCAGTAAATCCAAACCGGGCAGCTCCATGATCCAGCGCACATTCCAAGGCAGACTCAAGGTCGAGTCGCAAGCCATCACCGCCCGCGCAGACGCCACCGACAGGCTGCGCTTCGAAGAGGCAGCACAGGTAAAGGTGGACATTGTGCGCTTCCTCCTCCTCACGCTCGACCTCCCCGCCGCGCCACTCTTCCAAGACGAACTCGAAAGGAACATCATCCCGCAAGTGCCCCTGACCACCATCTTGTCCAAGTACGACGGCAAGTCGGCGCAGGAGCACCACGCCCAGCGCAAACGCTACCGCCTGCTGCACCCCCTCCCTCCATACCTGATATTCCACGTCAAGCGATTCTCGCAGAACAAGTTCGTCTCTGAGCGAAACCCTACAATCGTTACGTTCGATGCTAGGAACCTCGATGTGTCGCCGTACGTGGAACCGAATCCCGCTGAGTGGCCGGTCTCGGAGCCCATCTGGTACGACCTGGTCGCCAACGTTGTGCACGAGGCGGTGCGCACGAGGGAAGATGTCGCGGATAGCGGGGACGAGAGGAAGACGTGGAAGGCACAGGTCAGGGACAGGGCGACAGGCGAATGGGTCAGCTGTCAGGATTTGTACGTGGAAAAAGTCCAGAGCGAGTTGTTGTATTTGGGCGAGACGTATTTGCAGATTTGGGAGAGGAGGAGGGAGCCAAAACCAGCGGCATCTGGAGCCAGGAATAAGGCCATGGCGTAAATCCCGATGTTGAAAATCAAAACGTGTAGAGTAGTGGATAAGACGATAAACAGACTACCGAATACCCATGATGACCATCACATTTGGATGCATGTGGCACTGGAACAATACTTTGGATAAACAATGTCTGCATTTGTTGCAACTGCTCACTTTCTCGACAGTCCACCACTGAACTCCTCACCAACGTTCGCTCATAAGCTATACATATAGTAGTACATGGTCACATGAAACCTATCATAGCTGCCCAGGCCCTAGTCCGAGCAATATCGCTTTCTTCCTCTCCCCAGTTTCTTCTTGTCCGCTTTGTTTTTATTGATAAAATAAAATAAAAAGAGCACCCCGTCCCTGTGTCCAACTAACCCTAGTGTATGCGTTACGCAAATGAAGAAAACAAAAAAATCACGACGCATCCACAACCTTCCCTTCCATTTTGCCTCCAAGCAAAATAACTCCAGAGAATGACATCAAGCAAGCACGAAGGAAGCACCAGGCAAAGAAGAAATAAAGGAATGAAACCAAAGGGAGCCTTCAGCATCTTGTCAAACCTTGAGCTCGCCTATTTTGTCTCATAGATATTGTACAACAAAGGTAATTGGGACTATGAAGCCTCAGGCGATTGCGCTAAGTGAGGATGAAAATAAAACCTCTACTTTCTATTCGTGGCTCTGTCGCTGGGTGTGACGTCTATCGCCGCCCTGGTTCTGGTTGGCTTTTTCACGACGCTGTTCCTCGATAGCGGTTCTTTGCTGAATACTCGAATCGTGCGTCTTAAATTCCACACGGGTGTTTGGAGGGAAGTTGAGAACGCTTTTCATGGTCTCTCTGCCAACAAAAAAAAGAAGGGTTAGTCTAGTTGTGTAGAGGGTCGTCATTTGCGTGATATCCGCTTACCGAATCTTGAGTACGCGACCGCCAGCTGTCCGTGTCCAGATGCTAAGAATGTCTTCCCCGTTACGCATGCTTAACACGGCGCCGCATACATCCTCACCTGCATCACCGAACTGGTCGCCAATGAGGGAGAGAAGCAAGTCCTCCCAATACCGATCAGCCACACCCTTCTTCATCCTCACAACCCACTTTCCACCTTTCCGGTTCACCTCATCTTCCCAGATGGGCCGAATATCCTTCTTGAAAAGATGGTAATCAGACACAACCGGCAGGGTGGATGGTCTCTTTAGATGAGAGTAAATCTCCCAAAACTCCTCGACGGTTTGCACGGTGGCAATGCCGTGTAGGGTATTTTCATACTCGATGAAGCCATGGGCCTTGGAGATGGGAGGACGGTACCAAAATGACCACGCATCTTTCAGCGGGTGTGCTTTGGAGGCTACCGTCAAAGAAGACACCTTATTTTCGGCAATGGATGCCATACTTGGAGCTTTACCAATGGCAGCCTTGCCACTGTCCTTCACGGCAGTGGTCTTGGCTACAGCAGAGCCCATAGCCGTGTCGAAAGGGTTTCCAGCAGACTTTGGTGTCTTGGCTGAACCAAACGAAGCAAAAGCACCTGAACCCAAGCCAAAGGCGCTTGAAGCACCACTGGTAGGAGACGCTAGGTTGCCGCCTGGAGTATTGAAGGGGCTGGCTTTGCCATGCGCGGATATGTCGCCGCCATGGCGCCTAGGGACGGAGGAGTTGCGGGAGGCATCACCGGCCGATGAGCCGTTGGGACCGTTCGTCGATGTCGAGAGGGACAATTTGCCAGAGCTATAAAAAAAGGCAAACAAAGCCGTTAGTCACTGGCACACACAGCGAGGGAACAGACGTGTTCTGGTGGCACGAGGGAGGGCTGGAAGGGTGGTATGCGGAACTTACTTTGTGCGACGGTTCCATAGATTATCCATGAAGACGTAGTTTGTGTCTTGTGTCTAAATGATGCGGCTCGATGTCGGAGAGAGACACCTCAAAGCGCGTCGCGAGGGCCAAGAAAGGCGAGGAAGAGGGAGGAAGGGGCAACAGGCGTTGATAGTGATTCTGGCGGGAGCGGTGTATGTGGACAGCGAATGAACGATTTGGGGTAGTTGAATCCAGACGATGTGCGATGGGAGCAAGACTCAGCGCAAGAGGTATTCGAAGGCGGCGGTGTTGACGCTATATGCTAGATGCGAGCGTAGGCACGAGATGCAGGGCAGCAAGGGAGAATCGAATCGACAGCGAAGCTCAGAGCCAACGGTAACACGATTGTGCGAGGCAGCCAGTGGATGTGAGCAGTATACCGTGAGTAGTGGCGTGCGGTGCGTCGACAGATCAAGAGATGACGTATGCTATGTCAAATAGGAAGATATTTGTTGTTTGCAGGTTTGTGAGATGATATACAGGGAGGACGGGACGATGCGTAGGCGAGGGCAGCAGTGTTGCAGTTATGGAATGCGGCGTGGTCTGTGGATCTTGGACTTTTTCTGAGAGCGACTTGGAGATGGTGGTGGGTGTGAGGTAGCGAGGTTGGTGTTGTGGAGGTCAAAAGAAATTCTTGCCGGACTGGACCAGACCAGGCCAGACGTTACGTACCAAGACATGCAAGCCACCTGTTGATGGGACAGAAGGCGCCTGGCCAGACGACAACGGGGCACATGGCCTCACAGCACCCTCCACAGCACTTGACCATAGACGACACCAGCTTAGGCGGACTGGGCCTGGTCACAGAGCGTGCAACAGGCCCGCTGGTCGGTAGAGACCAGTAAAAGCTGGTAGCTCGGCGGGTTCTGAGGGTCCTTGGGTCCACTCTGGTGCCCAAGGGGCCAACATTGAACTGGCTAACAATGAGCCCTGGCATCAACTGCCCCAGCATTTTTCTGATGTCGGCTGGCCTGATGGTCTGTTGCCCTCAGTGCTTCAACGTTGGGTTCTAGCTTTGGCGACGCCAAGAATGATGGAGACAGTACCAAGGGCTAGTATTGTGCAAATGAAACACCGAGATAAATCCATAGTAGGGCCACTTTTTTAATGCTTGTGAGGTTGAGCATGGCTATTTATTGCCCGATGCTTCGTGCTTGTGAATGCTTCTTTTTCACTGTCACGGGGAATGGAAGCAAGGCAAGGTCAAAGACAGACTTATTATGGAGGTGATACTTACGCATTGATTGTCTACGCTCGTCCCTCGTTCTCATAACCTGGGGGTGGCTTGAGCTACTCTCTTCTGATGACTACTGTGCTGCACGGCTTCAATTGTGTACTCCAGACGCACCACGCCTGTCTTGGCAGTCCTCCTCTACCTCGATGAACGTACTAACAGCCAAGCTCCTCGGACTTGCTTGATGCTCGGGTTCAATACGCTGTCATAAACATGAAGTGTAAGGGACGAGGCCAATAACAACAGTCCCGTGGGACTGGTGGTGGTGTTCAGCTCCCGTTTTCTCAGCTTACCTTACCCGTATCCGGCTCGCCGAAGATCCATTGGTAGTATTAACTTAACAGTTTACGTGCAGCACTAGTGTCGAGTCTGGTGTAGAGTCACTGGTCCTCCGTGTTTCCGAGAGGCATCACCCAAGCAATTGGCCTGCTTCTGCTATTTCCTCCAATGTCCCCCGCACTCTAGTCCAGTGCCATCAATACGCAGCTAGTGCAGCCATCTTCACCTACCTAGTGCCGCTTCGGTTGGCTTCTTTTTTAGACCCGGGGAATGCGTCGAGTTAGTTTCATGGGAAAGCGTGATGCAGCATTTTGTGATGAATTGATGTGGCGTTTCTCAAAGGCGGGGCTTTGCGTTGGGCGCTGTGGTGTTGGATAATGAAGAGGGCGACAATTGCCTTGCCTGGAGTAGTGAGTGTGGCAGAGGTAAATTCGAATAACTTCAATTGATGCTTTGTCAGAGGCCTGGCCTGTTGTAAATATATACTCCGTACGGGGCGAGTTCAAGTTTTATGACTGTCACTTGCACAAGTTGGTGTTTTGCCCAATGCGCCAGCCTATAGTTAGCAGCCCCACTACAGGTCCAGCCCACCATTCCTTCAATTGACCTGCCCGTCCCAATTCTTATCGCCCCTCGCAAAGGCTTATCGCCAAAAAAAAATTTCCTAGCCTGCTGAAAGCTGTGTCGCCATTATCACCATCTTACCATACAACCCGTGCTACTCCTCGGCATCCCAACACAGACACATAACCAAAATGGCGGCCTCAAAAACGCGAACTATTAAAAACAAACATGCCGCCCCAAAGGGTGCCTCCTCCAAAACCGGAGGTAGTACCGGTGGCAAGCGTTCTGCTACCGACGGCATCTCGAAATCAAAAAAGCCCAAGGGCCCCGTTGTTTCGCAGCAAGTCAAGGAAAAGAATCGCGCGGCGCTTCTAAAGAAGCCCAAGAAGAAGGTCTACACGGAGGCGGAATTGGGTATTCCCACATTGAATATGGTAACGCCTGTTGGCGTTGTAAAGCCCAAAGGGAAGAAGAAGGGCAAGGTCTTTGTCGATGATGAGGTACGTTCGCTCAGCCCGATGGCCTTCGGCAGTTTTGAGATTAATGAGTGGTCAGGAGAGCATGGGGACCATCATGGCAATAGTTCAAGCCGAAAAGAACGGCGAGATCGAGTCGAAAATGATCAAGGCAAGACAGATGGAAGAGATCAGGGAGTCGCGCAAGCTCGAAGCTGAGAAGAAGGAGCAGGAAAAGAAATCAAAGTTGGAGGATGCAAAGGATTCATTGAGGAAGAAGAGGAAGAGAAAGAGTGGTGGCGAGGAAGAGGATTCGGTTAAGACGTTGGCATCGGCAGGGTCGAAAGCTGCCAAGTCAAAGAAGAAGGTTGCGTTTGCATGATAAGCGTAATTCGCGGTGTCTTGCAGCGTGGCAGAAGAAACTGCATGATGATATTCGCTATATTTTGCATCGTTTGGCGCTTGGAGTTTGGGCATACCACTGGGTGGGTTCGCTTGTTTGCGCGGTGTGGGCAGCTGAGATGGAATTGGGAAAGATTAGGCATATGAACCATGGAATTCAATATCCTTTCCAGTCTTGTATTGAACATGAGAATCCTGTCTATAAATCATTTTACTCTATTTCTGACATATGTCTCGCTGAATGTAATTGCCCCTCTAGTTTTTGCTCCTCATGCCTGGCACATTCATCTAATCCTCTAAAATTTGAAGCTTACGACGCATCGGGTTGTAATCGGCACCGTGTTTTGGGTTTTCTGGAGTAGGTACTCTGGATGGTGTAATGCTATCCAAGTCCGCCTTGAACGCAAGATGGTTTAGGAAGTTGCAAATCTAGGCCACGGAATTAGCTAAGCGAGAAAGATCCGCGATGTCCGAACGCACCGGCTTGGGATGCCATCGACTGCCACCCATCTCAAACCAGCACAGGTGACCTCCCATGGATGTGGTAATCATGATAGTATTGGGGTTTTGCCTGAATTCTGCATAGGGCAGGGCTTCCTTCACAGCAATCTACCGGATAATTAGTATGGAAGTCTGTCTTCAATGCTCTGGCTTGCTTACAGGGTCATCAGTTGCCTGGACGGCAATGAATGGAATCCTGATGTTTAAGACAGCATCCGTGGAAGATGCATCACGGTAGTAGGCATCTTCAGTAGGATATCCCCATGTTGGACATCTAATGTATGGTTAGTAACTAACGCAGATTTCCTGGAACAAATATTACGCACTGGACCTCGCGATCGAAGTCATATAAATACGTGACCTTTTCAAGGGAGGGCAGATCAAGGTCGGTGTACTTCTTCAAGGCTTCTTTGTGCGTGCTGACCAAGTTCTTCATGGCAACTAATAACACTGTTAGACTCATAAAACAAAAAGTAGCGGCGGGAATGGAGCAATGCGTACAACCCATGACTCTTAAATACACCTCCTTGCCGATAAATCGATTTTGTAGCATTTTGCTTGATATTTCCAAGTTGAAAGGGTTAGAACAAACGACAGCTCCCTTTAGGAGGCAGTCTTCGCCTTCCTCGCCACAGTACTGCTTCTGGTCAATACATATGGCCTAACTATCCGTGGTTCAGTCCCTACCAAGTACTTACATTGGTTAGCATGTTGGCTCCCAACGAGAAACCAAGACCAAACAGGGGTCGGTTTGGGAACGTTTTCTTCAGCCATTTTACGGTCTATATATGATCAGCAAGTATTTCCCAGGGGCTGTTGAGCATCTCACGAACCTGTCGGCAATCCCAAGTAGCTCGAGCATTGTAAAGAACGCCACTGGTGATCTTGCTCCCTGCACATCCCCTCGAATTCACCACACATACTTCCCAACCTCCGTCTCCTAGCAGAGGAGTAATAGTATGTCTCAGATATATCTCATGAGAGCCTCCAGACAAGCCGTGCAAAACGACCAGCATTGGCTTCGAATCATCTGAGCCTATATTGTCGAATTCCTCGTCCGTGTAGTAAGTAGTTCTTCTGGGTAATGTCTCGTCGCCCCCTTCATACGGTTGCACAGCAAAGTCCACAGCAAAGGTGCCTTTGTACGTCTTGTGGTCGGCGTCAAATGTCTTGCGACGATAGTATACTGGAGGCCCGCTGGGTTTGGTGGCCGTCCACATTGTCTGAATGTGGCCATTGAACAGCAGCGGGTTCAAGTGGCATGGAGGTGTTGATTTCTCAACAATCTTGAGCAAGTCTGTCTCCTTGCCATCCTTCTCTCGTATCGCTCGTGGCGCAGGGGCGTGAGTGAACTCTACCTTGGCATGGCCGAACCACTCCATAGCTACCAGTGTGCCTAGTCACCGCAAATAAATTAGGAAGAAGACTGCTGTGACAAAGTCTGCACAAATCTTGACGTATGCAGTTGATGCTTCTGAGGGGGAGCTGGAGGTCGCTTAATTGGATGTAAAATTGTAAGACAATCTCGTTTTTGACTGCCTCTAAGTACTAGGTAGGTACTCATGCATGGGCTGACGCCCACATTTCTCGGGCTCGGACTTCTGCATTGGCCGCTTCAAGTTGCTTCCTGAAAGTTGCAAGAGATGAGGCAGCTTCTCCGTAGATACTATTCCGTGTTCTAACCTTCGAATAATTGCTGGCTCCATCTTTTTACCATCGAAATCGAGGCACTGCCCAATCAATGCTCTGGCTTTTTATAACAGGCGATTTGTTTAAAGCCCGATCTCCGTGCTTCGACTCTTTTCAGCGGACCAGCCGAGGCTGTGCTTGACCCCTGCCGCAGTGAATTGCTCGGCGAGCTCGCTATTTTTGTAAGGTGCGCTTACGCCTTCCCAGGTACTAAGCTATAAGTAAAATATTTAAATTTAAGTAAATCTATATAAAAAGACTTTTTAAATAAATAAATACCTACCTAGGTACCTAGGTACTGAGTAGGTAATAGTGGGATAAACGCACCTAGCAGAAAGAGTAAGCCCGCCAAGCAATTCACCAGCCATACGTCATCGGAACAACGGCAGCCAATTCATCCGACAATAAGTCATTCGTATAATCACGTGGCTACAGTCGTCGGCTCCATCCTTGTTTCATGTGTTTGCGCACAGTCGTGGCACCTTCTACGCCTAAACTCCATCGATCTTGGGCACAACATGACAAAGTCGGCTACGTTGCGGCAGCATGCCTGGTCATACTAACATGTTAGCATCCTCTTTAGCTGAAAGAGTGGTGTTCGATTAGGTTCTTGACGGATTCATCGAAACTGCGGCAACGAGATGACACCAAACCTAGATTGCGGCCGAGCAATCAATCATTTTGCAACCGGAACCGCCATCAAGCCCGAGATGCAACCACGTTGAAAGTCGAGCTGGACTTGAGCTCCTGTGCGGATAATGTTGTCATGGTCGAAAAATACACACCGGATTGGTTTGCTCCAACGCAAGACTGCGCATGTGCTGCGGACTTGTCAAATGCAACGATGGCTATGACATGACATCAGTCATTGTTTAGAGACTGGTTATCTACACTTGATCCCGAAGCATCATGGAACGAGCAAAGGCTACCATCTGTCAGAAGGGGTTGGTACATCTTTGGTAATAAAAGATGTCTACGGCACATCCTGCGCCACCCTTTTCGGGGCCAGGCAACCCATCTTCACCAGCCTTGTACACGCCACACCAGATACACCGCAGACAGCATATATGCTGATCTTGCCATATCAAACTTTGCGAGTTTTCACACCTCAACTCGTCAAATTCACTTCCATATGAATGGCCAGCTTTGAATGACCAACATCGACATGCCAGACTTGCACTCAGCCCGGTGAAATTCTATCATGGTCTGAAAACCATTTCCTGGAAGGTGGCAACAAGTATTACTTTGCTATGATATCGGAGGGAGCGTCGTCGGCCTACCTACCAGCTGTGATGAAAGGTTTGACAACACGGCCAATGACTGATCTGTCAACCGGAGGATTTGACGATTTCACACAGTTACACTTCTGTGACACATGTTGAACAGACAGATGGAGGAATGTTTCGTAAATCATCCGAGAGGATTAGTATGTAGTTTTCAATGCCTGTCGCTGTAGGAGCAGTGGCGAGGCTACGATCTTGTGAGACAAAGTTCCAAATAGGGGCAGCATTGATGGCAACAGGTTGGAAGTTCATGATAGCGGACACATTAAAAAAACCTCTCGGGTGGTGCTGCAAATGGTAAGGGGTTCATTCGACATGGACAGAGCAGAGCTGGATGTTGGTGGTTGGCGTTCAAGCTGGTCTGGCGAGGCCGGGAACAAGGACTTCACAGAAGCAGCCCCAAGTGCCGGTTCATGGTGGACATTTGGCTTGTCACCGGCCCAACACGGTAAGCTGGCGAAAGCTGCAGCATGTTGGGTATTAATCACCCGCCATCTGCACCATGCTTGACGACTTGCTTGACGACTTGCTTTTTTTCCTGCTCTCAGTGAGCCAGGGGATTCATGGGATCTCCTCGGGGCGGACGCGCAACAGCTGAAGTGCTGTCAGGGTGGGCGGGAAGATCCCCTGTCGTTCGGGTAAGGTGCGGCGATTTATTGCTCGCAGCACTAAAACTCAAACGGGGTACTCGCCGCCATATGCAGTCCGCCAATCCATCCGTGTCGACGTCGGCATGTTGCCATGAGAGATTCTGGAGGAAGCCATTACGGAGAACGGGCTCGAACTGGTCGAGGAGCATCGTCCTCGGATCGGCCAGGATCTCCTCCCAGGGCGGCCCGTCGCAGCCCAAGCACCGAGTCTCGATATCGCCATTCTGATTCAAGGCACCGTCACGCCTCGTCCAGAGACGACCGTCGTCGCTCTCGCGATCGCAGCAGAGATCGTTCGCGACAACATCGAACCGAATCTGCACGTCGAGACACCGAAGTAGAGGATCTTATTCCACGTTATCGAGCGCAAAAGGCACGCCATCGGGACCCTGACGACGAACGTCGTCGCAGTCGTAGCCGTGAACGAGTCGCCCCGGTGTCTCCATCGTCTTCGGCCAAGAGGCATAGAGCACGGAGTCACTCGGTTGAATCGCCTCACAGAAAACGATCGAAGCGGGATCACGAAGCATCTCGGCCGTCTCGAGACCGTTCTCCAGACACGGAATCTAGAAGGCGTAGACGCCGGTCCTCCAACGAGCGCCATCACCATCACCATCGACATCGATCAAGGTCCCCTGGTCGCCACTCCCATTCTCGTCGCTCTCCCTCCCCATCACGAACCTCCCGGTCGAAACGCAAGGCATCCTCCAGATCTCGCTCGCGGTCCAGGCGCGAATCCGCGTCACGATCCCGGCCGTCGAGAAGCTCTGGCAGGCCCAGATCTAGATCTAGAGAGTACAGGTCTAAAGACCGCCGGCCGGCATCACGGAGTCCATCTCCTACTGGAAGCCGTCGACACGGCTCTTCTCGCCGCCATCACACCACCTCTCTCTCTAACCACCCCTCTGCAGCTGCACCCAGCGGCCCGCCTACTGTTGGCAACGACTCCCGATCTCAAAGAGAAGCGCCCCAGCGGTCCCCTAGGTCCCATCGAGAAACCAGACATCAGGGAGATTCTGTAGAGCCTCATTATTCCTCCCGTTCCGACATAGACGACGAGATGGCATCTCGGAGCAGTTATCGAGGAGGGTACAATTCCATGTACAGTCACAGGCATCATTATGGAATCGATTCAAGAGGCTACTCCCAGTCTCCTCAGCATGGCGGCTCCTTTCATAATTCGCAGTCTACTTCTCCTTATGGAGCAGGGCGGTCAGGGTGGAATGGACAATATACCCCTGAGCAGTAAGTTCCTGGCTTTTCTCGTATCACTGAATTACGATCATTACTAATAAACGTATAGTCAGCACCCGCCTCCATACCACCATGGCCCGGGTCAATACGGTCCACCCAGCGGCCCGGCAGACCATTACCACTCACAACCCCCGCGATCCCCTCCTTACGGGGCTCCGTCGGGCCCGATGAACTCTCATAGCTCGGGAAACTATCGAGGCGGGCCGGGATCCCAAGCAGGCAGTCAACGAGGCATTCCCTTTCAAGGTCGGGGAGGATTCAGAGGGCCCAATACCAAAGCTTGGGGTCCGGCTAGCTCAGAGTCAACAGCGAGGTCACACCCGCAGCATGCAGACGAACAAGGGGCCCGGCGTTATAGCACTGCTGCTGGTTCTAGGGAGGACAGCGGATCCAAACCCACAGAGATGGATATTGATAGAGAAAGCAGGACGTCAAAGCCGAGCACAGGAGTTCATGTCCCGCCTAAAGGAGATGTTGAGGAGACACCAGCTGCTCCATCTCGACCAACGCCAACAGGTCCTGGATCTGCCCAGTCTGGTGCGTCAGGAAAGTTCAGTTTTGCCTTCAAAGCTTCTTCAAAGCCAACCCCAACAGCACCAAAGCCGGAGATTTCACAAAAGTTCAATGCTCCTCCAAAGAAGGATATTTCTACGAAAGACAGTACCACGGAGAGAGAGCCTCCCCGCTCGGCACCTACTGAGCCTGCATCGGCCAGGCAGCGGCTGGACTTTAGGAACCCGCCTCCAGACGGCCCCAAGATAGCTCCTAGGACGCGAAAGGTAATGAAAACTATGCGACGAGCCAGGGAACGCCCTCAATTGGAGCCAGATTTGGTTGGGTCTGAATCTGTGTTTTATCGAAAACCTGGCAACGAATCTGTGGTTGGATCTGGGACCTATGGCAAAGTGTTTAAGGGTGTTAACGTGTATACAAAGGGTCTGGTTGCTCTGAAACGCATCCGCATGGAGGGCGAGCGAGACGGCTTCCCTGTGACGGCAGTTCGAGAAATCAAACTGCTGCAGTCGCTGAGACATGCTAATATCGTCAATCTTCAGGAAGTCATGGTGGAGAAGAACGAATGCTTCATGGTGTTCGAATATTTGTCACACGACTTGACAGGTCTTTTGAACCACCCAACATTCAAATTGGCACCTGCGCAAAAGAAGGACCTGGCCAAACAGCTGTTTGAGGGATTGGACTACCTCCACACTCGAGGTGTCCTGCATCGAGATATCAAAGCCGCAAATATTCTGGTCAGTAATACCGGCGTGCTCAAATTGGCCGACTTTGGGCTTGCTCGCTTCTATGCGAAGCGACACCAACTGGATTACACCAACCGTGTCATAACTATTTGGTATCGATCTCCTGAGTTGCTGCTGGGAGAAACCCAGTACACAGCCGCCGTGGATGTATGGAGCGCGGCCTGTGTGATGGTGGAAATTTTCAATAGGACGGCTATTTTCCCAGGCGACGGCACAGAACTGAGTCAATTGGAAAAGATTTACAGTGTTTTGGGTACGCCAAATCGCCAGGAATGGCCTGGACTGGTTGACATGGCTTGGTTTGAACTCCTCCGGCCAACAGTGAAGCGGAAGAGCGTCTTTTTCGACAAGTACATTTCAAAATTGACCCCTGCGGCATTCGAGCTACTATCTGCCATGCTCCAATATGACCCTGCAAAGCGACCAACTGCTGCCGAAGCTTTGCAGCACGCTTATTTCACCACGGAAGAGCCATTACCGAAACAGGCAACAGAGTAAGTTGAGCCTCTGCTAATTAATTATGTTTTTTCTTTAAAAGAAAAGCCAGGCATTGGGGCTAACAATTGATTTTAGACTGGCCGAAATTGAGGGAGACTGGCATGAATTTGAGTCAAAAGCTTTACGCAAGGAGAATGAGCGTCGAGAACGGGAAGCACGAAAAGCAGTTGCCAAGGAGCCAGTTCGGGAAAAGGAGAAAAAACGAGCACCAGAGGATGGCAGCGATGGAGAACGTGAGGTGAAGAGAGCGCATACTGAATCAAAGGAAGCATAATTGGTGGCGAAAATGCCGGGCAGCAGAAATGTAAAGCATAGATGTGATGAGGAAGAAGAGTTCGGAGCATGGAGTCACGGGCTGCTGGAAGTTTTCCTCTCTGTTGAATATCCATATGGGCTTGTAGGTGAATTCGAGTCTGGGCCGATGTATGGAGTACTCTCACATAATTGAAGAGCTTGAAGTTGGACTAGTTGAGTGATTCGGCTGGTTATGAACTTATCAGAGGAACCGAGGTGAAACACGGCCCTTGTCGCTGCAGGGGAGTGACATAGCCGAAGGTTAGATGGAGTCTCACGGGTGGCAGATGCCGGCGATGGGGATTGATTGTCATGGCCGCGTAGATATTGGATGATTCAACTTGTTGACCAAGAGGATCGGACCCTGGCACACCTGACGGAGTATTTGGGGTCGAACACGGAGTACCTGATAGAGAGCTGATGGCCTTTGCATGTCAATGTCGGCATACAGCGGCGATAACTTGGAACATGTCATCACTCACGGGGACTACGGGAGTCTCTCTCTTGGTCGACATACAGAGCACGTACGGCAAGGGCAGGAAATGGGCGCATGAGCCACCACCTCAGCGCATCCAGGCGTCGCATTCCATTCCATTCGCCTGATCCAATAACTACTACCACCACGCATCACCAGTTGATCTATTTTCGCGACGCAGCCACCTCGGCCGCTAGGCAAAGCGCTCCGAGTCAACCGTACAAAAAGTCCAGATGGTTCAGCCTGCCAAGGGACGCCAATCTGCCAGGAATAGGAACCATGCGCGTCTTGGGACGATGTCTACCTGCACAGCATTTCTGGGGGACGTGGGGACGGCGCGCGTCTCTGTCTCTTTTCCCCCCCTTCCTTGCAGACGCCAAAGTGGTGTCTGAGACATTGGCTGATGGAGGGGGGACCCGGTGGCTGCAATCATTGATGTCTCATTCTTCAACTGAACCAAAATCACCAAGTATAGCATCACCACGGGCCCCTTGTGGCTTTCCACCGGCGACCACCGGCGACCAGGCACCAGCAAGTCGACTGGCACGCGCATGCAAACACGAAAAGAAAATGCGCAGCTGCGCCGCCCAGGCCGACACGTCCGAGTAGTATAAAAGGGAATCAAGCGCCCGGCTCCGATAGACAGTCTCCTTCACCGCACAGCAGCCAGCACAGCTCTTCTCTACACGCCCCCCTTTCATATACATACACAACTGCCTTGTGGGCAAAGCTTGCACACACTACAAATACACAGAAGAAGAAAGGAGACAATCAATTGAAAAATGTACACCATCAGCTTCGTCGTCGCCTGCCTGGCTGCCGTGGCCATGGCCGCCCCGGCACCCGCCCCCATCAGGGACCAGTTGTCTGCTCCGCGCATCAACCAGCGCGATGTCGCGGTTCCCAAGACGAACGACAAGCAAGTCGCGGCTCTGTACGACAATGGCTACGCTCCCCCGCACTGGTGAGAATCGCCGCAGTGGGCAGAAGGGGGGGAGGGCAACGTTGGCGAGGGAGGCAAGGGTTGGAAATGAGGTTGACTTGGATGATGGGTGGACGAGTGGAGAAGAACTACGGAGTACTAGCTGATTTGATGCGTGGGTGGTGGTTTTGACATTCCAGTTTATTTTGCTTTCTTCGTGTCTCAGCGCTTGCTTTTTGGCTTTTTTCTGGGGGAATTTCCCTGCTGTTCTTTGTAGTATGTATGTGTCGTGATTCTCTGTACGGGTGGAATTGGTAGTAGTAGCTACTTCGTATTGTTTGGGAATATCAGTCCCCTTTTTTTGAGTTTTTGCCAAGCAGTTGCCGGACCCGGGGAGTGATTGTCGATGCTGATTGGCTCGGGACCTCAGAGCCGATTTGGCGTGTTCGCGACGTTGCCGGATGGGGCATGCGTTCAACATCATCTTCTTCGACAACGTTTTTTCAAACCGCGGTGTCAGATTCAGTACCATGTCAGAATTAATCTACAACGTTTTGCCATTTCAAAAGGATCTCTTCCAACTGTACCATCTAACACCCACTAGATCAATATACTTAATCCCATACTCTTTAAAAAAAAGAAACGCAGTCCGGCTCCCACCCGCACACATGAACCATGAGGAGCCTTGAACAGTTTACCGTCCGCAAAGGGAATGCCTTCCCCCTCCCCCCTCCATGTCAACGCCTCTTGTCTCCTCTCCTCACCTCCCCCGCGCTGCCAAACCCCACGCCCAAGACAAACGCCAGCCGCACCGCCGTGATAAACAAGTACAGCCCGCCGACGGCCCTGTCGTCGGCCGACCACAGCCGCGGCTCCAGCCTCCCCTGCCTCTCCAGCGCAAAGTACACGCCGCTCAGCCCGCCGACGTCGCTCAGCAGCAGCGAGAACTGCAGCACCTTCCAGACGGCCAGGTCCTCCGACACCCGCGGCACCAGGGCGCTCATGACGGCCACGGCGAGCGCCAGCCCGCCCGCCTGGTGGAACAGGAAGACCGTGGCCGGGTCGTACGTCGACTGCGGCGCCATCGAGGCCACGGCCTGCTCGGGCGCCAGGAAGTTCAGGTAGGCGCCGTAAAGGGCGATGAGCGGGTCGGCGTAGGCGAAGAAGCACGTGTACAGCGTTGGCACCGCCGCGACTGTCGATGCCATCGTGGACGGATGCGGCGTGTTGGATGGGCCGGTGGTCGAGGGCGAGGCGTTGCTGCGATCGTTTGGCTGGCGTTGTCAGAATGTCGGCCGTTGCCGCGATGGGATCGTGTGCCGGTGTGTTTATTTTCTTTTTTTGTTCTAGGGCAAGGACAATAATTGAATACCCGTGTTACTACCTTCACAACCATGGGATATACTAGTAGTAACCGGCGGTTTACAGAAACGGGGGCTTTCACAAAGGGAGAAGTGAGACGAGACAAGCAGCCTTAAATACTGACTGGCGCGGGCACATGGGGTTCGAGACTTTTGCTAGCTTCAAGCTGCTAAGTACCTAGGTAGACAAAAACTTAGGTACCTACTAGGTAGGTATCTCTCCAGCCATCTACTTCCAGATCCTGTCCATCGAGCAGCCTTGGTAACCGTCAAATGCTCTCCTTAATACTCATAAATGAGGCGCCTGAAACGCAGCCGCTGCCCCGATATCAATTTCGTCACGTCATCAAATCATCATAATGAACAGAAGGCCGTTGCTCACACCTTCCACTTCCGTCTGTAATAGTGTAGGGCGTGAACCCAATCGTGGCCATTTCTCAACCTTAAACAGAGCCCCAAACTTTTTTTTTTATTTTTTTATACATATTTCAAATCATGCATTACAGTGCTGGTTCGGTCTTCTTCCCTCCGGCCTCAGTGTTGTTCAAGAGGTGTCGCAGACTACCTTCAGCGCGACCTTTGGGTTTAGATGGATGTGACGCCCACGGCAGCCAGCCAGCGAGTGTCGACAGAATGCCGTTTCTACGGGCGCCGTCTTGGACAGAAGATATTGATCCTCGTGCCATGTGCTCTTCCACCCTGTCCGGTCGCGGCGACGGCTTGTTCTCCAAAGTCCGTTGCTGCGATTCGCTCTCGGCTGCCGTCCTCGTCTCTAATTGGTTATTTGAAGCACGCGGTAATGCAGGTTCGCTTACCAATGCGGTAGCTGATGTCCGAGGCGTTGCCTCTGGCGTGCTGGTCAGTCTTGAGCTATCTATCAAAGCCAATGACGTCGATCGCCGTCTCGCTGGCGTCCTCGGTTGCTGTTCACTGTCCTGTGAATTGGAAAGGTCCCGTTCACTGCGTGAAGATGTCGTCGGAGTCGGAGACGACTGTCCTGAACCCTTTCTGGCTGTCCGTCCACGAACCTCGTTGGCAAGGTCCGAGGCCGACCTCTTCTTTGACCCCTCCTCGTCGGATGAACGGCTTGACGACATTATGGTTTCCAGTGTTCCCATTGCTCTGCTGTTCCTCCTTGCGGCTTGCCTTCTCCGTCGAGTTGTATTTCTCATATCGCGCTCATCGTCTGATGATACCGCCTGCAATGTAGGACCCTGCGGCTCTTGATTCTGAGCGGATGCGAGGAACGACACTCCAGACCCGTGAGGAGCATAGTGAACCTCGTACTGATTGCTTAGTGAGTACCGTGACCGGGCACAAATCTCGGCTATCCTGTCCAGGTCGGAGTTAATATCGGCTGTGCCAGCATGTGTTGGCATATTTGCCATGAAGCTCTTGAAGCTAAAGGCTTCTACCGGAGGCAGGCGAGTATCCTGTTGAGCCTCCACTGTTGGCATTTTCCCATTATACACTCTCGCCATGGTGCTCAGCATTCCTTTTCCGGCTGAAGAGACCCTGCCTGAGAATGGGAGAGCCCGGGTCACACCGGCTACTGGCCCACCAACTTCGGAACCGGCCCCACCACGACCAGGTCGGCGTCGAGTGGAACTATCGTGACGGCTTGGTGCAGGAGAGTAGTAACTGCGAACAATGACGGGTTCGGAGTAGGTGCTGGATTGAGCACCGGTTGATTTCGCGTATCGATGTCGGCTAGGATAGTGGCTATTGAGCTCCCGCAACGCTGATGTCCGATGTTCGGCAGTGGTGTCATCCACGGGGATGGCTCTTCCCTCGGCTGTTGACGGTGCCACACTAGTTGATGTAGGGTTTGGCCGAAACGGCCTTGTCATGGAGAAGGGGAAAGGATCTCGTCGAGTGTCGCTGGTTCGACGCGTCGACGGGCCCGTCGAGGACGGCGGTAGCGGTGGTGGGCGTGAATGGAGATGTTGAGCTCCAGGGGGGGACGCAGAGCTGGCAGTTGAAGACATGGTGGACGTCGGAATTGCAACGATATAAGTCGGCTTCGGACTCGTGGACACTTGCTTGCGTCCTCTGCCACGGCATTGGTCGTCTCAGCGGCACATTCGAGGAAGCTGTAAAACGGGGCGGAGACAAGAGTGAATAGAGGTGCGATTGGCCTCGACTGGTTTCGCCTGGAACACTTGTTCCTACAGTGCTAGGATGATTGAGTCTGGTCAGGCCGGGACAGGTGTGGTGAGAACATGGCCCAGCGTCGATGTCCTGCCACGTCCGTCCACGTCCGTCCACGTCTGTCCGTCGGCTGGGGCCGAGCCAGTCACAAACGGAGCCTCTGTGCGCTGACAGTCGTGGGTTGCTTTTCGTTCGTCCTGCTTCGCCGCACAATGTGTTGGCTGTATGCAGGCGTGCCGACGTCGATTTTGAATGTTGGATGTTAATTTGACTGAGCGTCTTGAATTCCCCCACCGCACGTCGTCGTCGTCGGGGAAAAGGCGGGGTTGACTCGACTCGACTCGACTTGGTTTGCATCAATGAAGACCGAGTGGGCGGTCGAGAGACATGAGACACGCAGTGCGAACCCGAGCAAGCCGTTGGCTGAGAGATGGCGAGGACGGAATATTACAGAGTATGTGAGAGACGAGATGCAACAATACGAGGCGAGAGAATGAGAAGTCAGAAAATCAAGGCGTGCAGTGTGCACCCGTAGCCCCGGTGCTCAAGCGCTTGAGCGGTGCAGCACCGGGAAGTGACAGCGCAAGATTGACGGGAGATGTTGTCTGGTTCAATTTGCAATTCCGTCGCAGCGGCACTGCGTCGAGACGTGCCGCTGTCGAATGATGCTTCGCCTTGCTTTGCACTACTGATGCATCATGTGTCGTGGCGAACGTTCAAAGGCCGGCTGGCGCAACGTCCTTGCGCCCAGACCAAGTCCGTCTCCCCATTCTTCCCCATTTTTCCCCATTTCTCAAATGCTGTCAATGCGTCTTCCGTCGCGCCACGCTCTCCCCCCTCACCCATATCATCCCCTTGGGACCAGACTATCGCCTCGTCACCAACAGTCCCGCGAGCAAAATCCCTGCTGCTTCGTCCTTGCGTCTCCCGCAGTCTGCAGCCAAACACATGGCGCCGGCCACCATCGCGTCGACGTGGACAAATTGATCTTGGCCGTCGCCGATGACTGGACAATGGCACTGTGAACAAGTGTCTGAGAGGGGTTTAATCAAGTGCCTCGCGTCTCATGTTTCACCTTGTGATGCGTCAATGTTGATTCCAATCACTGCAAATTCAGAGATGGACATGGATGTGGAGCCTGGTGACTTCCAGAATGGCCTTCTGTCGCTGTGCGTAGAGGTATCGACTGGTGACCCTGGCTTGCCGCTTTAGACCCTGCATCAAGGGCGATCAAGTCACACAAATGGGCCATCATGACGATCAGTAAGTAGCGGCCGAGTGAAACTATTAAGGACAAATATATAAGCAGCTTGAGCATCCCCTACATAACGCATACTCGACTATACTACGGCATGGCTACAATAGCGCTTCTTACATGCCCACTACCGGCTGTTATCAAAACTGCGTATGTGTTGAGAGCCTGCTAATTGTCAACACGGGTTTAATTACTGTAGGAACTTCTATCAAGACTGAAACCTTGCTACCATCATCTTCTCCATGTCGGCTTTCCCAAAATTCAAGCAGTCAATGTTGTTCGGAGACGAGCAGCATACACCACAAGCCCTGTAGCCTCCCGGTTTGCCCCTGTTACCTCAAACGAAGAGTCAGTGTCATGTGTATTCCAAAGAGACACCAGACATAACTTTGGAGATCCTCGTCTGGAGTTCCTGGGGTTAAAATCGTTCAAGGCAGTCAACCCACAACCCCACGCAAGCATACAAGAGACACATATCAATGGGCGCTTCGGGCCGTGTGTCCCATTGGTAGCAAGCTATGAAACACTGGTAAACACACTGCACAGCTTTGGCTTTCGGGTCACATGTTTTGTACCGAAACTTGGTACATGTAGTAGTTATCAGACGGAGACAACGTAGGTCATATATAGCGGACTTAAAGTCAACAAATGCAATTATGTATTCGATATATGAATTATTATTCTTTGCGTTGTGTTAAACCTTTGATTCAAATGTCACTCTAAAATACGGTATAGTAATAAGGGATTGCCTGATCCGGTATTATGAGCTTTGATTTATCTGTTCTGGGGCAACTTCCCACTGCTTCAGGTTCGGTATCGAATGAGAACATGTGGGTAGGTAGCATTTCTTGTCCGGTTCGCATGTACAATTAAAGTTTAGACACAATGCAACAATGTAAGACTGACATGGTTGTGGGGGTTCACTTTAACTCGGATTTCATTGTATCTACTAAAGTCCATGTGTACACAGGACGGGAGTAGAGAATGTCAGAGCCACATGAAATGGCTGCAAGTCCCAGACTCTGAGATGAAGCCCCTCGATCATACACTCTCGCAAAATTAACAACGTACACAGCAACATAGACATATATCGTAGTATCGCCAGCCAAGACGCCCACCTTTGCTCTTCTCCTAGTAGGTTAAACATCACCCAGACCAGTTCTTCTACCTGGTGCTGACACAAGACACAAGCACTGGCAAGTCCAGCGCCGGACCTCCTTAAAGCTCCTATTCCAAGATATGCAGCTCAGTATCTCAATAAAACATAGTTTGACCGGTACTGCCCAGCATATCTGCTACAAGTCTCAGGTGAACCCCAACTTTCGAGAGGAGTATTTCCAGTGTCGACTCCTTACCTCAAATAGGATTGAACTCAACAGGTTGCTGCGCGCAATACGTGGGAAAGCACCGACTGCAACTCACCAGAAATTGGAAAGACGGA